CCCAGCTCCGCACTCTAAGGACTACACCATAGTGGCTTCCCTACCTTCCTGCAAATTGTCTGGGACAACTTATGTGATGGTGCTGGGGGAGATGCAGAGGAAGCACCTCTGGCTCCTCTTACTTGTCTTGCTCAAAGATGTCCTTGATCTGCCCTGCCAGCCTTCGTGGATCCTACAGCGTGTCTTCCCACCATGCTGGAGTTGGTCCTCTCCAATGTGCTATGTTATCACTGCCTAGCAGCTTGCTGCTGAAAGCTGTCTAAATTATGAATATTTGTCCTGGCCTGGCCTGTGTTGCTTGAGGCAATGAGTCAGCATGGCATCAGCTGGACTTAACAGAAAAGATGATGACTCATGCCTAGCGTAGTATAGACTCCAGCCAAAAAGCTCTGACAAGCAGAGCTTTACTAATCAGTCAGGGATAAGAGTCACCATGTACAATTCGAATGGGGCCAAAATGTCCTGCCAACCTTGTTTTGTTAAAAATGATTCCTGGAGTTGGTAAATAGGCAGAAGGTGTGCACTGATAATAAAGATTGCAGTTAAGTCAATGGGTATAGTAGGGATGTGCGAGGAATCCATTTTGGGCGGAAAATCTATTGGATTCCTGGTTTTGGCTTCCTGGACTCTGGCTTGCTTTGAAGTGGGCCAGAGTCCAAGGGCTTAGCAAGCGTGTGCGGGATTCGTGGAGTCCTTGCCAGGAATCAAGTCCCTCAGGCTGCATCACTCTTCCATGCCCACCACTGCCACTGGCTACAGGAAATGAGGAAGAGGGTTGGTCACTCGGAATAGTGGCTGGTGTCCTCATTCGCTGTCCCCTTTTCCCTGCATGTCCCTGGGAATGGTGGGGGGGAGGCTGCCATTTGGGGGTTCACGAGCATTCACAGACTTCCTGTTGGCTTGGCTCTCTCTGCAGACTAGGCAGAGCATGGTAGAAAGTCACAGGTTCCTCTGAAAGGGTTTGTCCCAACTCTTGTGTCTAGGTTCTGTCCGCTTATTGACATGGACACATTAGGAGCAAAGGAAGGAGAGCAGTGATGTAGGAAGGAGAAGAAAGACTTGCTAAGGTGCATTAAATTATAATTCATTCAGCACAAGACATTTCGAAGAATTTCTTACATAGGAAACCCAATGCAAGGGAAACGCATACTGAAGAAACGGTATATTACTGCCTCTCATAAGTCCAGTCCTCTTTTTCCTTGTTACTCTAACAACTGGCCAGATGTTTTACCACAATCCTGCAACCAGCAGACTGATCCTCTTCTGCTAATGTGAGGCTGACATTTCCCTAAAATGATGGGCAAAACTTTTGGTGTCCCCTCCCACTGCTGCTTTTGCATTCCATCCTGTCTGGCTCATCCTGTTTTTGTACTGATGTGTTGGCTTTCTGCAATGTTTGTTTTACCATCGCTGGTAAAGGGGTCGGTAGCCAGTAAAGCAATAGTGGGTCATGTCTTTGCAGTAGTCACACAGCCAGCAGGCACAATGGTTTTTTCTGTCATGTGAACATGACATTGCTTTGAAAATTGCGGTGTTGTATCAGGATGGTGGCCCCTCGCCCTTGATCAACTCAGTTACGACAATGCTACTGCTTAACCAATCAGGGCATCAGTTTGGGAGTCTGCAGAGAAGAAGAACTTCTATGCTGAAGAGCCAAACAGAGATCCACCACTGGTTCTTCCAGCATGGTATGGTGGGGAAATCATAGCTTTCATAGGCTACTAAATGAGGTTTTAATTGTGCATTCCTCAGTCATCCTTTATGCTTGTTTATGGGATCGTAAAAGCGTGTGGTTACCACATTTTTTTTTATCTTGATGACAACAACAACAACCCAACAACAGTTTCTATGTTATCATGGTTTCCACGCTCCCTGCTCAGTTGTCCTGCTGTTGGAATGTATCCCATCAGCCACTGCACCTGAAATTCAATCTCAAGGTGCATTGATATGCTCATAGAGACTGGATGAATAGAGTGGATCCGGCAGTTGCTGTTCTTTCCAGGGGACTCTGAGGTAGTTGCATACCAGGTCGGCTGAAACCATGGTTCTGAGTTCAGAAACCATAAAACAAACCATTGTTTCTTATCACGGTTTCTGAAGACCAAACCTACACATGGGGAAATAACATGGCTGGGTTCAGACAATAAAACAGCCCAACAATGGTAAACAAAAATAAACATGGCTTGTTACGTTGTCTGAACCCAGCCAAAGTCATCACCATTCACATTCACTTCTGATTTTTAAGAGCAGTTTTTCTGGCTGGGGGAGCAGGGAAAATCTAGTATTTTTTGTGCAAGTGAAAAAAGCACTAGCCCTCACTGGTGCAGTAACCTCATTCCACTTTATCTCTAGGTGAAAGTTCAGAAGGACAGGAAAGGAAAATGTAGAGTTCCTATCTTAATTCTGTAGTGATACCAGAAATAAAAAGACTAGGCTAAATAGGCTAAGAATACAGTGGTACCTTGGCTCACGAACACTTCAGTTCACGACCAGATCGGGTCATGAACAAAAATTTTATAAAAAATTTAACTCAGGTTGAGAAATCCACATTTGGTGGTGACCATGATCGTAGCCGTCTCCCCACTCCCCTCCCCTCCCCCTGAGTGGGGAGATGGCCGTGATCGTGCTGGGGGCTGGGGAGGAGATGGCTGAGATCCCACCCATTTTTCTCGGCCATCTTCCCCTCAGCACAATTGCGCCAGTCTCCTCCCCCCCCCAGCTTGCCCCATTCGCGCCCGTCTCTCCTTCCCAGCGTGCCCATACTCGTGCCCGTCTCTCTCCCCTCCTGTGTGCCCCGTTCATGCCCGTCTCCCCCCCACCAGCCACCGGGATGACAAGCACGTGCAGGGATGTTGGGCATGATCGTGGGTGTGTTGGGTGGCGGGGAGATGGCTGTGACCTTTGTTGTTCTTTGTCACTTTGCTTCACATTTTTCTGATTTAAAAAAAAATAGTTACAGAAGGAATTAACCTTATTTACATTGAACCTTATGGGGGAATTTAACTTGGCTCACAACCAATTTGGGTCACGACCAGAGTTCTGGAATGGATTCAGTTCATGAGCCAAGGTACCACTGTAGTCCCGTCTAGAAAAGTTTGATTCTTCAGTCTCTGGGCCTCCCCTTTCTACAGCCTTTGAAAATACTGTAAATTAATCCAGACAACAAAACAAATTAAGGAAATGGAATAATAAGCACTGTACAACAGTCTTGCCATGTTTAATTAAAAAAAGAAGAATGTGATCCTTTATTTTGGTTATTTCCATTGTGTAAACAACACTCTTTGGTAAAGCACATTTTTGTTTTTCTTTTTTTGGGAAAACCTCTTTGATATTGCATAGAAAAAACATACAAGCAAACAAAACACTCACGCATGCACACACACTCTCATAAAAAATAGAATACATCTTGGCAAAATTTACTTCCAGAGTTTGTTACCACCTTTGTTTACAGTGTATTGGCACCTAACACATTGCCTGACTAGACCTGCAAGAATTCTTTCTTTTTTCCTGAAAACTATTTGGTTTGGGATAGGCAAAATTCCTTCTAAACTAAGTGCTTCTGTCAACTCTTGAAGGGGAAAATCGAATCTACTTGTCTGTACAGTCCACCTCGGACTCCCTGTTTTAATGTTGGAATGCTAAGCTTGTGTTGCCAGCAGTTGTAAAGAGAAATGGGGAAAAGTGATCCAAAGCATTTTCCCAGGAATACTGGAATGCAGATGTGTTCAATCAGGGTAAGTGACTTGGCTTGTTTATGTAAGTGGGAAGCAATTTTGTAGGACTTTTCCCACACACAAGGACTTGGGAGCAAGGCAAAGGTTTGAAGTGGGCTGCTCAACCATGCAAGAACACCAGACAAACCTCATGTCACACCCAGGGAGTTTCTACAACTCGCCCCTCCATCCCTAGATGAAAAGAGGAAATGATGATGCACTGTCCAGCCCTGTTACTGTTCTGATTGAGCACTCAGAAGGACTTTCAAGGTGGATAGGATGGAAATTGCCCATTCCCACTAAAGATAGTATGCAGCTGTGACACTCCAGTGGTGGAAATGTTGTTGCGCTGGTAGAAACTGGATCTCAAACTATGCCCAAGAGGAGACTCCAGCTTAAGTTACATTTGCACAAGCATGCTTGTTGAACTAGTTGCTTAACCGATAGCACAACTCACTGCACAACTGGTTGTGCAAGCATAACGGTCTACTGCTTGCTCAGCTGAAGAGCTCCTTTGAGTTTGCAAATAGCACTGCTGGAGGTGACGCTTAAGGCCATACAGCTGAAAACGTGAATGCGACAAAGAGATGTTTGTTGGGTACCTCCCAGGCAACCAGGATTGGATGCTTGTGTTACGGCTGCTGATCAGGTTTGCTGCTCTGCAAAATGCGTAACGGCCCAGCCCTAATAGCATTGATATCATTCTCCCCAGACACTTTAAAACTACCAGTTATTTAGTAACATAAGAGCAGTGTCTTCATTCAGTGTCTAGGAATATCAAGGAAGTGGCACTTTTCACTGCAACCAGAAAATACAACTGTATTTTGACCAAGCAAGGAAACTAAGATTTTAAGTTATGACATTCTTTTTCCTTGGGGTTGTGTGAGAAATATACCTTGCTCTGTTTTTGTTTTGGGAGAGAACAACAAGCTTTTTTTTTTTTTTTTTTTGCCTACCACATTCAGTCACCAAATTACCACCCAGTTAAATACTTCCAACTAGTTACGAAGAGTCAGCGGAACCATCTTTGGAGAATGGCTGTTCCAGTGTAATAAATAAAGCGAGTGGTTGAGATGCCGATGGATCAAGGGTTATGGTCATTTTTGTCAAGATGGAATTGTTTCAACAGATCAGCAGCCGGGGGGACAAAACAAGGATGGAACACAGCATCATTTCCCCCCATGTTGCAACGCTCGCAAATGTTGTAAGATGAGGCAGCAATCATCTGGAAGGGGTGACACCCAGCGGCACGTTTGAGTTAGGTTAACATATTTGGATCACCGTCAGCAGTGCTTTTGCTAGTATGGGTAGGCAGACACAGCTATATAAACTATGAAGGTTGTCTGATATTCAATGGCTCCATCGACACTATAAGACAGAGCCCTGATTCTCATTCGGTACGTCTCCGGCTCACGCAGAGGCCTGGTGGTGTACACGATGCCCTTCAAGCTCTCGTCTCTGAGTGCAAAAGGGATTGTCATGTCCTCGTTGACCATGAGGAAACTTGTCCTTGGATGCATGACTCCATCTTCAGTGTACGCAACCAGCCGGAGTAAATCCTGATTGGCTGCAATCCCAAAAGGGAGGGACACCAGTTTGTACTCCAAGGTGTAAGGGCTCCAGGCACACTCCAGGTCATTGGGTGGGCAGTTCTTGAGGCAAAACCTAAAAATAAATACAGCCACGAAGACTTAGACCATGACCACACCAGACCAGTGATAAAGTTAAACAAATGTGCCTTTTTATTTATCATTATATTAAAATAAAAATAGGGAGGAAAGCAACGGATCCAGCCACCAGAAGTTTCACAAGCTTGCGAGCTTTTTAATGCAATTGCCAGGCTGACATTAAGTAGGAATTGCATGCAAGAGAGTGCAAGGTTTTTCCTTGCCAGAAGGAATTAAAGGCACACTGTTGACAGTGCGGCACAAAGAATGAGCCTCAAAGACGCGTTATGCCACAGGAAGTAGTGATGGGCACCCATTTGGGTGACTTTGAAGCAGGATGGTGGAGGTCAAAAAGTTGAAGCGTTCCTTCCTCCAAGCCAAGGCTTGGGGAAGGAAGTTTTCCACGGCCGCTAGCCTCGCTGGCTATGTGCTGCCTCCATTACCAGAGGTGGCTTTCCTACATGCACCAGTTGCCGAGGAGCTTGGGCAGGAGAAGGTCTTGCGCCCATCGTGCTGGAGGGATCCTGTGGCAGCTGGTTTGCCATAGTGTGAACAGAGTGCTAGACTGGACGGACCTTTGGTCTGATCCAGCATGGCTGCTCTTAGGTTCTTAAATGGGTGGGTGCTTCCATGAAGAGTCACCTGGTGATGCATAAAGGAAAAGTAAAGGTTTCCCCACACATGAGTGCTAGTTGTGTCCGAATCTGGGGCCAGTGCTAATCTCCGTTTGTAGCCGAAGAGCCAGCATTGTCCAAAGATGTTTCTGGGGTCATGCGTCCTGTATGACTAAATGCCAGGACGCAGGGAACACTGTTACCTTTCCCACCAAAGTGGAACCTATTTATCTGCTCACATTTGCATGCTTTCACATTGCTAGGTAGGCAAGAACTGGGGCAAAGCAGCAGCGCTCACCCTGTCACACGGATTCGACCTGCCGCCCTTCAGTTCAACAGCACAGTGGCTCAATGGTTGAAGCCACTGCGCCACCCGCAACCCACAACGCATAGCTTAAAATAAATGAGTGATGTAACAGTGCAGCTGCTTCTCTGCATTGCGCCATGTTACAAAAGGAGGAAGAATCCAATAGGAGGGTGGTATCTACACAGCACCCCATATTATGCCAGTGTGGTGTCGTGGTTAAGAGCGTGGGACTGGGACTCGGACGATCTGGGTTCCAGTCCCCGCATGGAGCCAACTGGGTGACTTTGGGCCAGTCACAGACTCTCAGCCCAACCTACCTCACAGGGTTGTTGTTGTGGGGGAGGAGGAGATTGATATAAGCTGCCTTGAGCCCTTTGTAGGAAAAAAGCAGGCTATAACTCGAAAAACAAACGAACAAATATTATCAAGTCCGAGCCTCAGTCACCCTAACTGTAGCTAAAGGATGAGTAGATTAAAAAAAAATGAATCACACACTGGAAAAGTGAGGAATTACCCACCGATGAACTGATTCTAAAAAAGATTCTGGACTGTGCAGAAATGGACAGATTGACTTTATCACTGAAGGAGAAAGAAGATACTGACTTCGATCAAACTTGGGATTTTTTTTATTATTGGCTAGAGAAATGGGACTTGGCTTAGATTTAAATATGTTTTTAAGTTATTATAAATGGATTTGAATATGACTATAGAACGTTAAAAGATATGAGTAGGGGGGGCTGACCCAGAATGTCTGATGTATTTGATGATTGAATTTCTTTAGTATTGGTTTAAAAAATCACTCCTTTTACATGCTAGCCAAAAACTTGAGCCTGCAAACTGCTACTTGAGACAAAGTAAGCTGAAGAGTTGTTTCTTCCCACTGTCCTCACCCCATGTGCAGAACTATCAGCCAAAGATTAGGCAAAACAAGAGTGGCCGTTGGGTGCTTCATGCATTTTCTTGTGATTTTAGTTTTAATTAATAAACTGCCCTTTTAGGAGGAAAAGCAGGGTGTAAGTATTTTTTAAAAATTCACAAAATGCTAGCATTCACCAGGCAAACTTGGTTGATGGGTGAGTAGAGTTTGATGCATCTTCCTTGCTGTTCTTCGGAGATCATAATGAGATATCAAAGAAAACCTCACTGAAGAAGCAGCTCAAGCGATTGACAGTACTAACTCATGCACATCTGCTCAACAGTAAGTCCTTCTGGATTTAACAGGACTTACTCCAGGAAAGTGTGTATGGTATTGAACTCCTCATTCTTTCATAACTTAAAAATCAGTCCCTTGCATTATGCCCACAGGAAGCTAGGTAAGATGAGTCAAGGAATTCCTCAGGAGGTTTTTGGAGCAGGAGGAATATCCCAGGGAGGAGGACTCTGGTCTGAAGATGGGAGGAAGTGGGGCAGAAGCTGAGCTCTTTTTGGCTGTGGGAGGAGCTGGGAAGAAAGAAGGTGTGATCTCACAAAGAACATGCATGTGAATTGCAATGTATTTGCAATGTTATGTCATATTGCAATATCAGAAATGAAATCTGGAAGAACAAAGACCCGAAAATAAAACTTACCCAGATAAAGGATCTCGCAGATAATCTGGGGGACATGGTGTGTCTATGCACTGATAGCTTCCTCTTGTATTAAAACACATACGATTTGGTCCACAATGGATATCTTGATCAAGGCATTCATCTATATCTAATTGAAAAACAACAACAGATAAGTGACTTGCTGATTTTAAGCTAATAGATATACAGTCAGAAGAGAAACCACCCAAAACTCTTCCTGCATGCAGACACTAAGTTTTGAGCTGTTACATCTTGGAATTCAAAAGTGGTTCTTGCATGTGTTCATTTAATAAACTGCAAAAAGGCAGTTGTGTTGTGATTGTTAATTGTGTTATATATTTTATGCCTCTTAATAACTCCCACAGTGTTATTATTGGGGGGGCAAATTGTTGCTCTAAACAATGGGGTGGATGGCTTTTTGGCATGCAAACCCAGCACTGCAGTGAAGGGAGTGTTTGTAATGTTAACCGCATGCAGGAACAGATGGTCTTGATCTTCTGGTTGCTTTCAGGGTAACTTGCAGTAGAGCAGGAAGGGTTTTGGGATACCAAAAATTTAACAAGAACAAACAAACAGAACCCCTCAAAAATATTAGGCCGCTGAAGGGAAGGGAAGGAGAGAGAACCTGCCAGCCAGACAGTCAATTTCTGGGAGAAATCTTATTCCTCCATTTAATCTGGCTGGGGAAAATATCCAAGCAACTCCTGAAGCCTGAAATCTACCAGCTCCCGACTTAGGGAATGTATGTATGTATGTATGTATTTATAGCTTTTCTATCCTGTCCCCTACAGAATGTCTCTAGATGGCTCCGGAACATCTCAGGATGTTCCAGTCATCCTATGGATTGTGCTATCCCACTCAATTCTTTTCCCATAAGAAGAATTAATTAAGCAGCTGGATTAATAGATAACCAGTGAATCGTCCAATGCTACTGGAGTCCCTGAGAATGTTACCAGTGGTATGGAGTGGTTACAGCCGTCCCCTTGCTAAAGGGCATCTGTGAATAAGCCACCCCAATGGCATGAACAGAAAGCCTCCAGTCCAGTCATCTTCTGTATACACGTTTCTCAATAGCATTAAAGCAAGCTGGAGCAACCTCTCCAATAAGTCTGTTTGCCAAGGCTCTTATGAGCTTGCGTCAATGGCTTCTTGTACAACTTCCCCTATATCAACATATTCTCTTACCCTGGCATGTTTTGCCATTGGGCGTTACTCGGTAACCTGTTGGACAGAAACACTGGTAACTTCCTAAGGTGTTTCTGCACTCGTGCTGACAAGCATCTCTGTTCTCACATTCATCAATATCTGTAAAAAGCAGAAAGGCAAAAACATTCAGATACTGAGGGCAGGAGACAAACTAACACTGAAAAAACTCTTGGAGCAGTTAAATTCTTACACACAGAGAGGTACTCTAAGCCACAGAAAGTTTATGTTTTAGGGCTACAGTGGTACCTCGACTCACAAACGCCTCAGTTCACACAACCAAATTGGGTCGCGAACAAAAATTTCATGAAAATTTTGACTCAGGTCACGAACTCCGCATTGGGTGGCGACCACGATCATGGCCATCTCCCCGCCCCCCCTGAGTGGGGAGATGGCCATGATCGTGCTGGGGGCAGTTGGGGGGAGATGACTGAGATCACGCCCATCTTTTCCTGCAGGAGCGGGCCCGTGATTGCACCCATCTTCCCTGCAGGAGCACAACCGCGATCTCGGCCATCTGTCCCCCCAGCATGATCACACCCGTCTCCCCCCCCCCCCCCCCCGCCCGCTTCCCCCCCCCCCCCCCCCCCCCCCCAGTGTGCCCGCGTTCATGCCCATCTCTCCCACCCCGCAGCGTGCCCGCATTCGTGCCTGTCTCTCTCCCACTAGCATGCCAGGATGATGGGCGTGATCGCAGTCGCACAGGGAGTGGTGGGGAGATGGCCACGCTCATGCTCGGGGTGGTGGGGGGAGATGGCCGTGATCTTTGTTATTGTCACTTTGCTTCACATTTTTCTGATTTAAAAAAAAAAATAGTTACAGAACGGATGAACCTTATTTACATTGAACCTTATGAGGAAATTTGACTTGGCTCACGACCAATTTGGCTCACGACCAGAGTCCTGGAAAGGATTAAGTTCGTGAGCCAAGGTACCCCTGTATTTAAGTGTCTTCTTTAGATACTGCAGTTGAGTCGTTCTGAAGAACCCAGTCACATCCAAGCCTTTCCAGGGTTCGCCGCATGTAACATTTCTTCTAAAGTTCTCTTGATTATTAGACCAACGTTTCTTGCCAAGTCCTTCAAAGCAGGCAGAAGGGAGAATCTGAAGTCAAAAGTTTCCAGTCATGGTCTGCAGGAACCGCTGGGTGGCTGGAGAAGTGACAAGGGAGGAGGACGTGGCCTGCAGTGCACCATGCCCAAGGACTACTCAACAAGCTCCAGAGGGTCTTTGTTACCAAAGCCAGTCATTCATGCCTTCTGGGAGTCACTAATCTAATATATGGCTCCCCAGGGGCCAATCTCTCATTGGGCACAAACGCGTCCCTCACGCCTTCGATGAGCTCAGCTTCTTACACTGAAGGTGAGTGGGGTACCATAGAGAAGGAGCAGAATTCTACCAATAAGGGTGGGACATTGGCATTTAGAAACTAGGGGAAGGGCAACATTTTTCCAGTTAGAGCATTTGTGTGATGATATATTTTACAATATTGGTGGATGTATCCTGGCATGGGTTCCGTGTACTACTCCAAGCAGGTGCCATCCATGAGATGCTGTTGCTCATACAATATTATTTGATTTCAGTTGTTCAGTAAATTGCTTCTATATGATGCTTGATATTGTATTGTTTCGCATGTGTCTTTTGTAAACTGACTGGAGAACTTAGGCCATTGGAATAGAACTGTAAACTCATTATCACCCCTGCATCAGGTGCAAACAACATGTTACTCTAAAAATGTAGCTGGCAGTTATATCCTTGTTTTCTCTGCACTCAAAAGCAAGCCACAGGGGTCCCAAACCGCTTTGGATTGGGGGGGGGGGTTAACCCTTTGCTCCCTGCTGCAGTGTTATTCCAGTTCAGGAACTGCAACCCTGAAATTTGCATTGGCCAAAACTTATCCATTTGTTCCAATGCATTTAATAGGTGCATCAGTCCTTTAGATGAAGCAGCTGCTTAGAATCAAGCCAGGAAAAGTATGAATTTGGAATGTGCTGCAGCAGGAGAAAACAGAGGAAGAAGAGACATAAGACAAAGCCCCACTATGGCGGATCCATTCCTATACTGATGGTTCCCAAATACTTGTTGCTCTGAGAAAAACATTGTCCCCATTGCCCTCCGCCGATGGACAAGTATTTGTCTCAGAGAAGCTCATTTTTGTTTTATTTCTTCCCCGCCTTTCGAAAGGACTTGATGCACAAAAAGTTTCCATTACTTATCTGCTTACTTAGGTCGCTGCTCAAAGAAGATGGTTGATTTCAGTTTTGATCTTTACACACGCCACTTTGCATGTAAACAATTGGATTGGTTACACTAATTGGCTATAGATACGGGTTGGGAGTGACTGCCCCCTCCACCCTGAGTAAATGGTGCCCCTTGGAAGCAACCCTCTGCCTTTGTCCAGAAAGGCCGTTCATACACATGTAAATAATGAAACAGACATCCTGGGATTGATTCAGTGAGGCATCACATCCAGGTTTGCACCATTTTTGCCTCTACTTTAGGGAAAACTATCCAGCAGCTGAGCAGCACATGAACTGCTGCTGCTAAAAGGCAGTAGAGAAAACCCCATTCATTTTTCTCCCTAAAGCCACAAAACACAGTGCTTCTTTCTATTTGCTGTTCCAAGTTGCATCACATGTTCCATGATCGATAGGAATATTCCAGAGACCTATCCTAAAACAAGCAATCAGTGATGGAAACCAGCAGCTGTCGTAACTAAAGCCGCACATGAATGGACCTCAGAGAATGAATTGCGGTGGAACGCGTCAGCTGAATCCGTCTTGAGTTGCTCTGTGATGGCTCATTCACACATGGAATTCACCCATCCATGCCACAGACATCGTGTTGCATGTCTGTGTGTGAACGGGAGAGTGAGAGGGAGGCGGGTCTTAGCCACGGGATGAGGGTCTCTGATATTCTCCTCCATCTTAGTGGGGAAAAGTGTGGAGAAACACCATGTGTTTCCACCCAGTTTTGGGTCGGAAGCCACGTGGCACTTCTGCCCTTTCACCTGTGATAGCCCTGAGGTGAGAGGCCTCTGTGGGGTGCTGTCACTTTGTGCAGCAGCTCTTGCCTGGGGAGCGCATTTCTTCATGCATGCTGCTGGGGCCCCCCAGATGGAAAGCAGCAGAACTGTAAGTGGCACCACATTTCCGTTCCTGAAGATGCTCCTCCCCAGATGAAGGAAGCACCGAAGCAGAGTGAACTCTGTGGCGTTGCTTCAGATGAGAAACTGTCCGCAATGAGAGGGGCAGTTCAGCCTGGTTCCTTGCCCCCTTGGGTCATGCCCATCCGGACTCTTGAGCCAGAGAATGGAGCCAGGGGTGGCTTGGGGAAGTGGGGCTCCAGAGGAGCCCAGGTGCTCATCTCAAGGCCATCCTTCCCAAGTGCTCAGGCAGGCTCTTGGGAAAACCAGGATGTGCAGCTGTCAGGTGGGAGCATGGGAAAGGAGCTCCCAGAGTCCAGACAAAGCTGTTACGACTCTTGATCCCATGACAGGGCGGTGGGAGAGGAGAGCTGGCCAACTAGGGGTCAGTGTGCATAGAAAAGGCCTGCTTGCTTGCTTCCAGACGGGCCTTCCTAAAGGAATCGGGCCCAGGCATACTCAAAAGAAGGGTTTCCAGAAGCAGTTGTTTACACTGGGTTCGACTAACCTCTCTGTGCATGCCCAGAGACACATTCTATGGTGACTGAGTTGATGGGGCATACTTTGGACAATTAAGAGCTTTTGCAAAGGACCGGTCTGTTCCCTTGCATGTGCAGAGGGAGGAAAACCCAACTCACAACAGGAACCAGTCAACAACGTGGCCTCACTTTTGTTCCTCAAAAGCAGGAGTAAGCAAGAGAGTTCCTGAAGGTCCCACTGAGCCCTCAGATGTCTTTCTTGTTACCCACCAATTGTTTTGTCCTTCCCATTTAAAAAAGTCATTTTCTTGCCAGCTGTTGGGATTGCTTGGTACTGAAAATGAGAGATTCCAAGGACCTTACTGTGCTGGGGCTCAGACCACACTTCTGCCTTCGATAGGCGAAATCTGGGTAGGTGACTTGCTCTTTCAGCACCTCCCATTTCATGTGGCGCCCAGGTGATCTTTGCACATTCCCACCTGTGTCCATACCCTGCAAATTTGCCTGCCATTGCCCAAGAGAACATACACAAAGGGCAGTCTGTGACTTGTTCACTCCATATACCCCAACCACCGCAGCAACATACATAGTTTAAAGGAGAGAAAACATGAAAAGGACAGGCAAAGTGGCTACACCCGCTTTCTCATCCCGGATCACTGGCTAAAGTGATCTCCCTCTTCATGCCTACCCAAGAGGCACCACCCTTGAGCCGATTCATAAATCAGACTCTCCAGGCCAACTCACACAAGACCTCCCACAGAGTCCGTGTCAATTATGATGTTTCCGCAGTCCCAAAAGCCAGCGCTCGCTGGGTGGGACATTCCCTTTCCCCACGTCCACTGAAGTTCTGGAAATTTTGGCATAAACAAAGCTTGCCGTCTATGTTAGAATGAATTTTTGCCGTACGTGGGGGCAGAAGGAGGATGATGGAGTGGCATGGTCTGAGTGGCGGGGGACTGGCAAGCTAATTCGCAGTTGTTTGGGAAAGAGTGGGATTTGGTTTTTAAAGGAAAGGCAGTCAGTCAATTATTTCCTGCAATTTGGTCCTCTACCCCATTAAATCACACATCATATTGGTGCATAAAAGCAACCTAACAGTGAATGAGCACAGAGAAAATAGACAGAAAGAAAGAGAAAAGGGAACGAAGGAAGGAAGGGAGGGGAGGGGAGGGGAGGGGGAGGGAGGGAGGAAAATTTGCATCATAGACAAACATGTATATATATATATACACATACATATATGTGACATTTACCTATACATTTGTTATTTCTTGCCTCAAAGCCTTCAGGGCAAGTCTTTCTAACATTCCTTTTAGTCCTGGAGATGGGAACTCTGCTGTTTCTATACTCTGTGTAGGAGCTGTAGAGACTGGAGGATTGCCTGATATATTGCTGAGGTCGGTAGTTGTCTCTCATGGGGGAGAGCTGGGCATAGTTATAGCTACTGTAGTAGGTGCCATAATTTGGCAACCTCTCCAATCCGGCACAAGATTTGCCATCGCCTAATAAATGTTGTCCAGGGGGACAGATACACTTGAAGCTGCCGGGGCTGTTCACACACTGATACGCGCAAGGCTTAGGCAGTTGTTCACACTCATTAGTGTCTGCCCATGGGACATGGTTCCAAAGCATCACACCAGTGGCAAGGGGAGGGAGAAAAAATGACAACACAAAAGAACATTAAAAAGCACATCAGTCTGCAGAAAAAACTTACACACACACAGACCCACCCTGGGCCCACATAACATGGGGGCAAATTAAATGCTTTATGAATACAGCAAGTGAAACAGAGGCCTGGGTAATTTTACTTTGCTTTGGGGTTTTCCAAAGGTGGCATTACCGAGGATTGCCAGGTCCAGTCCCTGAGGGGGTTTTCTGAACCTTGAGCAGAGATGTCTGGATATTATTCCCATAATCCCTTTCCATGGCCCAGGCTGCCCACAGCTGTGAGCTGTGCCTGCCCTGCTTCCACAGTTGCAGAATCTGTGTGGAAATGTCAGCAGAATCATGTTGTGATCTTAATCACACCTGGCAGACACAAGGGTCTTATTTCAAAGAGGTCGTGCATAAGATCGCACTGGGAAGTCTTTGGAAAGGGTGTGAAGATGCATCTTTCAGTTCAGCCCTTTCAAATGTGTAGGTCTGATGTTTTACTTTTATACTTCTTGTAATATCATTGTTTTTCTTGTTTTAAGCTTTTCTTGTTATAAGCTGCTGCATATAACTGCCTTGGTGTTTATTGCTTTTGTTTTTGTTAGGCAAGGCAGTATAGAAATATTAATAATGAAGAAAGAAATGCTAAAATCAAAAGCTCTTTTCAACAATGAAAAGCGGCAGTGAAAAATAGATGGAAGGGCTGAAGAAGTGCTAGCAAGCTGTTTTTAGACGTGCAGCGTTTCTGACTATAGCAGAACCTTGGAAGAAGCATGCTGCAACTTGTTAAAAGCCATGTTTACAGCCAAAGAATTGTTTAGTCCATGTCCCCTTTTAAGATTAGAACAAGCCTTACAAGAACCCCTTTGGCAATCTTGAAAGCTGTATTAAGTTCAATGGGAGCTTTTTCTTCTCCGCAAATAGCAAGTTAGGACTATTGGGGGGGATGGTCCCACAACCACCCTGTCAAAGTCCTGATCTTAACCATCTCTTCATGTTCTGCACTCAAGTGCTAATGATGTGACCAATGAAACATTTAGCTTGGCCCTCAAATAATGAATGGCACATCAACTTACCATTCATTATGAAATCAAATGCCATGCAAAGGACTAGCCATGATCAGGAACGTGCATCTTCCTTGTTGTTCTGATAAATGCACATTTATTTTATCAGGTATGATAAAACTTATTTCATCAATCATGTTCACCAGGATTTCAATCAAAGGTCTTAGCTATCTCCGAGACCTGCTGATTTTAAGATGCAAGTGATCTTGAGCCATTTTTGTTGCCTAAGCGACAGGCAAACTTGGGCAATGGTACTCCAGTCCATCCAGCCCCTGCTTCCAACTTACCCACACATGGTCTTCCAACTCCCTGGGATCTGTACCCTCTTGGGCACATACAGTGGTAGCTTCCCCGTGAGTTTTCACATATCTGGTTGTAACGGCACTGATGGGTACCATCTCTGCATTCATCAATATCTGACAAGAAGCACAAGCAAAGTACTGCTGTTTTTGCTGCAGCAAAACTGCCCTCTGCTTTTTCATCCTCTCCAAGGGTTTGTACTCTCCTGCTGCAGTGCTCTGTACCCCACCCTGAATTCTGATTTCTTCTGGGACCTTGATTATCAGAATGTGGAAAGTAAGGTTCCATTTAGATGCCAGGAAGCTCTTCCTGACAGTTAGGACCCCAAGGGTATGGAATGGGCTTCCACGAGAGGTCGTTGAGGCCCCATTGGTGAGTGTGTTCAAGGATAGGCTAGAGATGCACATGGTGGGCATGTCGTGAGTGGAGCCAGCTGGAGCTGGGGGTCAGACTAGATGGCCTGGGAGGCCCCTTCTGATTCGCTCTGTTTCTATCCCATCTGTGCTCATTAGACAGCACACACCACTATTCTAAATAATGATCACTGTCAGGGAATGAGGAAGATGGAAGCATTAAATGCTCAACAGAAAGTGAAAGTTTTGCTTTCCTTTTTGAGTTGTGGCCCTTATGGATTCATGTAGCAGCGTTCATGTTTATGATGTCTGAGTCCTGAGACTAATAAAGGAGTACATGAATGAAAGTCAAAGATGCTATGGAAGGAAAGAGACAACACTGAAACAGCAGGGGATGCCATGATTCTTGGCTATATGGTACTTCCAGACGGAGGGCTGGCTACACTCTTCGTTAAAAGCCATTGATCAGTTGTCTCATCTTTCCCTCTTTAATGATTTTTTGTGATAAGAAAAAAGATGGAGGACAGTTACAAGTGAAGTTGATGACCCTGGGTCTCCATTCAAAATTCTGTGAAAGAGACAGGGCAATTGCACAATAAAAACCTTCTCCGGAAACACTCGTAGCTTTTGCAAATCTTTAGGAAAATAAGTGTACCTACCTATACAAGTTCCATTTTCTGCTTTGGTCATTCCATTTGGACAGAGATCAATGCATTTATAACCACCTCGTGTGTTCTTGCACAGCTGATCATGTCTGCACACATTTTGCCTACATTCATTCACATCTTTAAAAAGATAGGAAGCAAAATAGCTGAATGGATCGTGTCATTTTTCACCTTACGTGGGTTAAAGGTAATCTTCTTTTCCTCTCTTCTTTCTCTCTTCCATATACTTGTGCACCTTTAAAAATCACACTTTAGATACGAAAATGATTGCTTAAAAAATCATTATGCTGCTCAAAAGATAATGACTTACAATTTGTGTGCTGCACCAAAATCCAATTAAAGTGCAATTCTGTGCATTTTTAAGTTGAAGAAGCTCCCACAATTCCCAGTATTTGCTGGCTGGGGAATTCTGGGTGTTGTAGGACTTTGTTCTGCTGAAACATACACAAAACTGCACCCTTCTTTGACTTTCTATTATTATAAGTGAAATAGACTGCAGTGTTCATCAAAATGTATTTCTTCACCCCTTTAAATATACACTGCACTGTATTTATGCAAAGAGAAACAAATCTTTCCATTTAGTAAAGATAACCATGGTGCTCCTAACCTGAAATGTTCTACATTATCCTTCAGGTTCTCAACAGTAAAAGTGACTTAAATGCTCTCAAGTGTGAAATATGCATAATTTCTATTCTTACTTGCGCCTTTAGACCTTAAATGGGAAGTTCTGCTTTTTATTCAGTCAGCTGCTATCACAGTACAATATCTAATGTCTGAATTACAAAGTGACAAAAATTACTGCGGCATAAGTTCTTCTGGAGAACTCATTTTGGTGTGACACTGATTATAAGAATCCCCATCCTACTTTTACATGAGGCAGGAATGTCCTGGACTGTGACTCAGTTAATAAAGAAGACCTTTTGTATCTTGTTTAGAGAGTGGTCTTCGTAAGACTAAGAACATCAAACATTACAGTATGGAAGCAGAATGCCACTTGAATGACACCTGCACAAACACGCAGCATGAGGCCAAATTAAGGAAGAGAGATAGTGGCCTGGAGATTATTTAGCCAAGTTGAGGACATCCAGTGGAGTTCCGCCCCAAAAGCAGATTCTTCAGATATCCCCAGGGCCCTTGGCTGTTACAACCCCTTTCCTCATAGATGCCATTAATTGTGCTTTGCTGCTCCCCATCAGAGCAAGGGCTTTATATCTGTGATCCCCTTAGGCTGAGGTGGAGGAGAGCAGACAGGTTGGCCCTGCCATGGGGCAGGTAGGCATGGTAATGAGCATGGCTGAGCAGGAAACTCAGCCAATACAAAGAGCTGCAGAATAGAACACACCGTCTTTCTGCCTGCCTGCCTTTCCCCTGCAGAAGGACCATTTTGGCAGTGAAGGGGATGTATCCTCTTGCCACTGCAATATCCTGAGGGAATAAGGAATTATCCCCACTTCTTGTGGGCCCAGTTCTCCCTCCTTTCGCCATGTATTTTCACAGATACCAACTTAAATAACCAACATGAAACACTTTTTTTGAATAGCATAGCATTAGACTACATTTAGGCTGACCCCAGAACCTGGTCTAAATTCTGGATCAGTGGCTGGAAAGCTGTGAACATGCTAGAAGGATTTTGTTTTCTAGAAGTGATGCACTGTCCTTGTCCATTTCTGTGCTCTTTCCTACCCATGCATTTCCTGCCTTTTAGCTGATATCCTGGGTCACATCCACAGTGGAAGCTTCCAATGGTGTTGAAGCAACGTTGATGGCACGGGTTCAACTCCTGGCATTCATTAACATCTGTGGAATAGGAAGGACATCAGCACACATTCCTTACCCTGAAGATATGCTGTGCAAAGGGCTGAATTTGACCAGTCCTACTAAACAGGGGCAAATCACTTGGGGGGTGTAGGAAGAGGGATTGCTCAACCCCCATGGCTCTTTTTTCTGCATCCTCTAATCAAGCAGCCAAGGTTCTGCATGTGAGAACAATGATATGGAGGGACTCCTTTGTAAGTGCTAGCATAAGAAACCCCAGGATTGTGGGTGGTTGTGCGTGAAAGTGTGAAGAGTGTACCCTCCTCCAGTCGTGGCTCTTGGGCAAAAAGGGGCTCTGCCCCCCCACCCAATCCTGCTCTAAATCATAAAATGAAAGTATTACATATTACACCTAAGCAGCAAGAACTTGTGCTTTAGCACATGTGAGTGAAAGCGCACGGATGGAGAGCATCTGCCTTACTGGGCATTTTGGACACTGCAGAAAACTTGCCTGAAAATCACAAATTGAGAAGGCAAAAAAAGACCACTTATTCCAATCTGTTTCTTGCTACCTCCCAGGAGCCAGCCTATCCTCATGGAAATGTTGGCTTAATGTTGTTGTACATTATTTAACGGCCATTGTCAACAGATAAATCCTTCACCATACCTTGGCAACTCAATCCATCTGACGTTCTTCTGAAACCAATCCCACATCGAACCACACATCGGAAAGAGCTGATCATGTTCTCACAGTCTTGGCCAGCATGGCACGAATGCCTCCCCAAAGCACACTCATCGATATCTGCAACAGACATGCACTGTAGTGAGGACATGCCTCAGCACATACCATGGGAGAAGAAGCAGCATCAATGCTACCGTGAAGATACTACCCATCTCAATATCTCGGCTCATGGTAAAAAAAAGCACACGATGAATCAAACTTTGTGAAGTTGAGTCTCAGAGCTTGAGTCCCAATGGAGAAAAGATGGGATGGAATGAATAAAATATAATAAATAATATTATCTTACGCAATGAAAATACTGCCGGGAAAAGTGCAACCCAGCGCAGAGGTTAGCACCAAGTGATATCCAGGACTGATTCTAATTCTCAAGGTGTTGTCTTCTGCAGAGTAGCTGGTCGCTTACCCCTTTTCTCAGGCTACTGCATGACGTCTGGACTGTGTGGTCCTTACCTTGGCATGCTCTTCCATCAGCGGATATGGTAAGGCCATTAGGACATGAGCAATAATAGGTGCCTATGGAATTGTGGCATATGTGGGAACATGGATTTCGAACGGTACACTCATCTTCATCTAATGGGAAAAACAAGACAGGATGACACGTCAGTTCCACCTGCAGAATATAGCTTACTCCATAGATTGGCTGGGGCTGTCCTACTTGGGGCACATCCTGCAAAGACAAGATGCCCTAGAGAAGAAAGGGGAAACCAAGGCCGAAGAAGGAAAGGAAGCCTAGATAAGATATGGGCTGATTCCATAAAGGAAGCCACAGCACAGACAGGATATTTTGGAGGGCTTTCATTCCTAAGTTTCCGTAAGTTGGAGTTGACTTTGTGGCACATAAGAACAACTGAGTTTGGCCATTTGAAGCCTGTAGGGTCTAGTTATCTGCCTGAAACTTGCAATATTCATGTTTAACAATGACAAGGAGGAGGAAAAGAGCCCCATTCCTACCACACTGATAACTCCTCCCAAACTGCAGCTGTAGTATGAACATGCTAAAAAGTTCTAAAGGATAGGAAGCATGGAGGCAAGGAAAAGCAAGCCCAGATTCAATTGTGTTTTTTAAAATCCATCCCCCGCCCCCACGCCATATGCACATGGAGGGATCCTGCAATGGAGTACACCAAAGTGTTTCAAAATGTAATGATGACCCCCTCCTGCACCCCATAAGTGTCAAAGGGTCATTATGGGAAGCAGGACCCACAAATTCTATTTTGCTTTCAGCATTTCTATGTGCAAATGCAGATATGCTTTCATAGGCATCTCTGGATTTTTCCACAGTTAAAAGATGCGATTTCAGAATAAGGCGACAGCATAAGAGCATCATGCTAACCCGATTTAGATTAATAGTCTCTGATTGGCAAAAGAACAAAAGGGAGTTTCTTCCTAGGAACTAGGAAGGGGGATGCATGCTACAGATGGGGCTTATTAAGCAGAAGGATACTCAAAGTCCAAAGGAAGGCAACACACCGAACATTCTGTCTTTAGTTAAATTTCTGGCCATCCTCTTACCTAGACAGTAGGGCCCAGAAGAATCTAAATCAAACCCTTTAGGACATTGGTTGCTATGTTCTCCTGAAGATAAAGGAAGCCAAAGGTTATTCAAACTGGCAGAAGCTCCAGGTCTTATCAAACATCTGATCAATTCTCCTATAGAAGATCGAGCAGACTGCATCTTATGCTGCTCCCAGAAGGAAGAACCAGAACCAGGAAATTCCAAGGAAGTTTTCAGCTGAACAGCAGGAGAAACCTCCCACTGTAAGAGCTGTTTGGCAGAGGCCACCTGACTGGGGTGCCAGGATTGTAGATCCTTCATTGGCCAGGAGGATGGATGAATCGGGATTTCTACAATATCTCTATCTCCAAGGCCCATTACAACTCAATGATTCTATTACACTTATTTTTGAAGTGCTTCACTCTGTATTTCAGTTGAAAATCTCTTTATGCAAAACTACACAAACATTTATGCCAAAATCTACTGCTCTTGAGAGCTTTGCAAGATGTGTTTTATGTAGCACGATGAAAAAGCCAGTCCAAACTAAAAATCCTGATCCAGGGACAGAAAGCTACACTAGAATGTCAGAGGCTGTGAATGCAGGGAGTCTTCTTTCTTTATTAGCACAGAAGGACTTCTTTCAGTCTACTGGAAAGATGAAAAGGCCCAATGTGAAATATGGAAATCTATGGCAGAAAATGATTTGGGCATATTTGGAGCTTTGCTGCCCTGCCATGCCTGGTAAAATATGGAATTGCTATCAGGACATAAGAATCCAGGCATAAAGGTGTACAGGGCTGCACATCCAGCCCTGGACTTTCAGACTTTCATGTTGCTTTCCAAATCCATGACTTTATTGAGGCACATTAGAAATTCCCCACAACCATATATTGCTACACTTATCCATACTGTCTATGAGCATAAGCCTTGGGGCATTTCTTTAGTTTATTTGAAAACTTGTGTTTCCACCCCTTCATTGGCCAGGCATTCCTTACATCAAAGGGAGCGGGATATGCATCCAGCATCCTTTGCATCCACAGCAGTTCCCTTCTCCTAGGACTCGTCATTGCCCAGTCCCAAGCATCTTTTAGATGGATTCTGTTGGATCCAGACTTAGTCATGTTTACATCAAACCCCACTGAAATCAGTAGTATTTTGCTCATGGCTTCAATAAATCTTCTCTAAGCATGACTAAGGCTGGTTCCACCCAGTATAAGATTTTTTGCCTGGAATAGCTAAACATTAATGGACTAAACTGTAGCCTCTTGTTTGCTTCATCTTATTGGCGATTTGCAGGTAGTTTCTGTACATTTGACATCGCCTGATCCGGGACCTTGGGAGTGGGTCGGCCTGGAATCAAAGTCAGTATCCTGGTTTAGACATAATCCACTTTGGAGAAGGTCAAAGCACAAGTTGTACATGCAGACCCCATGAGTACGGTCTCCCCCAGCAATACCTTTTGTAATAGAAGCATGGATTTTGAAAGTCAGAGCTTCTTCAAGTGGGCTGTATTCAGTTTCAACAGAAGAGGCATGGAGCGTTTCCACTAGGAAAGGCATTGCTCCATGATTCTGATCGTAGGAAATGGTATGGTTCCAAGTATATGGTATACTAACTCCATCTATGTTGAAGAGGCGTGTAGAGTAAGCGTAGAGCTGACCAGAGCCTATTTGAATGTAATCTTCTGTATAATCCTGAAATAAACATCACAATCCCAAATTTAGGTGATATGAAATAGGACAGTTTTGTCATCTACAGGCTTCCCATCAAGGATGTTCCCATGCTGGAATACATTTCGGCACACATCTTTGCAACTTCGAAGGCAAGCAGTGTGATCTGTCCAGCCATTTGACTACCCTGATTACACAGCAGGCAAAATGCATTTTTGAAGGCACATGTAAGGTGCAACTCACATGTAATATTCCCCAGGAATTTTGCATGTGATGATACATAAAAAGGGGACACTCATCGAGAGTGTATCAGGTCTTCGGTTTATGGGGAAATAATTCTTTCTTAAGGAATAGGCAGAGTTGTACCTAATCCATGTGTCTGGTGCTACATATGCTGAAGAAAGAGGCAAGCAATAGTTTGTTCAAGTGACAAAACAGAAGGAGGACGAGGGCAAGGAGGGGAAGGGGAAGGGGAAGGAGGATAGATTAACAGAGATTCGTCTTCATTACAACAGTAGAGCAAAAGATCTTGAGAGAAACAGCAAGCAGTATTTATTTATTTGTAGTGTTTATATGCTGCTGAGTAAGAAAACCCCTGCATGCTTTACATATATAAATATGACACACCGGAGCACTCAAGGGTGCAATCCTGTACATTTATTCAGAAAAAAGCCCAGGAGCTTCCAGCGTGCTCCAGCACGGTGGGGTGGCAGGACTCATTTCTGTCCACGCTTGCATAGGGATGTTCCCAAGAATGACTGGAGTTAACTCTTCGTTTGCTGAATGGGCAGACGGTCTCATGGAGCCCTTGCCTGTGGTCCTTTTAACCCTCAGTGATGGTAGCTTTATATGATACCGTAATGTTGCAGTGGCTGACTGTATTAAGTACCAGCAGAGGAAAATCTAAAGAGTAATAGGCATGATTGCGGTAACATCCTGACTCACCTAACATCTACATCAAACTGCTGGGGGAGGTCATCGGGAGGTGTGGGCTGCGGAATCATCAATATGCTGACGACACCCAGTTCTACCTCTTGTTTTCAACTAACCCAGGTGAGGCAGTGGCTGCACTGAACCGGTGCCTGGCCGAGGTAATGGGCTGGATGTGGGCCAATAAACTGAAGCTCAATCCAGACAAGACGGAGGTTCTGTTGGTGGGTGATTCGAGCTCCTGGGTAGGTGTCTTGGGCCTTGCCCTGGACAGGGTTGCGCTTCCTCTAAAGGACAGGGTCTGCAGCTTGGGAGTGCTCCTTGACCTGGAGCTGTCCTTGGAAGCTCAAGTGACGGTGGTGGCGAGGAAAGCTTTCCTCCAGTGTCAGCTAATCTATCAGCTGCATCCCTACCTGGAGGAGGATTGCCTAGCAACAATGACGCATGCATTGGTTACTTCCCGGTTGGATTTCTGTAACGCGCTCTACGTGGGGCTGCCCTTGAAGACAGTCCGGATGCTTCAGATGGTGCAAAGTAGAGCAGCCAGGTTGCTGACGGGGACTGGGCATTACTCTCATATAACCCCAGTCCTCTACCAGCTTCACTGGTTTCCCATCGAAGTCCGGGCTCAATTCAAGGTGCTGGTTATCACCTATAAAGCCCAAAATGGCTTGGGACCAGGATACCTAAAGGAACGCCTTTTTCCCTATTTGCCCTCCTGCCCCCTGAGATCGGCAGCAGAGGCCCTCCTCCGGGAACCCTCTTTGAAAGATGTTAGGAGACAGAGCACCCAGAGGAGGGCCTTCTCTGCGGTGGTGCCCCGACTATGGAATGCACTCCCCAAAGAGGTCTGCCTGGCATCATCATTACATGTCTTTTGGTGCCAGGTAAAGACCTTTTTATTTAATCAATATTTTAATATGTTTTAATATTGTATTTTATTGTCGTATTTTATTAACTTGTAGCCAGAGTGGGTTGTCAATTTACTTATGTTGTAAGCCGTCCAGAGACGCAAGTAATTGGATGGCATACAAATTTTATAAATAAATACATACATACATACATACATACATACATACCTTTACATTAACATCAGCTGATGACTGTGGCTGCAATATGTGGCCACTGATAACAACATCCAAGAGTAAGGAACCCTCTGAGTCCAAGCCACGGCCGATATGAGTCATTCGTAAGATTTCCCCTGTGAATGTTAATAGTAGTTCTAATTTATAAGCAAACGGGGTCTGAAATGTACTAACAATGAACCATTTAACTGTACACAGCACACCATGAGAAGGTAAGTCTCATTGGAGAAGGCAAGCATGCTGGAGAAAGTTGAAGGTGGAAAAAGAAGAGGAAGACCAACCAACTAGGAGTTGAACTGATTCCATAAAGGAAGCCCCAGCCTGGAGTTTCCAAGAGCTCATCAGGGATGCCAAGCAAAGGGCATTTTTAAAGGTTTTCATTGATAGGGTCACATATGTTGGAGATGACTTGATGGCACAGAATAACAGCAACGATTTTTTAAAGCCACCAGGGTGGAGTGGGAGGTTGACAGGGATTGTAGAAGAACCAGTTCCAAAAATGGTCAACACTGTGTTTTATCCCCAGTCTGCACACACATCTCTGTAGGCGGCTTAATGGTTCTCAGAGTAAGAAACAGACAGAAACAGAAGGAAAAATACTGAATTTGTGACTATGGTAAGTGGTTCTAAAGGAAATGTTTGTTAGATCTGCAGAATGGAAAGCTCAGTCCCTTCATAACTAACCAGTCGCAAACTCCACTTGTGTCTCTCTCTTGAAAACTGCATTGGTGAGGGAAAAACCATTCTTAGCTTCCCCAATTTCCTTGGCTGCTGTCCAATAAATAGGACTCAGAATAGAAACTAGTGTTCTCATTGCTGGACCTTTAGAAGGAAAAGAACCCATTGTTATAAGAACAGCAACATTTGTTTTCGATATCGGCACCCTTTGTTTTCATATAATTTTATATTACTTCCCAGAACCCACCCCCTTAAAAAATTGGCTCAAACTCTCTGGAATCTTGAATAAACATTTCCCTTTTTAGCTGATTGCAATCACATTTCTTAAAACAGCACAGCCAGGCATGACCCTGGACTCGCAGCTCCACATCCTGGCACCAACCAGAGTGGCCTTGTCCCAAGAAGTAGCCAGGAAGGGACAAGATGTGCTCAGCAGCGATGCCCTATTCTTGGTGCCTCCTCAGCAAGCCCAACTCCTGCACTGCCACTCGTGCCTTGGGGGACAGTGCTCCCGTGGCAGCAGTGGGGTCATGGATTCTGCAGGGCCGCCCCAAGAACAGGGCATTCTGGCTGCATGCATGCCCCTGTTTGCAAAGTGTGGGAGCTGAGAGCCAGTGATCAGTGGAGTGGATACCTGAAGAACAAGGCCGGAGCATGGAGCGGAGAAGGCATCCCACCTCCAACTCCCAAGGCAGGCTGTCCAGGAAGGTCAGATAGTTTCCCTGTCTTCTCCTCTGCATTTCAGATCATGAGCCCTGTTTGGCAGGAGAGACCCTTGGACAGGCACAGGGAGACAAAGCCAGCTCGCAAGCATGGCGGCCAGAGAGAGGACCCTAATCCCTTCCCCTGGTATCCCCTCCGATACCACCTGGAGGAATGAGAGAGCAGGAGGTGGGTGGAAGGAGGAAAGCAACCCCCAGGAACCTTATGTCTGCTTGGCACATCCACCAACCCATCATGGTTACCACAATGGGTTCTTGTGATGTGCAAACCCACTCCAAGAGGGATGGTGAAAGTACAGTGCTAGGCATGTGCATTCCTGCTCCCCCCCCCAATCTTATTGCTATGGAAATAAATGGTGTCCCTTTAGCTAACAACTCTCCCACGTGAATAATATGTGCCAACTCAAATTTCACATTACGTTGGTCTTCATGCAATGTCATGGCGAAACATGGGAGGATGGTCCAGTTAACAGCAAGGATTTGGCTCCTAGTGGCCACACAGTCAAAGAAAACCATGCTGCCCCATCGCTGTGATGAGCATTCCCTGTGAGCCAGTATTTCAGCAGAATTAAACTATTTACTATTTGATAAGCCTATGTCGAAAGGATCAGACATACCAAGACTCCGAGGGATATTTGTAATTTTGGCTTGTATCCTTCTAGCATCCAAATCTGGACTTTCTATTATGGAGGCATTCAGGAAAGCGATTCCAAACTCAACATTGTTGATATTGCCAATGACACTGCCTCTGGTGCGTGGAGGTCCACCTAGTGATGGAGTAGTTGGGAAAGGGGAAAGGAAATACAACTGAAAGAGCACTTCTTCGTACAGCAGGTAGTCATAGGATGGAGTTCAGTTCCACAAGATGTGGTGACTCAGGTGCCTTTAAAAAGGAATTAGACAGATTCAAGAAAGGTAAGACAATTAGTGGTCATGATGGCTGTAGATGAGGTCCAGTAACATGAACAGTGAGCTTCTTCATACCAGTGGATAGAAACATGAACAGACGATTATGAATGCACACATGTCATGTTTGTGAGCGTCCCATAGCCAAAGTTGGCTATGTGGGAAGAGAACACTGGACTAGATCAGCTGCTGCTCTCATCCAACAGGGCTCTTTTTGTATCCTTATGTTCCAAAATATGTGCATCAGTAAAATCTCTTCGCTTGTCCCCTTGGAAAAACAAAAACAAACATGAGTTCTGGGAGGCCATAGTGGCTTCTCTGTTTGGAGAGAGATTCCGTAAAACCGTGCACTTAAATGGCAACATGACCAAACTTCTACCAGGCCATGTAACCCTGGAGGTAACTCCTGAGCCTGTTTAGAAGCACATTTCACAGAACGAAAAAGCAGAGTGAGAAGCAGAGTCTTCAGTGTGAAAGGCAACTGTTGTTTAACACTGCTTGCCAAAGGGAATGCTACAGAGCGTGCCAGGAAAGGAAACTGAACAAATTCCTGCAGGAATTCAGGCAGGCTTTATGCAATTCTCTGGTTAGGATCTTGGCCAGAGCAAATACACTTCTTTGTGTTCTGGTGCCACATTTTAAGGAAACAACTGAAAAAAAAAATATTCCGCACATTGACAAGAAGAAACGTACCTTTTCTACTACACTTATTTTCAGAACATTTTACTAGATCTCTGTGTATTTGTGTGCCTTCAGGTGGGGAGACTGACAAGCAACTTTTCTTGGATTGCACAGCAATTTTAATGACTTTTCAACATTTTAGGCCCCTGTCTGTGCAGCCATAAGAAGAAATGGTTGGATTCCTGTGCAAATATTGGCCAGGTAGTTTAAGCAAACAGCTTGCAAACTGCTCATTGAGTCTAGCTGAATATAAGTCAAAATGTCACTCTGTTTAGCCCTGGCAACTCTCCAGACGTGTGAGCTAGTGAGAACTAACCGGCAGACAATTTCTGAGGTTTGTTTCTCCTCTGCCAAAAAAGTGAAGACCAGACACAACAGCCCAAGCCCTCGCAATGCCAGTAAATGCCATGGTGCTGCATCAGCACCTGGAAACAGGAGCAGCACTGTGGAATTGCCCCGGACATATAAAGCTGCTCCTTCCCGACTCCCATCATTGGTCCATCAAACCCTGAGGCTGGCAAGGCAGTGCCACAGGGCTGCAGGACACCCCCCAGGTACCTGCCGACCCACGATGCCCCTTTTGATGCGCTGCCATTGATTAAAAGAAACCCCTTGGGTGGCCGAAAAGCAGCAGAGCTCCCACCTGCAGGCCTCTTTGCTCCACAGGGAAATGGAGAGCAGCTCCCGGCCAGCATTCTGCTGCTTCCCAGCCAAAATTCTCTTGAAAGGGAGTGAGGGAGGGAAGGAAGGAAGGAGGACTGTTCAGTACATTGGACTGGCATTGTGGGCGTTGTGGAATGGCCTGGGGTTGAGGGCAGAGGAGAGCATTGGGCAGAATTCGGGCAGTTTCCAGAGAGAGCATCTGGTTTGTGGTTGGGGGAATGAATCAGGCACAGGAAGAGGGAGTGTGTGCACACACTGGGGAGGGGATGTGAATGTGAGACAGGGAGAGGAGGAGGAGGAGGAGGAGGAGGAGGAGGAGGGAGAGTTTTGTGGGGCACAGTGATCCAGAGGGAAAGAGGATCTTTTAAAGGGGGTGATCCAAAGAAAAAGAGAGAAATTGTGCCTGGAGTGAATGGGATGTGTATGCCAAGAGCATATGGTGAGGGAGGCAGCTTGGGGTGGGCAGGCTTCTGAATAGGAAAGAGAACAGCAGCTTCAAATGAATGGGTCTGTGCTTTGGCTCAGATCTCTGACATGGATTCAGGCTTTGGGGGAAGTCTCTTGTGCCTTCCATCCCTGCTCTGTCTCTCAGTGAAAATGACATTTTTGCAACCACCTGTGCTCAGCATGCCAGCTTTTTTATGGATAGGCAGTGCCTCCGTTCTCAAAATTCCAAGTGTACCCAATGGGCCCAAAAGAGGGGACCCCCCTGACCCAACTCAACAAGCAGCAGAAGCCCTCCAAGGCCCCAGGGCATCCCTGCAGCTGCCGGGTCTCTTCATTCTCTCTTCCTTATTGCCTCTGAAGCAAAGGGCAAGCAACAGGCCGTCCTATGCCTTTCATCTCCCTCCTCCTCACCTGTGCCCCCAGTGCAATAGGCAAGGGGACATGCCCAGCACAAGGTCACACATTTTCTTGTACTAGACATTGCAAGACAGACAGTGCAGAGCCACGGCAGCAAATCTCTCTGAGTCTTGTAAAGTCTACTTTTGCTCATCCCGTTTCTAGCCTAGTGATGAAAAGGTGCTAGAAGAAGATGGGCTCCAGCTTTCCCTCTCCTCAAGCATCTGCATTCAACATGGACCGAACGCCTGAATTGTGCACTGAGATCCAGAATACACCTTCATTGAAGGCGAAATATTAAGCATCATGACAGCCATAACATGTTTCCTCTGCATTTGATACACACCACTGCAACTCGCTGCCTGTCTACCTACCTGGACAAGCTTGAGCGTTACACCTGGATATCTGAGACTCGTCTCCAGGACAGGGGCGCCCCTTGTTAGAAGGGGGTGGACTGCTGCACAGCCGCGTTCGAGTCTGCTCCCCTCCTCCACACGAAGCAGAGCATGCGCTCCAGGGCTGCCAAGTCCCCCAGTTCCCGTCCTCTGAAGATGGAGAGCAGAGTTAGCTGAAGTGCTGTTCCTCTGACGCATTCTGTGCTGTGCTTCAGCAGTGTGAGCAAAAGTTCCTTTGCTGTGGCATGTGTGTGAGTGTGGGGTCAAACCAGAATACTGTGTGCAAACACAGGTGGGAGAAGAGAATGGGTAAGGTGCGGCCATGGGCCTGCAGCTGCACCAGTGGGAAGGCTGATGGAGCCCCCGTAGCAGATCTCCTTAAAAAAAACCCACTCTAGTTGACTTAAGTTTACCTGCACAACTCTTGTCCCACATTAGTGCCTTTTTAAAGGCATAAGCTGCATGGATGAGAGCGGATTTTTCTTTCGGATGTGGGTCTACCCAGTCATTTGAAAAGTGCAATGCGCATGGAAAGAAATTGCAGCATTGGGAGCTGGCTGTCACATGCAGCAACAGGCTCCAAGCCATGAAGAGAAAAATATAAACATGAGCAAGGCTAGAAGGAAAGTGAGAAGGCAAAGGGACCTGCACATGAAGCTATGTAACTGACAAGCAAGTGTGTCTGACAACACCTTGGCCTGTGATATGAGAGATCAGCCTCCTCAGTGAGCTGGCCACCTTTTGCTTAAGGCCAAGCTGGAAAATATTTAGCATTCTTGGAGGAGGCTGAGAGCCTAGAATATTCCTGAGGGACACCATTCCAAGTACCTGATCACACAGTCAGTGCAGAGTGGAGCTAAACCCATGTTGTCCATCCTACAATTTCCTTTCCCTCCAACCAGGGGTTGATACTTAACCCCGCTTTAAAGGCATCTGCTTCTAGTATCTCGGTTTTAGAAATGACAACGCACACAGGTCTCTTTCGGACAGAATCCAGATTATGGCTGCTGGTAGACAGAAGTGGTTGCCACGAGCATACGAAGGGCACTTACCAGGACACAACTCTGCGTGGCACCTCTGGATCTGTGTATCTGCCCCGGCACAAGCCCTCCCTCCATTGAGGGGGCGAGGGCTGTCGCAGGTCCGGTATCTCCTCATCTGGCCGCCGTTGCAAGTTCGGCTGCAGGCTCCCCAGCTGCTCCAAGGGCCCCAGCTGCCATGCACTGTGGAGAGGGACCATTTGGCTCATGTGCATCTCAAGGCATGGGAACCCCGTGCAGCCATTTCCCCCCAGATCGGAGGACCGTTTGTGGACCGACGGAGGCCTCCAGCTTCTCAGCAAGGCGCAGTGGGTGGTCTTCTCATGTGGGAGCCCTTTTCACTGGGGCTGGACTGCGCATGCCTCGTTCAATGCTGCATGTGCGCAGTGTAGCTCCCCTCCCTCGCTCCTCCGCAAGGGAGATGTCATGCAGGATCCATGGGGCTGCCTCATCGCCTCTAAGGCATTCTGGCTTTGTTGTCCTGCTATCTCCCTTAGGCAGCAATGCCATCACCCCACAGCTGCTCTGAAGGTCAGAAACCTGACCTTGGAGAAGGAGATAAGGACCGGGCTGGTGGATGGGGTTAGGGTTAGGAGTTATCCCAAGGCCTTTTCTTCCTTCCTTCTCTGATGCACCCCAGGAAGATGGGCAAAACAGTCTGTCCAGCCAAGAAAAAAAGGCAGGGTGGGGGGCAGGATTAGAGGGGGTCATAGAATATTTCAGCTTCCAGATCTGAGGTCAGAGACAATGCCCCAATCTTGGGTGGTGGGGGGTGGGGATTCCCTGCTCATTTGCACTTGGCTGTTCTCCGAAGTCAGGAATGCAACCTCGAAGAAGGGGACATTTTGGAGAGGGGGAGGAGAAGAGACGGCAGAGGTCAGGATGTGAGTTAGCTAAGTGTCTCCATCTTCTCTCCCACCTGAAGCATCCCATAGGGAAAAAGTCTACCTACTAAAAGATGCAGGATGGGTAGACGAGGAGCTGGATATCATCTCCACCACTCCTCCTGCCCTACATACTTGGTTCTCCAGCCTGAGTTAAAATGAAGGAAATCCTTCTGAGGGTGTGGGGTGGGGGAGCAATGTTAAAATCTGCCTCTTTTCTCTAGCATTCTAGTTATCCAAAGGAAATCAGCTGATCTGATCTGCACTCTGGGAAGGATAAAAGTTTTTTGTAATAAGCTCCAGGTTGCCCCATAGTTCTAAAGCCCAAGGCACTTACTGGGACAAGGGCTGTCATTACAAAAGTCAACCTGCACATCATCCCCTTCACATTTGTCGCCACCGTATTGTGGCGGTGGGTCTGAGCAATCTCTCGTTCTCTGGCGTGTGCCACCTCCACAAGACATAGTGCAGACACTCCAGCTGGACCAGGAAGTCCACTTTCCATTCACTGTTCGAAGATGAAAGACAGATTGAAAGTTTACATGCTGTCAATTACAACTCCAATCCCATGTTCTGGACACTTTCCACAAGAACCACAAAAGTTTCCAAGGACAATGCAAGAGAGAGAGGAGGACCTTCATCCACATGGGGTAACAGGGGTGTGTGTCTCTCTCTTTCACAGAAAGGAAGGATACACCGCAATCACTCCCTTAACCTTACCTCCCATCCCCTTCAGTGGTTTGCTCTAGCAAGTGTGCTGGAAGGGGATGCTGACAAAACAAACAGAGGAGAGCCGCAAGGATTCAGTGGCCCTTTCTGTACCCCTTTCCCATATGCTGCTGCATGTTAAAGAAAATCAAAGGCAGAAGAAGAAAATGAGAACTGAACATGAGGTGGCTGGACTCCATAAAAGAAGCCACAAACTGGAATTTACAAGAGCTGAGCAGGGCTGTCATGGACAGAACATCCTGGAGGTCTTTTGTTCATAGGGTGACCATTAGTTGGACATGCCTTGCTGGCCCATAACAACAACTACCGCAGCTCCTGCTTCATATGATTGCCTGGACCCCTTTAGATCATCTTCAGAGGTCCTCTCCTGATGCCCCCACCAAAGCTGAAGTGGCTAACTTCTAAGAGAAGGACCTTTTCGATTACATCACCCTGGAATCGCCTTCCCCAGAGAGACTTGTCAAACATCTCTCTCATGCTCTTTTTGTTACCAGATGAAAATCTTTTCATTGCCCCAGACCTTTCAGTCCATCCATTTTTTAAAATGTGTTATTGTGTTGTTAGAGCTTTTTACAGCTGCAAGCTTTTCTTCTGGGTTTTACTCTGATTTTATTCTAGCTTAAACTTTTCACATTAGCCTTCATTGTGCTTTATTTTGTGGTTTTAATGACTGCAAACTGCCCAGAGAGCTTTGGCTATTTTAGTATGGAAATATAACTAGCCGGAAATGGGTCAGAAATGTTCAAAGAAATGTTTTATGGGTCATAAAGGAGTCCTGACTACATGAATGACTGGCTTGAATAGAATCCATGATCACGTTTTTTAAAGTGCAGACCTGAATAACTCTTTAGCTTAGTTCTGGAGCTATTCAGATCTAAAAGTCCTCTTCTGAAATATTTGCTCTCTCTTAATTTCAGTCACTTATTTCAGGATAACTATGGTCTCCCCCAAACACAACCCCAATTTACCTTGGCTTCATTCCCCTCTTCTTTCCAGAGTTCCTTGACCTTAAAATAAGCATTTCCATTTTGATGAGATCATAGTCTGAATGCTTAAAAACCCACACCTTAGGAACAGAACTAAGCAACTTACCAGGGCAGTCTCTGTCACCGCAGACCTGCACCTGCGCCTCTGGTCCTTCACAGGAGGATCCATCAAATGAAGGAGGGGGGTTACTGCATAGCCTTGACCTGCTGTGAGTCCCTTTGCCACAAGTCGCACTGCAAGGTCCCCATGGGAGCCACGACCCCCAGGCACCATTCACTGGAAGACAAATGGGCACCACCCAATGGGAAGCTTTCTTAACACAGAAACTGAGCACTGGGTTGGAGCCAATGTTTGCACAAGTGGAAGGGTGCTTGCATGTTGGATCGCTCTCATCTTTTCCTCCCTAGGCCAGTTCTCTTCCACTTCGCATCGACCCCGTTAATGAGGGAGGAAGGGCAAATCACTTCAGTCAGGTTTAGGTGCCATGTGTGTGAGCAAAGCTGCAACAGAGTCTTCCTCCAGCCACTGTAGCTCAGCTCACACCATTTATGAAGGCCCTGAGACCTTTCAAAGAGGCCTTTCAGGGGTATAGGATGGAGGAAAGGCAGAGCCAGCAAGTAGCCAAGCTGCATCTCAAAGAGATGGCAAAGCAGCCCTCTAGAGAAGAAAGGAGACTTCCTGTGTCCCACCTAACAGCCCTCCATTCCTCTCACCTGGACATGGCCTCATGTTGCAGATGCTTGCCTCCACAGCATGGCCGTCACAGGGCTTTCCACCATGTTGAGCTGGAGGGTGGCTGCAGGCTCTGGTTCTTGTCTTGTTGCCTTGCCCACAGGTTCTAGAGCATTCTTCCCAAGACCCCCATTCTGACCACTGGCCATCCACTAAACAGAATAGATATTATGTGTGACTCTTGAGCATACAGGCTGATGCATATTAGCAAAACCTCATCAGGGGCACAGTGGGATCAGCTGAAACTGGACCACCAATAAATGACAAAAATGCCCATTTTTCAGAATTTCCCCAGAACTTCTTTTTGTTAAAGTGCAAAGAATACAATGTTATCAAGGCTGATAAGCATGCTAATTTGGAAGCAGGTTTCATCAACACAAATGGGATTCCAAGTAATTCCATTTGGGAACATAATACATGACCTATCTATGAACAGGTAAAATGTACATCGGCATTTGATTACTGTAAGAATAAGTTCCCTTTATATAGAACTTACATGATGAAAGTAATTTCTGAGTTCCTTATAGACAATGTAAGCATGGGCTTGGGGCCTCAATACCTGATAGAATGCCCTTCCCAACCTCGGTCTACCTGGATGCTATAATCTTCATCAGGAGCCTTCCTCCAACTGCCACCTCCAAGGGAGGGCCAGAAAGAGGCAGCGGGGGGGGGGGTCAGTAGTGTCCCCCCAATTGCAGAATGGTCTCCCTGCTGAAGCCCACCTGGCACCAACATTGTCTTCTTCTGGGCATCAGATTAAAACTGCCCCCCCTCCCGTATTCCCAGGTATTTCAAAGCATTGAATGGTGTATGATAGGTTATGTTAGCTGTTTTACTTAAATCTGTTTTTTAATATAAATGTTTTAGATGTTAAACTGTTTTACATTTTGGTACATTGGAATGTTTAGCTGTTTTAAATTTGCACATTGGAATTTTATACTATGTTTTATTTAATTTGTGTTTTTCTCATACCTTTTGTGTTTTTTGAGCCACCCAGAGAGCTTCAGCTATTGGGTTGTATAGAAATAATAGTTAATCACCACCATCACCACCACCACTACCATCACCACCACCACCACCACCACCACCACCACCACCACCATGCAGAGTGACAAGTCACCTGGACATAGCTTGTTCTGACAGCCGCGTTTTTCATGATCAGGCTCGGTGCAGCGCCGGCCGCCATTGGCAGGGAAAGGGTTGTTACACTGACGGACCCTCTTTTGAACACCTTGGCCACAGGTCACACTGCATGGCTGCCAGGCAAGCCATTCAGAAAAGCCACCATGTACTGGGAGTGGAACAATTGAATTACATTTAGTCAATATTCCTCTCACTGCCGGGCAGTGTTTTGTGTTAAAAGGGTGCCCAACGGGAAGTGCCCAACGGGAAGACACCTCCCCTGTCTCACATGCACCCAAGAGGAGGTAATTCCACCACATCTCTGCTTTGGGAACCTTGGAATGCTCCAATACCATTCAATGAAGACATACTGCAAATGTTTGCCCCCCCCCCCACTCCATGGAGGTTGACTGGAAGAAGGAAAAATCAAAGCAGTGAAGTGGGAAGAAGTGCAGTTGGCCACTTCTTCTGCAGTTGGTGATGCTGAGCTCACAGGAGCCTCTGCCGTTCTCATTACTTTCATCTCTACTGGCAGAGTAGCCATTTTACATTAACTGTCTTCTCATGGCCCAGCACATGGATAGAAAAGATAGAGGGAAAGAAAAGAGGATAGCAATTCTTTGCTGAAACACACTAGCTTTTCAAATGCAAAGAGGTCCCCTGAGAGCAGAAGGGAGAGGGTAACACTCACCTTGGACAATGAGGGGCACTTTGACAAGTACGGAGCCCAGGAGGTTCCTGGCCACACATTCATATTCTGAAGTATCCTCTTTGCGTGCAGCCAGGATGCGCAAGGAACCATTTGTCAGAATGGTCATTCGGTCCTCACCAAGGAGAGGCCAGCCTTGGCGAGACCATTCAATGGATGGGGGAGGTTCTCCCTCTGCAAGGCAGTTCAGCACTGCTGTAGTCCCGGCATCCACAATTGTTTCGACTGGCTCAGTTGTGATAACAGGAGCGCCTAAAATACACAGAATATTCCCTATTACCTGGCTTTGTTATTTACTATTGTGCTCTTATTTACATTCCTTGATTATAGTTACATCCCACCTTTTTTGCCTGCAAGGAACCCAACATAGCTACAGAATTTTCATCACCTTTTGCATTTTTATGCTAAGAATAATTCTGTGAGGTCAGTTGGGTTGAGAGTCTATGAATGGCTTAAAGTCATCCAGTGAAGTTTATGGCTGAGTAGAAACTAGAATTCGGATCTCCCAAGTCCTAATACCATGGTCTCCTACCTCAGGGGATATTTATTCTCCATGGGTGGAGTAGCTTATGATGGAGGGAATGGGGGGCTGAAAGCAGAATCAAGGTGGAAAGCATTTTATTTGGAACTCAGCTACGAAGCTCACTAAGCGGCTGTTGGTAGGTCATAACTTCTCAGTTAGACTGACCTCACTGCTGAGAGAATAAACCATGGAATTGACAGAGAGAGAGAATGAATTGAACATTGAACCTCAGTTTCCACTGAAAACTGCCCATGTAGCAGTGTACCATGTAGTAATTCTTCCATTTAGACCTGCAAGTTTACAGTATGAATATATATTTTTGCGTACTGTGTAAAGCTAGGGTAACATGATGTTCAACCACACCAGCGTCATTGGTGGCTACACATGTGTATTCTGCTGCATCTTCATTCTAAAAAGAAATAGACATTGTCTTAGGCAAGCAAACCATCCAGTATTATCTGCCAGTTAACAGTGTATTAAACCTGGTGGAGGTGTAGAAATAGCCCAGTATCTGTATAGGAACAAGAAGCGATTCATTGCAATCTAGCGAAGGTGGCAGAAATGTTTGTAATGCTGTGGTGGCTATCAATAGCTACAATTTAGCCTGAAAAGTTAGAAAGGAAACAAGAGAACAGCAGCGTGGCAATGCTTGGGAATTCTCTTTCCAGGGAATAATAGACTAGTGTGTAATTACATGCAAATAAAAATACACTGCAGGCTAGTTCCAAATTAGCTCCTTTTTGAAGTTGACCCACCAAACTCCATGGGACTTAACTAACTAACTATGGATTTCAGTCTGTCTACATTACAGAGCCTTATGGCTGATGGGGTGGGGGAAAATTCCAGGAAATAAATAAATGGATACATTAAGTATGACTAATTCTGGCTCTGATCTTACAAATATATGTAATATATTGAAAGAAGCTTTTATGTCAGTTATTAAGATTAGTCTATGTTTCACTCTTAACCTCTTGAGTTAAGATGTAGATAAATGGAGTAGTCTTAATTGGGACCGCCTGATCTTCTTGGAGGAAGGGTGGGGGTATAAATATGATTGATAAATTCTGCATAGTTCATTCCTTCCTTTCACCAGTACCAAACTGCGTCGTGACTCACTACAGTGCCATAGATAGCAAGGGATCCATTGCCCAGTTGTCTAATCCGGTTGCTGATCTGGATGTCAACTCCTTTTTTGCTCCACTTGATAGTTGGAGGTGGGTCGCCTCTGACTTCACAGTTAAGAATAGCATTGCCACCCAGGGGCTCAATCCAACTGGAATGATAATCTCCCATGAAGACCGGAGGCTCTGGGGAGAAAACAAATTAAGCAACTATCTATAAATGAAACAGCAACTGAAATAGAATGAAAACTGAAGTGAACCTATGGGGAGCACAACATGAATTCAAAATAGCAAGTGCAGATGTTGGAACCTGAAATTTGGCAAAACCAAATTCAGTTGTGTAAATTCAGTTTTAACAATTCACCAAATAAGAGGTGTCTTGCTTACCTGTTGATAGGAAACAGACATTGTTTTCTAGCAATAATATGTAGTCTATTTCTATTTCGATCCTTTACCAGCTGTCATACTGAAATTAGATTCAGTGGGAAATCAGGAGCTGATGAAATTATTTCCAAACTTAACAGCAATGCGTACCTTTAACATACACAAATCCAAGAGCTTTGATGGAACCAACTAGGTTCTTTGCTATGCACACATAGGTGCCTGAGTCTTCTCTGGATACTCTTTCAATAACAAGTTTGCTAAGTCCATTCACATCATCATATTGTGCTGGCAGAAAAACAGGGACAAACCAACAAAAATTAAAACAACTTTGATAAGACTAAATGAAGCAGACATTTTACACATGTTGATTTGGACGCCCAGTATCCCATATCCTAACGGAAATATTGGTGGAGATAATTATACATTCTTTCTGTTCCCCATTCTACTTGCAGTTCATCTTGGGTGGTGGAGCATTTTGCTGATTGCAAAATACTAGAACCAAATTACTGAATTCCATTGCAAGAGTGTATAAAACTCCCAATCCAAGGCCCTTGTTCATAGAAATGTATTCTGCTAGAGGCATTACACTCAAACCACTAAAATATGTTTAAAAATGATCAAAATGCTACTATGTTTGCATTACAAATAAGGGCCAAGTTTTGCTTTTATTAGTCAATGCAAAATGCAGGAGACACACAAGAATATTAATCTCCCCTATATTGGGTGTTCTTCCACCAAATAGGGGCATTTAAACATCGACGAGCACTTATCTTAACGAGAACGAGGCTAGAACACATCCAGGCATAATTTGTGATATCCTGTGTTTATTTTTGCCTCTTATGAAATAACTTGGCATTACCCAAGCAGACCACTGCACAAGGAGGGGATGCCAATCCCACCCCTTGCGCAACAGGGATTAAACAATTAGAACCTGGAAATGAGCAGAAAAAACTTATAAGCTCTGATAAGGGAGGTCCAGTGTCCTGTCCCAGTGCAACAACTACTGTTTTTGTTCATTTTGAGGCTTTCTGAGGGAAGTATTCCAACTCTGTTGTGCCAGCAGTGGGTGCTCCCTGTGGAACCAAATGAGTAATAGCCCCACTTGTGGATTTCAAATGCAGAATTGTCTGCATAGGTTCTGGTCCTTAGATGAAATGACCCATGCTTTGCTTTGCTTTGCTTTGCTTTGCTTTGCTTTGCTTTGCTTTGCTCTTTCTACCATGTCATTTTCCAATTTGGTCTTGCAAAGGTGGTCATGGTGTTGCTAATTTGGTAGCTCAAACTGTCGCACACTCCATCACCAATAAAAGCTGATCATCATCACCTTACCATCTTATAACAGAACGCTGCTTTATATGTGGCATCATTCCCAGATGCATACATTCAGTGTCCATAATCCAAATAGCTAAAATCCAATCTGCATTTTAGGTATCTCCTTTCATGATATATCATCGTGCTGTCCTCTCCTGGGTTAACCCACCTGGGATAATATTATTGTTAAAAGTCCAGGTGATTTTTGGTACAGGGACGCCAGTTGCTTTACAGGTGAGCTGAAGCCGTTCTCCTTTGTTTAAAGCCACATCTCCAGGGAGTTCGACAAAGGTGGGGAGCACATGGACTGTTAGGTTAACAGTGTGGGAATCTTCACCAGCAACATTGCTGGCAAGACAGGTGTAGCTGCCAGAATCCTCAGGCTGCAGAAAGGGAAAAATACCATTTTGGCCAAAAGAAAAATCTCTTCCAGCTCTTTGCACTTGGGAGTCTCCTGCCACAGGTTGAATACACTGCAAGACTCTCCACTGGGTGGCTGGGTCAGAACTAAACCTGGAAGTGCCTGGGGTAAGTTGCCGGCGTACATTCCTCCCTCTCCACCACTAGGCTGAACTTGCTTCATGGCTTGGGATTCCGACAGAAGCAGAGCCAGTTTTCTGAGACGTTGGCTTTGCCGGCTGTCTATCCAGGGCACTCCAATGGGGTGCCTGAAGGTGCCATGGCCCCCACAGGGATTTTTAACCCTTCCCACAGAGCTGACTTCAATATTTAATTTTCAATCGGAGCCTTGCACAAGGAGGCCAGGGAGGAAGGACCCGTTTCTGGACCCGTCAAACTTCTGCTCACATGGACCTTTTCTCTTTGCTCTCTTTCTTTGTCACCATTTCCAGGCTTTCTCCTCACTAATCTACTTCCTTGCTGTCCTTCTCCCACCTCTTTCCCTAGCATCTTCTCTCCCTTCCTAGCCCTTACCTTGTTTCTTTTTCTTCTTTTCTTTTCAGCCTGCATAATCCTTTTATCTTAGTGTTTCTCCCTACCCCTACCTCTAGCCTTGCTCTGTCTCTCCTCACACTCCTCTGGCTTGCAATGTATCCCTCCTTCCCGACGCGCAACCCTCACAGTCCATATCCTTAGGACAAGGAAACCAGACCATCCTAGGAATCCCCCTAAACAAACTGCTTGGTGTAGTCTTTCCAAAGAGGTTCCCAACTGGAAATATTCTATCATGAGTAGGTGTCCATCCTCTTTCCCCCTTGAGCAGACTCAAACAAACCCTTGGAAGAGACGTTCTTCTCCTAACAGTCTAAATCAGAGTAGCTTTCTCTTTGAGATGTGGGAGAAGCATTTGCCCAAGTGAGGAACTGAATCCAAACTGATCCCACCTCCATCCTTCCCTTCCTTTCAGAAAAGCTCCTGACTCCACCCTCATGGTGGCTCCTCCTGATTGCAAGCTGAAGGGTGGGATTGCCAGACACTTCAGAACTGGTCCGCCCCCTTCACCTGTTGTCTCCTGACAGGGTCAAGGAACTCCCCCTGCTTCAGCTCCCCTTCCAGTTCCAAAGTCCCCCTTGTTTCCTGAGGCAGTCTGGTTCTCACGTTCTGCCTGAGCATCTTCACTAGGTAACCCTGAAACTGCCAAGCCTTCCACCCCTTTGCTCCTCTGTCCCCTCCCCGTCCTCAGAATTGGATGGAACCATCTGAGCAGACCTGAGGAGCCAGGCCCCTCTCTGCATATTGAAAGAACTAAGCCTAGGATGAAAAGGAAAAGGGCCAATCATTCCCTTCCCTGTCATGAGCGTTGGTACCTACCACAGCACGGTCTATAATAAGATCTCTGCATGGCGCAGTCATGTCTGTCCCCATTGCGCTCGCTAAAAGAACTCTATCTTTCTTCCAAATTATGGATGGTGGTGGAATTCCATCCGCAACACATGACAGAACTATTTCTGAATGTTCCAGTACTGTGTGATGGTCCTCTGAACTGTGTATCTTTGGTGGGACTGTGTGAGGATGACAAAAGAAAGAAAGAACATACTTAATGCTCTTAGGTTTCAAGAAAGATAGACACTGAGTGTTGTGTGTGTGTGTGTGTGTGTACCAGTAATGATAATTACAGGAGTGTGGAAATGCTAGTGATCAAGAGAGAACTTGAGGACATGGAGAACCATCAGAAGCAGGACAAATGCATTTTACAGATGAAAGTGGAAATGGCACGTGCGTAGGAGGGGAGAAATTTAAATTTGCAAATATTGGAACTAGAATGAAGGGTTTCATGAAATATTTTAGACCGGAAGATCATTTTGAATTAATATGGGAAATTGAACTCCTCGCCCCCAATATGGTTTCTTGGTCTCTTTAAGCTTCTAGAACATGGGCCTGCAATGATAACCAGAGCTGAAACTACAGAATTTCCCCACTATGTATGCAACTATTATGGTCAAAGAGTGCTGTCAGAATATAAGCCTTAGACATAGTCTATCTCTGTTGTGCTCAGTTTGGTCAAAGGACCCACAGCACTGAATGTACCACTATTTATTATATCAATATCCCACCTTTCTCCCATTGTGGAACTCAAGGCAGCTACATTCAGTTCCAAAGTTGTCTCCCCTCCATGCTCAGGCCAGCGCCAGACCTGCTTAGCTTTAACATGGAGGATATCTTATGTGCCTTCAGACCATACTCCAGGCCTCTACTCTCTATGCTGTCCATGTTCCTTTTAGAATGTATGTCCAAATGGTATTGAATGTCTCCCACTGCTCCTTCCCCATTGTACAGTGAGATGCTTGCTGCCACTGGGATTGTGAACTGTTCACTCGGGAGGGGGAGGGATAACAGAGAGATGGTGCAGGGCACTCCAGCAAGACCACCTACCCAGCCAGATAGATGCTCCAGATAGTGGCCTTGGTCCCATGCAGCACCCTTGGGGAAGCTGATGGGGCCATGTGGAGGCCAAGGTATTGGTCCATACAGTGGCTCAGCTATACCTGGTTGGGAATCCTCCCCACCTTTCTACTGTCTGATTGGTTCCCAGCATGAAAGAACTTGTCATCTCTGATTGGGTGTCAAGGCTGGGGCACAGGGAGAAACTGGAGCTCATACTTCCAGTCTGTGCTACGGTCAAGTCATTAGGAAGCCCATCCATGAGTTCGTCCTGGGAGCATCTCCGTTTTTCTTCCTGAGATGTGAGTTCTTTAGATCCAAACATACTAAAGGAGAGCAAGTCCCATTCCCCACTATTTTCCACTGGCAGGGATTGAGCTTCCACCTTGTTTTCCTAACTCTGGGCCACTGCATTCTTCTGTGTTGCCACCACACACCTGCTGCAATACTGGGGCATGGACAGATCATCACAACATTGTTGCCCAACTCCATGCTGTGGGGCTGTCCTGGTGGGTTCTGCCCCTGTGTCACTGCATTATGTTCCCATCATTTTCTTGCTGTGTTTGTGTTTCTTTTCGGCCTCTCTCACCTCCAAAGCTGCACAAGCAGAAGTTCAGGCTGGAAGCTCTCCACACCCAAGCTCTGTGGCTAGGCAGCCACCAGATGGCTCTGACCGATGGACCCTCTACATAATCAGCATTAGTTAAATAATGACTAGAAGTGCTATCCATGTTAATAGCACAGAACACCCTATGATTGCATGATTGAAACAAAAGTAAGAAATAAAACATCTGGAGAAACAACAAACTGACTTAGCCACCATTCTGGTGTCCAGCATGATGAACTTGGTCTCCATTTCTAATCTGACTTACCAAGCACAGTGAGTTCCATGCTGGAGCTGCTGGATCCAGCCGCGTTAGTGGCAGTGCACATGTAACTCCCCGTATCGGCAGGCTGAGTGAATGCGATCTGCAAAGCCCCCGTGCTGAGAATTCGTTGCCTCACAGACTCTGGAACCTTCTGCCTGTCTTTATGCCATGCAATTTCAGGGGCTGGATAGCCTTCGGCTTCACATGGCAGAGTCACAGGCTTATCCACCACCACCACATATTCTTCAGGATGAGATTTGATGGCTGGAGGGACTGAAAGATAATTCATGAATCGACTCTGCAAAGCCAGATAGCAAGGGAGCAACACACCGTATGGCTCCCAGGCTTTTTCATCCATAGGATCCCTCCATCTTGTGGACACGGTGAACTTGGTTTCTCCATGGACCAGGTCCCTCTCTTTTCATCCCATTGCTTGTTTCTCATGCACAAGGGGGGAAAGGAAGACTCATCAAAGGAACTGCACTACTATTTCTTTGCATTTCCCTGGCAGGGTTCTAATGATGGCTCATGCATGCCACTGGCATTGGTAGGAAAGTGACAGCTGCCCAAAGTGCCAACTTTCAGCCTCCGTCATCCCATTTTTCTCCCCTGGGATGCTGCAAGAGGTCTTGGGGGAAGGAAGAGGAAGAGGCTGGAGACACAAACCCCCATTGGGCCTGATCATTTGTCAGGCATGAGAATTTTACCTGCAATGTGCAGATAAAATTCTCAGAGAGGTTAACATGCTGGGCAAAGCCTTTCATTAACAAATGTGCAGTTTGCATACAAAGCTTACCTTGAATTTTTAGTTTGATCTTTCCCACAGCAGTGCCTGCTGGATTCTGAGCAACACAGAGATAAGTCCCAGCATCTTCAGAGGTAGCTTTTAAAATCTGCAAACTTCCGTTGGGAAGAATTGTATAACTATTCCCTAGAATACATTCACAAGATGTGTTAAACATGACACAGTTAAAGAGAAATTAAGCAAGTCCAGTTTACATCCTAGACAAATCATAGGAAGAATGGTTGAAAGCACTGAGCAACTTTTTGTTTGTAAATGAAAAGGCTGAAAAGTCCATTTTCAGATACTTTCAAAGATGCAAAAAGATAAAAGGAAATAATTGCATATGTGCTTTGGAAATGTGGAGCAAGCAAATGGATTCATTAAACATTTATTATTTAAATTTAAAATATCTCTATCAACATAATCCCAAGGTTGAAAACTTCCTTATTAGCAAAACAATATAGAATAACTGGAAGCATCAAACAAATGCTCCATTCCATCGTCATCTAAATTCATCTTTGAATTTTCAAGAAAAAGATGAAACAGTCATCTCTTAGGCCTAGTTCAGGGGTCAACAACCCATGGCTCCAGAGCCGCACGTGGCTCTTGCACCCCTCTGCTGCAGCTCCGTCACTCAAAACATGCGCCGGCACAGCCGCCGATCTGCTCGAAGCTCCACTCAGAAATGCAGCGCTAGCTAGTTAAGTCAATCAGCTAGTTAAGTCAATCGCTACATTCCTCTGCTAAACAAGCTTCCTGCAGGCATTCATGTTACATGAAACACTTCCAACTCTCCTATTCATAGAATAGGAGAGTTGGAAGGGGCCATGAAGGCCATTGGGTCCGACCCCCTGCTGTTGCAGGACAGCAAGTCACACCACCCCACTCAATTTCTCTACGACTGGTAACTGGCAATTGAAATGTGTGGACCACCTCTGTCAAGAAGCATTGTGAACATGAAGGGTATATGAAAAGACCTATCTTCCTTGGTTCCTTCTCATATGAATATCATCTGATGAACATGCATGCGTGAACCAGCGCTTGGAGATTTTTATTTAGTACAGAGTACACTTTAGCTCTCATCCAACAGAATTTTGCTAAATACTTTTAGATGAATGGAAAACCATAAGACAAGGAAAGATACCTGTTGGGATAACACTGACCCCTTCCTTCTGCCACGTGATTACCGGATGAGGCGTGCCTACTGCTTCACACGGTAAGAGAACTGAGTTGTCGAGAATAACATCAAGTGTTCCAGGTTGGACTCGAATAGTGGGTGGCTCTAAGAGAAAGAGTGGGGTACAAAAAGAGAGCTGACTACATACCAAAACTAGAAGTCTTCTCAAGTGGCAAAAAACCCCATGATATTTGGCTATACGATATTAGTTTGAAACACAAAGGATCACACATTTTTGGAAGTTACCATGGAAAAACAATGAGTTGGCCCTTAAGAAGGAAATAACTTTTTCCCAAGGGCCTCGTGAGTGTTTTTCCCAAGAGCCACCCAAAGCCCAGAGCTGAGCTGCCACCACTAGAAATTTAGCTGATCTGACAGTACAATAAACAAGAATATTGGGAACAGTTTAAAACTCCAGTTTAAACATATGGGTCAGAACCATTAAACACAGATTGGAACAACCAGGACTTTAAGTCCGCTTGGAAAACAGCCAAAAAGGGAGCCAGATGCTCCTCCTGTCGGAGGGAGTTCTGCAAAAGGGGTCACCACTCAAAAGGCCCTGTCTCTTCTTTCACTCATCCTAATGAGCCTTAATGAAGGGTGCTGGAGCTGGGCCTCTGCGGCCAAGCTCAAGTCCCAGGCAGGATCATACGGGTGTAGGCAATCTTACACCCTTTTTCTCTCTGCTTTCTAATTCTCTCACATTTTCATAATGCTCACAATGCTGTCTACCAAGAGAACATTCTTTGCATTATATGAGTAATGTGATGAATGTTATTGGAGGGCAGAACCCAGGAAATGGGCAAGGTTGTTTTTCTGAGCAACCTATGGTAGGCCAAACAATGACTGGGCTTACTGTAGGTTGTCCTCCTCCTCCTTCCTCCTCAGTCTTCTAGCCACCTTTAGCACATATCCATGGAAAAATGAGTCTTCTCCTCCTCTATCCACTCTGATGACAACCCCTTTTCATTTGCCACTTTTCCCTGGAGCTTCCGAAAAGCGCAATTAGAGTATCCTTTTTACCCCTGAAAACTCTGCAACCGCACAATGTATTATTGTTACTGTTTTTTGTCTTTTGCAAGTGCACTCTTACAGCTGTCCAATAAAAGTAGCCTTGACTGATCAATGTCCTTGAATGTTTCAGCTCTTAAAAGAAGCAGCAAATTGGAGAAGGAAACAGACAAGGAAACCGACAAGGTGAGACTTCATGCCGGCAAATCTGAGCACAGCTCCTAGGGGCCAGCTGCTCAGTTGTCCATGGAAAAACACTGGAATGCAGAGAAAAGTGGCAAAAGAAGGTGCATCGAAAGGGAAGGGTCAGCACCTACTCCACTAGCAGCCTGGTGGCAAGTCCCAACGGTGGTGGAGCACTTATTATTTTGTACGCATACACGTTATAGGCTTTTGGACTCAAAGTTGTGGAAAATGCTCTTTGAGTTATGCAAGGAAGATACAAGTTCCCACCTCACCCTGAACATGTAGTACAATGTGTCTGTGAGCAGATCCAGCTGCATTCTGGGCACTGCAGGTGTACCTGCCTGCATGGTTCAGTTGAGCAGCAGGTACTTCAATTGCACCTATAGGAAGAAGTGGGAAAGTTTGTCAGTTCTTCCCCATCTGGAACAGTGAATTGGGACCACCTGCCATGCTTAGGCAATTGAAGTGGAGTTCTCAGACACATCATGAAAGCGAGTGTGCCACTCAGGCAGATGTTCTTCTGCACAAGATGAACTTACATCGATGGGAGAAGAACAAGATGCCCCTGGTGGTTGAGCCTTTGTTAAAAAGTCTCATCAGAACAGAAAGATGTTCTTCCAGCCTCCTTCCTCTTTGTTGTAGCTAAATTCCTGAATGGAGACAGTGCAAGATCACTGGAACCCCAAGAAAGGGTTCCTCAGGGACCGAGCACTAGTTGAAGGAGCAGAAGAAGGAGCAGAGACCATGGTGTGTCTTTTAGGCATGGATTATGGGTTCCGGCTGGAACCTTGGGTTGCAAGTACGTCTTGCTAGCACACTTGTGTGTCCAACTTTCTGGCCATCACTTCTCCATCTCCTATCCATGGGCAGAAATAATGGGGTTTTACCCTCTATCCCACCCACTGTTTTTCTCCTGCAACTTTCCCCACTCGTCTCATGGCAGGGTTTTAGACCAGGGTTTCCATCATCAACATGAATCTGGAACCTGGGCTTGAAGAAAGACAGCCAGAAGAAGTAGGTGCATTGGTGAAAAAGCAGACACAGGAAGGGTTCAGCTTCACTACTCTCATACTTCATTTCTCCCCTGCACATCACCCCTTCCTTATGCCACTTTTCAGTTGATGCAGTAGCTCCAACCCAAATGTACCAGTCCAGAAACGATGGTGTCTCTTAAAGAATTAGGAGCAAAATGACTAGCATTCTCCAAAAGTATGAACATAACATTCAGAAAGACATTCTGAATCACTGTAACCCATAACCTGAAGACAAGATTCTGTAGCCATCTCCCCGAGGAAGAAGTCTTATTCCATTCTTCATCCAGTGGACTGTGGGCAAAGGAACACCTGATGCAGTGCAGGGGATCACTACTGGAGACAGCTTGGTAACCAGCAGTTCTGTTGCTTCATCAGCTAAGGATGGCGGCACTAAAGAAAGGAAAAGAAAGATAAAAGTTCTGATCACTCACCACCAAAAGCTACTTCAAAACAGGAGAACATTTGGTGCAGTCCTACATGTAAATGGACAGTTTCTCAAGAACTGAGTGAGACACTATGTTAAGACTTTACTCTTATTTTTAATCTTTATTTTGTTAATTATGTTCAGTGGCATGAATGGCTAGATCATAAATTCTTTATATAGATTCACATTTTAATTTGACATCCCTTTGGTTCAGTTTCCTAGCTGAGACTCAAAATGCTGTTTTGTTTCCGGTGTTTCGTTTGTTTTCTGCCCATCCATTCCCACGTTTCCAAGGAAAACTGCTGAGGCACTTAAGGGTTGGCAGTGCAAAGCGATTATCGGAAGAGAAAATTTGCAAACCTTCCCCATGCAAGCATAGAAGGACTTTACATTCTTCTCTCAATCCTAGGCCTTGTGTGGAAGCTTAGCTTGGTATGCTCTCTTCTTATATTGTATACTGTAGCTTGGACCAGCTAGCTCTCTAAATTCTACAATTTCTTACACTGTGCAAAAGGAAGATACAGATATGTAGCTGGGAGAAGGGGTGTGTGACCCTGGAAAGCCTTTTCCATTAGAACTTGACAGATGTTCAACACATTTCCAGATTGATCACCAAAAATAGACCAAGTTGAGGGAGGGGCTTGGCTTTTGCAAAAGTGGCTGCAAATTTTGTGCAAATTTGGAGCTGAGAACTGTGTGTCTCTAGTACAATTTGTGCAAAGCACAGCTTGGACAGACTGGGGACACTTCATTAGCCATTGTTCTTCTTCTTGCTGTAGAGTTTAGCATGAGATCTATGGAAGCATCCAACTCTCGCTGCGTAACCGCATACATCACTTGGCTACCTTCAGATTTCTGATGATTTCAGATGTGTGCATAATGTAAGTCTCTGCTTCACAGTTGGTGTAAATCTGTGCTGCTGAATTTTGCACAAATTTCTCTAGCTTAAATTTACACACACACACACACACACACACACACGCGCCAATGATGAACTGTTTTAAAAATGGAAGTCTTCATGTTGGTGCAATTTATATGGTGTATTGGTTAAGAGTGTGGACCTGGGACAGAGGCAATCTGGGTTCTGGTGCCCACTCAGCCATGCAGCCAACTGGGTGGCTTTGGGGCAGTCACAGAGTCTTAGCCCAACCTACCTCACAGGGTTGTTGTTGTGGGGATGAGATTGAGAGCAGCACAAGAAGAATGATGCAAACCATTTTGAGTTCTTAAAAAAAATAAAAAACAGAATATAATGCTAATAAATAAATAAATAAGTTGGCACAGGGCTGCTTGAATGGCAAGCTGAGAAGACCAACCAGATTTTCACACATCTCCATTTGACGTCTCCCACATCCTAGCTGGAAGCACCGGAAAGTTCAACATGAGCAGCTCATTCCACAGGCATCCCATAGCCCTAGTCTCTCCTCACAGCAAATGAACTTGGACTTTAAAGAAATTGCACGAAGGCACTCTGACATACCTTGTACAGAAAGAGCAATTGCTCTTTGATCTTCACCTGCCTCATTTGATACCACACATTCATAGAGTGCAGTGTCATCTACGGTGGGAGAAATCATTACGACTGACCCCGAAGACAAAAGCCTGGAAAGAAGGAGACAAAGAATGGTTCTCATTCATTGTAGTACTTCATGAAACAGGCTGCACTCATTAATGTTACTGATATAGGGAACTCGAAAATCGCTGTAGAATCAGGGAAATGCAAGTTCTGTTTACTGAGTGTAAGCAGGAATTATCACAACATTTCCCAATAGCCCAGGATGAGTTGATGGATGATGAGACCTGGTTCTTGGGGCATTTCAAGTATCCACAGATTGGGCCCAATTCAAAATGTATCTAGATTAAGCCCTGGGCATTCTCGGGTCTCTGACTGGTTCCTCCAGGCACTTGCTTGCCACTAGCAAACCCTGATGAAGAAGGTGGCCCATTGGTGACACAAACCTGGGTACATGTGCACAGCATGAGGTGTGACGCACTCCAGCGGAGCTTCTGAGCAAGCCTAGCTCTGCTCAGGGTCCTGGACTGAGTGCAAATTTGGACTAATTACTTGGGTCAACTGACATTCTAAATTATTTCCTGGCTGGGCCCTGCGCTCTACCTCAGGCATCCTATCCCTTCTAAAAATCTCCTTTTGGACTTCTGAGGAAGAGCCTTCATCATCTACCAAGCCAGGTGCAGCTTGTTTGGGACCCAAAGGTAGGATATTTTGCCCCCTAGGAGACCTAAGCACCTCCAAAGAGCAAAAGTCCAAGAGCTCACCTGTAGTCTTTGCGGCTGGTATGTACGTGGAAGAGGCACATATGGAGTTCACAGCAAAGATTTCAAAGACTGCTACAGGAGTTATATGCAGTTTGCTAAGCTGGCTATTAGCTCATGACAGAATGAGTTATTAGCGATTTCTCATGTTAGTTCATGAGAATAAGGGATACAAAGCGTTGCCAAAGACAATAGTGACCAATTACTCCTGAATGACATTTATGAAGCACAACGTCCAAGATAACCCTCATTTAAAATCTATGGACATTCAACATCCCCACCATTCTGTTCTTGACTGTATGCACACTCCTCCTCCTCCAGTCGTCTGTGCAGTGTGTAACTTACCAGCACTACACAAATAATAACAAATGAGGAAAGCAGGCACTTTCACCTGAATGTGTTCTGATTCTGTTCAACATTAAGGAACTGTCCATTCTTCTTCCAGGATATTCTTGGCTTAGGGATCCCAGTGGCTTCACACGGCAAGGTGGTTTGGACATTCACAGTTACTGTGATGTTTACAGGCCCAGGAGCGATGGATGGGGGAACTGGGAAAAGAGGCACAGGAGAGAAGGCGGTGGTATTTTCCAAGCAGCTGATAGACTGAGCTGCATGCAGGAAGTGTTTCTGACATGCAGACAGTTTACACATGTCTTGAAAACATTAATGGAGAAAGAACATTTGGTGATGAAAAAACAAAAACAACGAGCTGTAGTCTCATTAATAACTGGGACCACCCATGTTCTTTTAGCCATTTCCATACAATGCATTACACAAATGAAAATTGTCAACTGTGCAGACTGCAGGCCAAAATCTGTAGCAGTGCTTCTTTTGTTTAAAGTTTTAGAACCTTGTCCTATATCTCAGGTCTATTGCCTTACAGAAAAAAATGATTAAAATAAAATAAAAGTAAGAACATTATATCACAATGTTCACAATTAATAACAAAAAAGAGTTTCTATCCGCCCAATTCAACAAATCAACCAAAGAAAGAAATAGCAATTTTTTTCCCCAATATGGATGATTCTGAACCCAAAAGTATATTGTAATGATCAAATATATGAAACATTTCATTTCAAATTAGGGAACAGGGGGCAGGCGTGAGGTACAAGGAGCCATCCAACCTAACATAAATACAGTTGGATGTACAGCTATAGGTCACACAAAACTCAATAAAGCTCCATTTCCCCTTCCCTCTTGCTGATATGCGAATGCAGGTGCGTGTACCCGCAGGGCATTATGGGAACTGGGGAGTCTGTGTGCAAGTCATGTGTTCCAAGTCAGCCCTCCCACGCTGCTCATTATTCACGCTCCAATCCAGGAAAGAGCACTGGGTGGAGATACGGGAAGTGCACATGATCGCTTCTTTCCCATAATGGTCCAGCATGTATGTGTCGTGGGCTAGGCATCCCTTCCCAAGCAAGACAGTCTCTCCAGCCCTTCTGGTCAGCCTCTTTATTCTACACAGAAAGCTCTGAACATTCGCAAGCCTCGGAGCACACAGGAGAAGTGTTGACCCCTCTCTGCCCCCCTTCCCCAAAGCTTTGCTTATGAGCCCTTCGGGGCCGGTCTCTGGAAGGAGGGGTCCTGCCCTCTGAGCCCCCCACTGGGCCAGGCTGCAGCTGTGATGAAGGGCCCCTGGGCCCACGTCTTCAGGAGGCAGGCATTCTCCGTCCGAGAGACTACCCAATTCCACATCTCCCCTCCCCCCATCCTTTGTCTGCTCCATCCCTACAGGCAGGAGGGAGACCGGGCCCCACGAGTGTCCGTGGCTACTTACACCCAGAGCAGGCCCGGACTGGCACTGCGGAGGGGGGTCTGCAGGTGCGGGCTGTCTCTTACCACCACGATTCTGCTATCTGGGGGTGAGCTCTGAGCCTCACCTGGTTCAGCCAACTCCACGTCAGCCTGAGCCTGAGCTATCAGTCCCACCAAAACAGCCCATTTCTCCTGTGTGCCCAGGAATCTCACCAGAGCATGCATGCATAACATCATGCATAACTGAAGAGGAAATGGAACTTGGCAGTGTTTGCTGCACAAGCAAGCCATATGCACAGTGCAGGATGAATCCTGTTGCGTCTTCTAGTTTTAAGGACAATCATGTCACTTGTGGTCCATTGCAACTTTTCTCAGGACAAGGTTTTCTGTAGAATGGCACACTTACCATGGACATGGAGATCAATTCTCTTGCGTTCAGTACCAGCAACATTGGACGCCATGCAAAGATAACGCCCAGTATCCATAACATGCGCTGCATAGATGTGAAGGTACCCACTGTCTGACACTAAATATCTGAAACAAGGCAACAGAGGATTTCACACACACGCGCGCGCACACACACACACACACTACAATCGTTTCCCTGTTTACCGGACCTTCTTTCTTTAATGTATATTTCAAAGGATAATTTTATTTCCACTAGAAAGTTAACATTTAAGAAAGCATGAAAGGCAAAGAAACAAACTATCCACATCTGGGCACTCAATTTCAGCACAATGACTTACAGAGCCAAACAGTTTTTAAAGGTACGAGGTATATCCTGTTCCCAATTGAAAGCTTGGCTTTTTAGAGGCACACACTCCAAATAATAACATATTAATATGCCCTCCCTATACAGGCTCAGTACCTGTGCAGTTTGTATTCAGGGACCTTAACACTACAGAGTTCAAACTGAGATCTAGGAAGGTGGCCTGGAAACAGGTAGTTAGACTCTTCTGAAAAATGAATCTTTCTACAAACTTAACTAAAACATGCTCACTGACTTTCTGCAGACTTGCAACTCTGTCCAGTTGAGCACAGCCAAAAGTATGTCCAAATTTAATAATGATATTAAACATTGTCAACACTAAAGGCAGGAATTTAGAAGGATGGAAAGGAATGGAGTCTCTTCTCTGAACAGAGAAAAATCTAATATTTAATCAAGCATTAAACAGAATAGAATAAAAGCAAACATTGCTTGGTTCTACCATTTCAGAGGCCTCAGGTCAAAATCTCTTGATACCAGAGTAGTATAGTATTATTTTGAGGACCACAGGAGCAAATTAAGAATGGAGAATTACTGATTTGATAGCACACCTGCACTAAATTCTCATGAGGCTTCAGCTTTGATGAAATCCACATCCAACAATTCAATGCTCATGCCCTAGCCCCAAACACTTCTAAATTCATCCACCTATTCTTCCATTTATTCTATTTATTTATTTGAGATATTTCTAGCCTGTCCAATCACTTTAATCTCTGGATGGCTCACAAATGCTTCCATTCATCTCAGAATAAATGTCCTCAAGAGCGTGAGTTTAACTCCCCTGCTGCAAGCACATTACTTAACAAATCTGGAGTAGTGGGGAATGCCTGCTTATTCTGGATAATCAGTCGTTACCTGGCATTGTTCCCGGCAAGAAGCGTTCCATCCTTTCTCCATGAAACTCTTGGGGTTGGGACGCCTTCTGCAATGCACTCCAGGATGGCAGACATATTGATATTCACTGTCACCGTCTGAGGGCCATCCCTGATTGTAGGCGCAACTGCAACAGAAGAATCACAGAGAGCCTCAGGCAGAACGTTTGCTCAGGGACATGTGGAAACACGGGCCACCGCCTTCCAAGAGATGAGGCTTTCCATCACCAAACGATGCTTGCGCATGAAGGTAAAAACATTTGTGGACTGATTCTGCCCATGGAGTCCTGTAGAATTTGCTACCAGGACTATGCAATAATTAACCCAGTACATTAAAAATGACACTTTTTCTAAGAACTTCTAATATCTTTTACATTGCAAATATTTATGCACCGGCATGTTACTTAAAAAAAATAAAGTCAATAAAGTAGATGTAGCAGATTTACAGAACAATCTTATGCATGTTTACTCAGAAATGAGCCCCATTGAGATCAATGGGCTTTATTTCCAAGTAAGGGGGCAAAGCTTTGCAGCCTTAATTTGACAGATGCTTTGTGCCATGAATACTTTGGTAGCCTTAGACAAAGGACTACAATTTCAGCTCTTCCAGTAGTTCGCCCAGTCTCCATTCGTTAGTCATCATCTGCAAAATTAGAAATGTAAGGTAGCTGTGATGATGTAAATCTTGGAAGCACTAGAGAAATTGTGCTCAGGGTTTGGTGGACCTTTGCAACACCAGACAACAGGTCCCAGAAGCACCCATCTGTGTTCATGATGGATGACCTGTGGAAGCCCTCTAGGGACCAGCAGCATAGCCTGGTTAAGGCCAGGATTCCCATTTAAGATCTGGTGAGGTAAGAGAGGTGAGGCACAACCAGATTTCAGAGGGGCAGGTGGCTGAGATCATGACTCACCCTTAGAATCCAATATTGGCTCCTGGATATATCAGATATTAGCCTTGCAGAATATACCAGTGTATTTTGATAACATTTTATCTAGTTACTTTTCAGGCCGTATAAACACCAAAGATAGATGTGCCCTTGAGAAATAAACATGAATAAGGGGTTGTGCACAAGGGTGTGTGAGTGATCCATTCTTTGATTTCCACCATGAAATCAGTGTGTTACTTTCTGGGTGAGTCCTGAAAATACGCTGAACATTCATCTACCCAAAATTCTATAGAAATACCCTCCAAACATTACGTAAGAATTCATTCCTTTCCTTACCATTTACAGCCAACATGAACTCTCTTTTGGTTTGGCCTGCAATATTACTTGCAACGCAGGTGTAGTTGGCTGCATCACTTAGGTCAGCATTATTGATTTGCAGGTATCTCCCACTGGACAAGATGCGAACTCGGGGAGTTGCCTGAGAAGAAAGTTTCCACAAGCTGAATTTGGTTACCAGCAAGTCTGGCTTGTGGAATCCTAATCTTTCCCCACGCACACAGTTGAGCATAGTGTTGGGACAAACCCTTCTGGAATCCACCCCCTAGCACCTGTGGACTTCATTCCACAGCCAGTCCTGCAAAAGGAGCCAAGCCAAGGGAAAGTCCAACACCCCTCGTGGATCCCCTGTTGCGCAACCAGCAACCTTTCCCCACAGGAGCTGGAATTGGAATGCTGTGAGGAGGCCGTCCAGGCACCATTCCTGGCAACCGCTGGTGGTGCACATGGGAAAGAGGCTTTATTTGAGCAGTATGTGGTACTCGATTCCTGGTGGGCACCCCGGGAATGCTGGGCAGCCTACCAAGGAATTGGACTCTGGGCCGCTGCTAGGGAGACTGGCATGCAGAATGCTGAGCCCAGGCAATCCAGCAGACTCCCACCCTCGGATTCTTCACATGTTCCTACTTGAGCATCTCCACAAATGGCCAATTTAGATCAAAGAATCTCTGGGGAATGACACAAGAAGACATACCTGCAGCATCTCTCCATCTTTGAGCCACACGATTGTAGGCGGAGGCACCGCATCCGATTTGCATTCCAGTATTATTTGCCGATTCTGCAGGACGCTGAGACTGTGTGGATCGTTTGTGCCGGCAATATTTGGAGGGACTGTCAGAGAAAGAAACACAGTGGATCTGATAGAGCTTAATTTACTTAGAAGGGACTATTAAAATGCTGATTACATCATGCTGTTATAACGTTTTCCAAGCCTCAAAAGAATTTACTCCTGTTGTATGAAGAAATGGTTTCAGTTGGCTTTTTATTCAGAATTACCCTGTTCACAGATTCAGTCTGCAGTTTGTCCACCTACTCCAAACTTGCTACATGATTCATGGATCAAAAAAGCTGCATTCAACAGCAAAGGAACATTTGACTAATGTGCATTAAAAATGAGTACCTTTGAGAAATGTGAGCAAGCATGCTTTAATCAATGAGAGAAGAATGCATACATGTCCAAGATGCACGCAACTGAGTTTGCAGATGGAGCTTCAGCAAGCTCAGGTCCTGCTATTTAGGTACTTCTCAAAATGTATATGATTTGTACAAAATGCATGTGATGCTTTTTCCCCAGAGTGAATTCAGACAACCATTTCCGCCTCTCCCAGCCACTTTAACCATGAGGAGTGATTGTGTGCACACCACGTCCCAGACTGAATTTGGCCCAGATTCGTCTTACAGCTCATTTAGTCTGTATACTACCTCTGAAATTGTTCCTACCAAAGCCTTTACCTTCACAGATTATTAAACCATCTAATGTATGTGTATCCAGACCCCTCACACACACAAAAGGTGCTCCCACTTCTTCCAAATTAATCTTACCATGTACTCTCACTAAAAATTCTTTGTCATCATCTCCTGCAGGGCTAGAAGCCAAACATGTGTACCTTCCAGTATCTTCTACCTACAGGATGAACATCAATGAGAAACAGAACTGGATCAAATGGGATGAAACACAAGTCTGTTGATGGTTGTAAAACATGGCTAGATTGGCATTAATTTAATAGATGAGTTTCAGTTACTTGGGCACTGGATATTCGAAGAACCTCCCCTCCTCTCAGGATATGACTGTCCTCAGCGTAGAGCAGCGGACGCCCATCCTTCATCCATGTGATTTTGGGGACTGGAAGACCATCAGCAATACAAAACAGCTCTAGCAGGTTGTTGACTACTATAGAAATTTCTTCTGGATGATCTGATCCGTTTATATGGGGGGGTTCTAGCAAAGGAAATTATAAAACATCCATTAAAAAAAAAACCACTTTATCCAACAGTAGTCACAGAAATGTCTCCTTCAAACCCCAAATTATAACTCAGCCTTAAGAACGGGTCTTAGCTACTGTCACACCTTCTTAGCTAGTGGCAGGAATTTTAATTAGTCAAGTAAAGAAAAAAGATGTCAATGCATCATATGAGGAACATTTAAAAGCATTTCATGGTAGCTTTCTCCATAAAGGAAGCCATGTATCTGTAGACACCAATGAAGCTTATCACACTTCCTACTTTTCTGAAATCAGAGACCGGGCTTAAGACCAGTGCTAAATTCTTCTCATCCAACTATTGGTACCACATGGGATATTTACACATGGTGATTACAAAGGAAGTATTTTGCCTGCTTAGACACTTGATTTAGCAGCCAAGCTTAGGATAGTCCCTGACTGGCCAAGCCCCCCAGGGTCTTCCATTCCAGAATGTGAAAACAGGTTTCAAACCCTTACCTAGCACTTTAAGAACATAGTGCTTGTCAGCTTCTCCAGCTTTGTTAGATGCTATGCACGTGTATCTGCCTGCATCATCAACCTCCGACTTTGCTATTTGAAGACCTGTTCCTTGGTTTTCCAGTGTCACATGGAAGCCAAGTGGTAATGGCTGGCCATCCTTAAGCCATGACAAACTCGGTGTTGGTGTTCCATCAGCCAAACACACCAAAGAGACTGGATTCCCTTTTACAACAATCACTTCTTCTGCTCCTCCCCCATTGTCTATGCTCGGTGGAACTGCAGAAACACCAGGGAGATATTTATGCCATTAACTCAACAGAGAATTTCAAAAGCAAAACTTTGGTTAACTAGGCTACTGCTGTTTCTATTGTGTGAAATAAGACAATGGTTTGAATCATGAGAAGCACAGGTGAATGGGTAGTTAGATGACAGTTGCTTTGCCGATCCTGCTTCCCCATGCAGCCCCCTGAAATGTATGGGCCCAGCTCCTTTGCAGACATGCCCCAAGAAGCTATTGGCACTGATTCAGAGTCAGGTAGGGAGATGAAGGGGGGAAGTGCTGTCAAAGGGCCAAGTGTGTGGGAGCAGGGGACAGGTGAGAATGGCTGAGACAGAGAAGAAACCCAGCTGATGTCTAACCTTTTGGAAGACAGCCAAGCTGGGCCCTCTGAACCTGTGGGAATGCAGGGGTAGGAGAACATGAGCCCTGAGGTGAAGAAGGCAGGGAAATGCAGGGACACGTGGCCAGGGAGGTGTCCATGTGGAAAGACCCAGTTTGACAGAGGGACTTGTTAGCCTTTTGAGCTTGAGAAGGGTAGACCATAGTGTCCATTTGGAGGTGACTCTCTTTATGGGGCGCTGACTAACGAGGGATGTTGTTATGCAAATCCTGCCTGGAACATCAGCGCTTTTTGCCCACAGGAAAATACTGTTTGCAGCCAGGAGCAACATGTTTGCCTCTAGTTTGCACAATGAAGGTAATAGTCTAGAAATATGATTTGACTACAAAGAGTGAACACCCCAGTTCTGAGGTGACCAGGGTGGGTTGTGCACAAGAAGATAAGGGGGAGCAAGAGAAACATCCCCCTTTTGAATGCATTTGCTTATTGAACCCCTTCTATCCCACCTTAAGAAGAAGTTCAAGGTGGGTAGCAGAAAGGAAAAGGAGTGCAACGTACAAAGAAATATAAACACTATACTATCAAGATCCAACAGAGCACCCTAAAAACAAAACATCAGCATTGTTGCTGCTTGGCTGGCACGGTTCTGTCCCCAGCGATGATTTCGGAGGGCCACTTCCCTTCTTTTTCCTCGTGGTTCTGAATGAGAGTCCATGGCATCATGACATCATGGTGCAAATCATGTGTGTTGCCACAGCAACCGTGTGGACAAGTGAGGCATGAACTAAGAAGGAAAAGAAGGAAATGGAGCTGGGAGAGCAGCTCTGGAGCAGGGAAAATGTGTTTGCAGGAAGCGCTGAAAATGCCAAGGCCAAGCTTTTAAGCCAAGAGGAAACAACGTGCATTGTTTTGCCTCAGCATGGAAGTGTACCAGGCTTTACTAAAAGGCCCAGCCTTCAAGAGCTGATTGTTTAAGGTCTTCATGTTATGGATCTTTAGACTGAAAACATGGCTGGGGGATGCTGGGAGTCGGAGGGCTTCTCTCTCTCTCTCTCTCTCTTTCTTTCTAAATGTGCATAAAATCATGTCCTAAGAAAGGTAGAGACTTTCAAGAGGGAAGAGATAACACTGATTTGCGAGGCCCCTTGGGAGATGTTTGCACAGTGGAAAGTGCAGGCATGCATTTCGCATTTGGAAAATTCACTCGAGGGGATGTTTCACTTTACAACACCTGGAGAGGCTTACCGTGCACCTGAAGGCTATGGTGCTTCTTGGCCACACCTGCCCTGCTGGAGGCAACACACGTGTACATGCCATTGTCCGCTATCTGTGCTCTCACAATCCTGGAAGGGCACAAGGAGAAGCATTTCACCAAATGTCACGGTATGGAGCAGAGCATTCTGCATGACGCACAGCGCACTCCAGTTTGCAGGGAGCATAATGCTGCTTGTCTTTTGCTTGCATGCCTGTGAGTGCGCCATCCTGTTATGAGAAGCTCCTCAGCTCAGAGGCTTACACCCATCCTGTGTAGGAAGATGGGTGGGGAGGGCGGTCTTCACTGCCCTGAGCTCCTGCTACTTCACTGGCAAGAGGAGAGTGTTTTCTGCTCATCTGGCAACAGTGTTTCAGAGTAGGAGGGAAGGAGGTGACAGAGGATGATCCCTCTTACCCTCCTCTGAGGTTGCATTCTCAACCTCGGAGAGGCAGTCAGCACAATTCCCAGCAGGCTGCAGAAGGAGCAGGCAGGCCTCTGATTACCAGCACCAGGGTCAAAGCACTGTCTCTGGTTTTGCGGGTGGCAATGCAGACTATCCCATGGCCCCTCAGACAGTGTCTACAGGTCCTAGCTTTGCTCCTAAAGCACCCTAGAAATCTTTAAATTGAAAGGGAGTGCCTATTCTTAAAAAGAAATGGTAAATATAGATATTGGCTCTGACGTGCACGAATTGGCTTTTCTTCCTACAGCAGCTTCAAAACTGGACTGAGCATGTTCCTTTAGCAATAATATTCAGGTAGACTTTCAAGCAGGGATGCCATGGATAGGACGTCTTGGAGGGCCTTCATTCATAGGGTGAGCATCAGTCAGAGAGGACTTGATGCCACATCACAACAACAGCAAGCCTTTCAAACCACACAGGGCTGCTTATTGTGTTGTGTGAACAAAGCCACAAATGTGCACATGCAATTCAACTGATTTTATTTTCAACTGCCTTCTGAGCCTACGCATTGAAGATTGTGAAGAGGAAAACTGATACTGACAGGAGGTAGAAGCTGGTGACTCCCAACTAAGGACAACACGCCCTTTGTTCCCCTCATAAGAAACTGGAGAACTGGTAGCTCAAATGGTACATGACACATGATCTCCAGGAGGTGGCAACAATACAGTGTGGTAACACTTTTCACAATTCATGTCACCACTCTAGTGTAACCCTACCCAACTCAGGCCAAGAATCCCATCTTTCAGGATCCAGTTACACCAAATGGGAAGAGATTCCTGGTTGAGAAATGAGGTACAATCCAGATCCACAAATCCTTACCTGAGAATTTGTCCTGCTGAAAGCAACCGGATGTGTGAAGAGATGGAGAGAGGGAGCCCGTTCTTCAGCCAATTTATCTGCGGTGGAGGAGTGCCCACAGCTTGGCATTCAATGTTTACTGAAGTATCCACTAAGGCTGTTAGGTCCTCGGGTTTATCCTTATTATTCATTATTGCTGGTGGGACTAAATGTTGCAACCAAATGGAGGGTGAATTACTTATTTTTGACATTATAAACCACATTTTAACAGATAACCAAGGCACCTTATTTTCTAAATGCAAGTAAAGATGGCAGAAATAACAACAAAAAGTCCGCAAAACTACAGCAGTCTAATGGAGATGTCAGAAGAATCATGAAAGGGCTGAATCATCATAAAAGACAACTCTAAAATGTTACTCTTCCTCAATATTCTAGAACCGGAATGCCTCGTTCTCGGAATGCCTCGTTTCCAGAATGCCTCGTTCCCATTCGGAAGTGAATGATGACGGAACCATTGGAAGTCCTTTGAGAAGATGACACAACACCACATTTGAAATGACCCTGTGTGGTTGCAGTTTTGTATCAGTGGAAGATACTGTTCAGGTACTTTTAAACAGTTCTATCTATTATGATCTCAGAAGCAAATATATTCCTCCATTGTCCACATTACTTAAGGGAAAGTTGCCTTTTGTAAAGGTTTGCTTCTTATTGTCTAGTGCTGTCATATAAGCAGTTTAGAACATTTGAACTTCTTATCAATGCTTTACAGATGCACATGACAAAATACTAAAGATGTCAAGGGAATAGTCAGCTTTTGAAGGCTTGTTAGTAGAGTTGTAACTATAGATAATGGCAGATCACTAAGACACAATAAACTTTGCTTACTTGAAATGGCCCAGCCTTTGGTACCCACCCCATATTTCTGATGGCGAGGAGATGGGCAGTCAGGCCTCAGAAAAGGAACGAAGTTGTTAGGCTCATCTATTAAACAGTGAATATTTGAAATTATTCCTGGGGAAGTAGCTCACCGGGTGCTGAACCCCGAGATGGCAGCAATACTGCTTTTCCCATCCAAGGAAACATTCCCCACCACGTTCCAAACTAAATAATATCCAAATTCTGGAATCAGCAGCCTCCTCATACTATTCCTCTTGCCAGATCATGCTGAAGTTCTTTATAAATCTCCTCAAAAGTGGGCCAAAAAGCCATTCCTGTTCAATCTACCAAAGGACACACAAACAAAGACTCCTGTGTCTTCACTTTGATCAGCCATATCTGCTGTTATGGATGGGGTCTCATATTGTGTGACTGAGCTTTGCATCCTGGAAGCCATCTCGCCAAAACCTTTATCAGTGAACTCACTGCAAGTCCAATGCTTGCTAAGTTCCAGGAAGGGGGAAATGGATGCTGCGAGGAGGGCTAAAGATAGGAATGTGGTCAGAGAGGCTTCTCTGCTTTCCATCTTTTGGTCCAGAATTTGCTAGGCTCCATAACAAAATGGCACGAAAAGTCATAGCTTCATAGTTATCCATCAGTTGAGCTCATGCACAGCCTGGTGCACAAACAGGTATGTTTATACGGTCCAGACATGATCCGAAGGGAGAGAAAAAATACTGAATGCTTAATGCCCCACAGTGTTTTCTTCCAGCATGAAACAATTTTTGGAAGAGTCATCAGGGGACAAAGTAAATTGCTTTGGCTGCTGCACTGAATGTTTTCCAGTGAACAGTCCATCAATGCCTACTCAGGAAGCTCTACCCTTCCCCTTGTTTATCCGTATCACCTAGTTAAATCTGACTGGTGGAGTGATTATGTCAGCAGCACGAGGCAAGGAGTTCTATTGGCAAGTCTGAGAAGCGATATGAGAAAGATAAGTTTTAGGAGTCTTTCTGGAAACTTTCCACATGTACTCCTCCCTGAAAACCTCTTATTGTGCCAAAACATTTACTAGAAAAAAGCTCAATCTTTCTATCAATATAATTAAGTTCATATTATTGTATCTATAGCAAGAAATTCAGGGGCATAACAAAGCTTAGAATACAAATGCTGACTCCAGATAGAATATTATGTAGGGGTGTTGTGGTTGATGTTGTTATTGCTATTGCATTTATATGCCACCTTTCTTCTTCCAGGAAGGAATCCAAGGGGGTTACACTATTCTTTTCTTCTGTTTTATCCTCACAACAACAGCCATTTGAAGTGGATTAGACTGGGAAGCAAAGTCACCCAATGCGTTTCATGGCTGGGCTGGGCTGGGAAGCCAGATCTCCCGAACCCTAGTCAAGCACTTGATTCCTTTATTTATTAGATGTTTATTCCTGACCCATTAGCCATAAAGCCCCCTTGAACCACTACGCCACACTGGTTCTTATGTTCATGTGGACAAGCAGCAGACAACATGTGTCTAGGTTAAGCCCACATTGGAGAGTTTAACATAAACAGTAAGGTTTGAACTATGACTGAACTAAACCTTTGGACCAAACCTCTGCTATTGAAATAAAATCGACATTATTGGCAATTGTTCAGTATATGCTGATTTCTGAAGTACTGGGAGCACTCAGTAAACTCTTGACTGGAGATGCCAGAAATGGACACCCCATTTTCTACAGCCTGTAGGATTCACTAGGAGAGCATAGCTGGGTGCTTGACATGATAGCACAACTCCAATCTTGCAATTTCGGGGCTTGCCTGGGGTTGGCATAGCTTTTTGAGCCAGGACAGCAAAGTATTTCCCAACATGCAGCTGTTGCCATCAAAACACACCTGTAAACAGAAAATTCAGACAGATGCCTATATTTTTCACTAGATGTTTTCATTTTGGAAGGAAACTTTTAATGAGGAAAGCTGCAACTGATATACATTTAGTTCGGCCCTTGCTTAAGCTAATTTGCACACCTGAATGCTTCTGTAGATCTGTCACACACCAAATGTCATTTCTTAGGTAGAGATGCAGTTACATCTAGATTGTATATGTAGATTCTTGCAAAAATGGAATACTGTGATTGAGCTTTCACAAGAAAACTTGTAGGGGTTTTTAAATGTAGCTTTCTAAACATTTCCCTCATTCCAGTCTCTTACTGAATTGCACTGAGCACACCTTCGAATATATTTTCAATCATAAGAGAACAATAGTGGGGGGGGGGTAAAGAAACAAGTGTAGGAGATACAGTTTTTAATTATTTTATCAAGAGCACACAGTTCTTCAAGACCTCAGACCCCTCAGATAATGACCACTTTAACAAAATGAGAAATGGCCCCACGCCAATTCTGGTAACGACTACAAGCAATATTTCTGCCCATATAATACTTAAATACCTTCTTAGAATAGATCTTGAACAAGGGAGATTCCTATAACCAGTGGAGATCTGGGGCTCGAGCATCAGTGGGAAGGTCATCCACTCTGTGTGGATGAACCAGGAGCTATCCATGGTGCTAACCTCCATCCCCACCCCACCCCACCCCAAAAATATGATTCAATAGCACAAATAGCTCCCGAGAAGTTCAGGTTCCAACCCAGAATGGATACATCACCCAACCAACATTGGAATCACATATCTCCACTGCCTGTAATGTTGTCATCTTAAAACCAAACACCAACAACACTCACCGTACACATTCACACTGTAAATTCGGTCTTCTTCCCCTGCAGGGTTTGTTGCAACACAAGTATATTTTCCTCCATCACTTGTAAGGGCTCCAAAAATGTTGAGCACTGTCCCATCTGCAGCCAGGCTGGAGGGAGAAATCACAGAACACTTTTCTTCTGGAAGGGTGTCCCTGTTAGCTAGGACACGGACTGCAGTAACAATCTTAGACTTTGGTAAAATACAGCACAAAAAGCACCACCAACATGTAGGACTTGGAACAAAATGCTGCAGTGTGGAGTGTACCTGCATTATGATAACAGCAAGACCTTGTGCCTGGTTCAATTATAACAGGTAGACAGATAGACAACAAGGTTGTCTTAACACACTTACTACACAGAATCTTAAGTAACTCACTTAAGTTAGCAAGTGCTGTTTTGCTCTCTGTATTTCCCAAATCTGTGCATAATTTAAAGGAAGGGGAAGGGGAAATTTATATAGCACATTATAGTTATCAAAAGATTTCAAAAGCTGGTGATGTTTCAATTTTAATTTTGTACTGTCCTTAAAATACAAAAATGTCTATGACCTACATTGACCTAGAGTTCATAAAACTTTTACAGAAATCTGTTTGGATTTTCCTACCAATTTTGTGAGGTCTTTTCCATTTTCTGGCTTTCTCCCAGCTTTCTTTCCCTTTGTTTTTCCTCACCTTGCCACCCTGCTGTTTTAATTCTTCTTCAGACTGTGCTGTATATCAGAATGCAAAATGTCAGTTCCTAACCTTTTCCGCTGAAGTTCATTCTCAGTGAATGGTTTTCCATCTTTCAGCCACTGGATGACTGGTGAAGGAATTCCACTGGCTTCACAGGAAAGCTGGATATTTTCCCCAAGAATGACACTGATTTCACTGGGCATTTCCGATCCAGTGATCTCTGGAGGAACTGGGGCAAGAAGCGTATGCATTAGCAATATCACTAGAAGGCAGGAGAGAGAAGCAAGAGCACAAACTCATAGCAATACCTGGGTCATTACTGGGAGCTCTCGATCCACCTTTTGCTCTTTCCTGGCTGTAAAGTAGTCAAGCTCAGAGAAATGCACTTGGGAGAAAGAGGAAGGATTGGATGAGGATCCAGAGATGTACCCAAAGTTCTCATTTTTGCAGGGACTGTGCTAACCGTGTGCTGGTTTTCAGTTAGGGTTCAATCTGTGAAGTGCTTTGGAGCTTCAAGAAATGAAGTTACCAGAGAACACCAATCCCATACCACCCTTTTAAAAATAGAGATAGAGAGGGGCATACCTTGAACAGAGAGGAGATAAAATTTCACAGCTTTGCCTTCTACATTTGAGGCAATACAGGAGTAATTCCCATTATCCAAATATTGAGATCTGGCAATTTGCAGCTTGCTGCCTCCAGACAAAATATGCATTTCAAGGGAGGCAGAGTGTTCTAAACACCAAGAAATAAGAAAAGAATCAACATATAGAAAACATGAAAATATTTCCAGTTTGTTACAAGCTGATCTATTTCACTTTGGACCCTGTAAACCATCATTTAAAACCAAGAACCCATCACCATATACCTAGACTATATTAGAGGAAGGGAAATAAAGTCAACATGGACTGTTTGGTTCTGTCATAGTACCCAATCCCAGCATTCTGGAATCATAGCACTCTGAGGAAGATTCAACAGTGTATAAGTATGTGAGAAACTGCATTACTCTTCATTGGACCCTTGATCCACCTAGCCCAGAATTGTCAACATGGACTGGCAATAGGTGCCTGGTTTTTCCAGCCCTTCCTGGAGATGCCGGGGATGGTATCTCGGACTAACAGCATGCCAAGCTAGTACTGCAGGCTGTTCTATGTGGAGAAGGGCTCCAGTGATGGACACAGCTTTCATCCTTGGACTCACAAGTACACAAAGCGCTACCATCAAAACCAACAGATGCAGAATCATGTACGAGGGTGCTTGTAAAAACAGCCCAGCTCTTCCAGTAAAGCAAGGCCAGCTACAGATGGCCCCTGTAGCAGAGGGCTGATTTGTACAAACTCCACAAGCAGTTGAGGCCAATGAATATTGAAACTCCAATGGGAAATTGTCATGGATTTTCAGGTCCTGTAAATCTGGCAAAAGTGGCTTCTCTCTGTGTTAAACAACCCTCGCATAACCAATGGGCTGTTTGAATTATGCAAGGGCTGAGCAGTTCCTGAATGGTAAGCCATGAAAACAGCACTCAAAAGGGACATGCAGAAGCCACAGAGATCATATGAATGCGGTCCCATTCAATCTTGCTCCCTTCCCATAGCTGTAAGAAGTGGAGAAGAGCCAGTCAGCAGGGCCAGTGGGAACTCTCCATGGTCCTGACTTCCATAACGTCTTCAAGGGTTACCTTTATTGCTTGGATTCTCTATGTACTATATGAAGAAAGGTGGGATATAAATTAAATTAACAAATAAACAGCATATACAATCCCCAATATGTAACATCTTACCAAGTGGCTTTCCATTCTTGAGCCATGTTATCAACGGTGGAGGAATTCCAGTAGCATCACATGTGAAAGTCACAGGGTTACTGATGGTTTCATTGATCCACTCTTCTTCAGGGCCTTCAATGCTGGGTGGAACTGTGAATGGGAACAGCAGCAGACACAGGCACAAAATTACCCAAAAGCTGATGGACTGAGATGCTCGGCATCAGAGGCAACTTGCACCCTACCCCACTCTCTGGCTCACCGCTGTGTTTTGTTGTGCATTCATGGGAAGCACCAAGGACAATTCAGGAGCATCCCCTACAAAGTTAGAAGCCAAGACTAAAAGGCCATTTTTTACTTATCATCAGATTGGCTCACCAAACCTAAGCCAGGTTAGTCTGCTGATTCTGTCACTGGAGGTTCACAGAAGATAAGCTTACCATGCACATTGAGATGGAAATTTTTGTCATCACGTCCAGCAATATTAATGGCTTTACACACATAGTGGCCAGTGTCGGACACCTGAGAAAGCAAGAGGAAAACTGACGTTCCACCTTCCTAAATAGCAGCATTTTCTGGTTTGAAACGGATCATTGCTAAGAGAATGCCATAATTATTCACAACCTTCCTGGCTCATTCCACCACCAGTTGGACAAAATAGCCACTAAGGTATGGACAGCTTCTTCTCTAATCCATTATTTTTATCCCTTCATGCAAAAGTTTATAAGAATGTGTAAGTTTACATTTACAAGAATCTGCTCATAGGAATATAACATTTCTCAGAATAGGTCATTGATCAGCATTCATGAAATTAATTTAAATATCCACTCTGCCAGACAAACATTCTGTACACATGGGAAGGCAGGAAAACAGTTGCATAGACTGAAATGAGCCCCAGGAGCAGTGGTATGAATCATGCTGCTTTCCATGATCTGCCAATCAGAGATAATTTACATTCAAAGTCTTAATATAACTTGGAAGTTCATAAAGGGCTTTTGGACTGAATTGTGAGATTCTCAGGGGGTTATTTAAACCCTTTGCTGTTTTTCCTATTGGCATTAATTTCAAGTTTGATATGCTTTTGATGCCTCCTTTTTTCCATTGGACATGTGGTATTGTCATCTTAAGAAGCCTCGTAGTCCACCGACGAACTGATTCTATGAAAGATTCTGGACTGTGCAGAAATGGATTGATTGACTTTATCACTGAAGGAGAAAGAAGATACTGACTTCTATCAAACTTGGGAATTTTTTTATTACTGGCTGGAGAAACGGGACTTGGCTTAGATTTAAAGATGTTTTTAAGTAGTTATAAATGGATTTGGTTATGACTATAGAATGTTTGGAAAAAAATGTAGTAAGGGACTGACCCAATATGTCCAATGTATTTTATGATTGATGTTTTTAGTAGCAGCTTAAAAATCCTAATAAAAATCTTAAAAAAAATTAAGAAGCCTCGTAGTGTTAAAAATGGGATACAAATGTACGTGTAAATAAAGGAACAGAGCACTTTGGAATACCTCAGCAGCCTTGATTTGAAGCATTTGTCCATCTGCTATGATCTCTGCATGAGATGACATTGTGATCACGTCTCCGTTTTTGTACCAGGTGATGACGGGAGGAGGAACAGCATTCGAGTCACACTCTAATGTCACCGGCATCCCCTCTCTCACGTTCACCACTGCAAGAGCTGTGCCACTGTGGTCTTTAATGCTCGGAGGCACTGTGAGGGGACACAAGGAAGAAAATCCTTTGACTTCTGCCAGAAGGAAGAATTCCTGCTGTAAATGGATTTTTCAGTGTAATTTCTCTCATGTTAAAGATGTGTAAACCTACCAAAAACAGTAAGGAAACTCCTTCTCCGGCTTTCCCCAGCACTGTTTCTGGCTATGCAAATATATTCTCCACCATCAGACAGACGTGCCCTTGGAATCTGCAGTGTGTGACCACCTGAAATTTTGCAAAATTTTTAAAATCCCACAGGATTTGAGACAGTCTGGTTCTCTTCAGCCACCTGTCTTATCTCTGCATCAGCTAAGCATTCCATAGCTGCTTTTACTTCTGATTCTGAATCTGAGGCAACAACCTTTGAAGACTGGATTCTGCGAGAAAAGGGCCTAGTCCCTACCATGATAGGAGCATCATTGCCCATGCTTTGAACTCTGATCTTAGTGTTGTTTTATGTCAGGATTTTTCAGGATTTTGCAGTGCCGCAACACTCATTTGGCCAAAGGGAACAAAACGAACAAGCCCTTTAATCATAGTAAACAAGGCTTTTTTCATAGCACCTCCAGATCCCAAATGAATCTCTGGTAGAAGTGGTGTATCTGTCAGGCAGAGTCCCTACTGCAACCCCCCCCCCAAAAAAAAAACCTCAGGCAGAGGTTACAGTGGAGACCTCTTCTTCATACTTTCTGCCAACACAGTTTTTCCATACCAGCTGAGGCCTCAAAGATGGAAGAGGCACTTCAGGACAGGTGTTGGGGGAACATTTGGGCAGAGGTGAGAGACAAGCTACCATCAGCTTTCACCATCTTCAGGGGATGTTGGGAATGGAGCAAGAGGAGAACTATTTGTACCACTATTTTTTTCAAAGAGGTAACCAGAAGGGAAAATTACCTTACCCAAACAGTTCTGAACAGTTATATGATCCTTTCTGCTCGATCCAGTTCCTTGACACCTTTTGGAAATCTAGGTCTTTCTTCAACTGGTATCACTTTAAGAATAGGAATTCTCTAACCATCTATTTGTCCCTATCTACATTCCTTGTCAACCTTGTTAAGATAATAGGGAAAGAAGAAGAATATGTCTGTGAGGAGAAATCCACAGAACCAGAGTTTGCTTACCGGGTATGATAAGAGCATTTGTGTTCAAGCTGAGAGGTTTTCCATTTTTGAGCCAACTGAGATCTGGCGGTGGAAAGCCGGTGACCTCACAGGTCAAGGAGATGAAGTTATTCATCACAACAGTTAAATTCTCAGGATTAAGGCCAACAATACTTGGAGGAACTGTCAAAAGACATACAATTCTCAATGCTATCATCTTTTTCCAAGAACCACACCAAGTTTCATCAAGCAATTGGAAACAATGTACATGATTCTAATCCTCCTATTTTATCTACAGTAGGATCCCAGGTGGTCTTGTACTTGTATTCCTTCCCTAAAGCAAAGGTTTCTAAGGGTGTCAGGGCTTCAGTCTTTTCCATCTGCATATGTCTAATTGACACAAAATGTATTTAAGTATATGAATAGGTTGCCTTGCGTATGTATCTACCAAGGGACCCTCTGAACATCCAGGTAACACATATACATATGTGTAGAATACAATTGCTTACATCGGTCCATAAATATTCAATGTTTCACAGAGCTAAAGAAAGGACAACTCCAATAAGAATACACTGAAAGCTGCACTGAAGAATTTCAAAAATATTAACTTTACTGCCTTTTGACATAACAATATCTTGCCAAGGCATCTGTAATTTATAAATAAAAATTATTTATGTAATTTATGAATAAAGAAATAAAGATTTCTTTATTTATTTTTAAATGCCCCTTAAGATCCTTAAAGCATTTTGTGCAACTCAAAGGATATAGAGAAACTGATTAATAAAGAAATGACTAAGAACATTGAAGGAGGAGGGGGTACACTTTGCCAGAAAGAGTTAGCCATTGGAGAAATTAGACTGAAGAGCTGCCCCAGGGGTCGGAGTCAGGCAGAAACTGGCCTTTTTATTCTAAGAAGATTGTGTTTTTCCTCCCCAAAGAGGTCTTTCCAATGTAGGCCATTTAAATCTGTTTATGGTTCTATTTTGTTTCTGCTTATGCTTTTTTTTGCAAACACACAATGGGAGGTGGAAGTGGGTAATTCACTAATTTTGTGTGGAATATTCCTTATGTGAGTATAGCCAGTTATCACCCTAGAAAATAAGAATCTTACCATGAACATTAAGATTAAAATATTTTTTGGCACTTCCTGCCATGTTCTCCACAATACAGACATACCTGCCTGTATCTGTTATTTGGGAATTGAGGATCTGAAGAGAGAAGATGAAAATAGAGGAATTATACATATATGCAAAATGAACTGTGTGTTGCCAAAACACACCCTTAAAAGCTCAAACATGTCCAGCTAAATATTCAGTACACTGATCTCACTATTATTTGCCTCATAATTGCTGTACATTCAGAATTATGAGGACAAGCAATCCTGCTCAACTCTGCTTGCTAACATTCCCTTCCCTTCCCTTCCCTTCCCTTCCCTTCCCTTCCCTTCCCTTCCCTTCCCTTCCCTTCCCGGATGGAAATGCTTCCAGAGACTGTTTTAGGGGTGTCCAGTTGGCAGCTATAGTGCAAAGATGGAAATTCAGTCAGCACCACTTGAAAAAAGGGTTATTCTATAATGCAAGGCTTTGCACTATACTGTCCCCCAAAATTTTGATGATCCCAAAGTTCGCCAAACTCTTGCGAGGATTTTTTGGACAGACACCTGCCCTGGGGGAATCTGATGCCTTGAATGAGCACATTCAAACTCCTGAAAAAACACTTTCTGTGGCAGTATATTTGGTCATTATTCTTTTGCCATTTTAATTCTACCAAAGTAAGAAAAAACTTATACGATAAATGAATCACAGACACCATTAATGACACCATTAATCAAAACTATTAACTTGATTACACTCTTGTGGATTGATCAAAGTTAGTGCCTGACCATATGGGCACTGCCATCTTCAAGCATTATCCTCTGATGCATCTTGTAACTTTGCTTAGCCAGGTCTGCCGGTCCCCATCAGCTCATGCCCTTAACTGCTGCCAGTAGGCAAGAGCTGTGACCACCTCCACCTCTTCCACCTCTCCAGGTAAAGCAGATACTCAGTGCACAAGCTTTTGCCAGCAAATCCCCGCTACTTCCAGCGTAGCAAATCAGAGGCAGGAGGAGCCATGTATTGGGCATAGCTCATTGAAAACCAGGTGATGAAGGACACAAATAAACCTTGAGAAAGATGCATCAGACTAACAAAAAACCATTCATCATTGACTCAGGACAGGGATGGCCAGTGTTTTCAAAAACTATTCTGTTCTCCTGGGGACTCCAAGATATTTTGCTGCATGAGCCAACCCATTCCTTGATCGTCAGGCTCCAGAATAAAGTTACCACTGCTTTTCAGCAAACAACTTCAGCCTTACATTCAGCAGTATTTTAAGGAAATAGTGGGAAATGCATTTAAATAAATAGAATCTATACATCTTCTGAGAAATGTCTTGCAAACAGAATTTTCAGTAAACATTTTACCAACACACCCTGCCAAAATAGAAAGAGCTACCAAAGGATGGAGAAGATTGCCTCGTGAGTGGAATCTGGCCAGCAGAAGACAGTAGCTTCACAGTGGCTTCTCAGTGTTACCTGGAGTGTGCTTCCGCCAGCTAAAATTTTGTGCTGGGAATCTCCGGCTAAGAGCTGCCCATCTTTCTGCCAGGTTATGGTTGGAGTTGGGTTGCCACTGGCCATGCATTCCAGCATTGCCATCTTGCTCATAAGCACAGTCACCTCTTTGGGGATATCTCTGTTGGTTCCATAGATAGATGGTGGCACTAGAAAGAACAGTAACATTCGGAAGAAGTGTTTGCTATCTGCAGACATCTTTATGAAATATCTGAGAGAGACTAAAGGGAAGATGAACGTCAAATCTGCAAACAGCCAAGAATGGTCTTTTGAAAACCTCCAAACAACAATGTGTCTGTCTGGTGCACAGAGTCTCCTAAAGATGAATGGTTGAGTTCTAAAATGGTGAAAGAAGGTCAACGATCAGAGAAGAAGGACTGAACATCAAAGAAAAAAGCATATTGGGGATCTCTGGTGAGAGGAAAACACAGTTCGGAGAAAACCTGCTTCCCATGCTTGTTCAGAATATCATTCTCGACAGAACAGGGAGATATAAATATTTGCCCTCAGTCTGAGAAATGTAATATTTAGACCAAAAAAGAAAGAGGCATTTTGTAAAGATGTTCCATTTATCCAGCAAATTAAGCACCGCACTGTGTCATGGAAATATTTATGGAAAAAATTGAGAAGAGGTTCATGGGTCACCTGATCATAACACAAACTCTGCTACATATAAATATCACCGAAAAAAGGAGACAGCTGTCTGTCTGTTTTCCACTGCCTGATCCCAGGGGAGCAGTTGAAAACTCAAATAGACTTGTCTGGATCTGTGGAGGACAAACAAGCTGAAGCGTAACCAAGCTAAGATCGAAGCACTGCTGAGCTGGGTGGAGGTGAGCAGTTGGTTCTTGGACTGCATTTCCCTTGAAGAGTCAGTCCAGTTTTCCTATCTGTGTAAGTGCAGTGGCCAGCAGTTTGGGTTAGACGGGTATGGCTACTGGTCAACTTTTAAAGATGGCTTGGAAACTACAGTTAGTACAGAATGCCACTTCCTTGTGACTGCAATGCATCCCAAAAGGCAAAGCACACATGCATTGGATAAATAAATAATAACCTTTAAGAAACTGAAAGGCTGCAGCATCCAACACCTGCAGCCTAGAATTATTTATAGTAAAATGATTGAATTGCTCAAGGTCCTTCCACATGAGAAATTACTACTTTTGTTATTACTGTTAGCATATGCTGTTTATAATACTATGGACAAATTCCCGCCAAATTAGCTCTACTATTGTAAGTATTAAAATTATATCAACTTTTAAGAATAGAATATTCAAGTACATGAATAGAGAAATGACTGAGAGATAATACAATATCCAACCAAGTTATATCAGCAGCGCCCAGGTTCCAAACATCACACAGGAAGAGAATCCAGATAATAATACTGATAAAAGTAGAACATGCAGATAAAATAAATGGCAATAAATCACGAAACTGTCTGCATATCATGCAGGTGCAATCAAGAGTTCACACAGAATAATGGGCTCCGGTTACAGAACTCCAGATTCTGGCTAAATATCAGGGGGAAAAACCTTGAGAGTTAGCGCAGTAGGACAATAGAACCAATGATCTAGGCAGGTTGTGGGCTCTCCCACACTGGAGGCCTTCAAGATGCGTCCGAACAGCCAGCTGAGAGGGATGATTTCACCTGGAGTCCTTGGGGTCCTAGGGCTGAGCAGGAGGTTGGACCAGAAGGCCTCATGGGCCCCTTCCAGCTCTACTATTCTATGATCCTAAGCCATGGTGCATTATATTTGCATAATGACTTATGCAAGCACAATGCTCAACTGAATGATTTGGAGGAACGATTGGGCCTGTGTAAAGAATAAATTGGTAGATCTCTTCTAGCATTGTCTGAGTTTCTGGCATGAGACCACTGGACATGGTCCATAGCTGGATAAGAAAGAGGGGCAGAAAGGTCGTGTCCCCTGCTACTCTGACATGAGCCTACCAGGGAGTTTCTATTTATTTATTTATTAAAACATTTTTATGCCGCCCCATTCGCTGAAGCCTCGGGGCGGCTTACAACGTTAAGTTAAAAAATAATTATAACATTAAATTAAAAAATACAAACATTAAGTTAAAATGCAAAAATACCAATATAAAATAAGCCGCCCTGGCCAGATAAAATCCAATAATATTAACCATTAAAATACCGCTTCAATAAAAAGGTCTTCGTCTGGCACCGAAAAACAAATAACGACGGCGCCAGGCAGACCTTGGTGGCCGCCAGGGACAGTGCGTGCATGCCCAACCACCTGGTAGATTCATGGCAAATGCTAGATGTTAACTGCGCATTGCGGTAGGCCAGCAGACATGCCACCTTTGCAAATGCATCCTCAGGGATGTCGCTAGAGATACAAGGGCTAATACGGACATTAAAGTCAAGGCTAAGAGAGGCATCTCCACCAGCCAGGTCAAATGTAGTCTTCAGATCCAAGCCAACTCCACACTGTAGCAGATGGAAAGTGAAACACAGTCTTGGCCTTATTTGTTGAAGCTCCGCACAAGTTTAAAGCTGGCTTTTTGAATTAAAACACTGGCAAGACTTGGTAGGCCATTGCACATTAGAAACTTGTATTCCCCAACTTGTATTCATTCTGTGAACTATAATTAAAAACTGTTGCCCAAATCACAGGTGCCTTTCAAATGGATTTTTTAATGCACGAATCAACTAACCTAACCTGTTGATTGAAAAACCAATTTGGAACGATGATCTGATACTCTTAATATCTGCGGCAAGTTACCTTCAAGCATACATGAGATTACGGAAATCAAAGAACGTAAGGTGAACTCACAAAGCACGTAGACATCATAGTGGATGGAATCCTCCCCTGCCTCATTTGCAGCCACGCATGTGTATCTCCCAGCATCTTCACTCTGCGCTCGTGAGATCTGCAATACCCGACCCCCTAGAAGCAATGCAAAACCAAACTTACTCTGAACACAAGCCACTCCCGTGAAATTCTCATACAGCTAAGCTATCAAAAAACACATTTAGTAAATAAAATGAATGAAATGTTTCTATTTCCCTCCCTAGTTGTTTCCTTTTTCCTCTGTGGCCTGTTCCAAGAAGATCCGATGCATCAAAGTCCTTGAGCAGAAGCAGAGTCTTGCTGACGCTCCATTTCCAGCACATCTCCTTCTGGACTTAAAATCTGATACATATTTTCAATCTAGCTCATTCTAGGTAGACAACAATGCTTAAACACTACAGGAAAGATCTGAAAATAGTTTAACTACGTTAAACATTACAAGAATGCATATCATTAGGTATAAAAATTACATTGGGGCTGCACATACACACACACACACAATTTCCTAACTGTTCAGGTGCTAATTCAGCCCTATAACCGTTATAGCTTTGTAGCTGTACAGCAGTACATTCTGTGGACTCAGAGTATGGAGAGTAGAGCTCAGAGGTTTTGGTGACCATCAAATGAAAAGCTCAAAATTCTTCTACAGGTAATGGGAATCGGAAATGGGAGTGTTATTTCTTCTCACCCAGGTTTTTGATTCCATTCCCTCCCTCCTGCCAAGAACCACTTCATGTAAATGGCTATTTGTCTATGTTTCTATTCTTCACGTTATGATTTTTTGGGTTGGTCTCACACGATTCCATTGTGTTTGATTGGCTGGACCCACTGTGAGATTATTTCACAGTGAAAAGTGGATAGTACATTCAATCAAAACATGAAAAAGCTCAAAGTAAGGGAGGAACTGGGCTCTAAATGTTTAAGCCTTTTCCGTTTTAAACTATCTTCTCAAATTCTGCCTTGAATGTCACCTGAAGCAACAAAGGCTCAGGACAATTCCTAATTATGCATCCCCTTAGAAAGTAGGTTTCCATGCCTACCTTGCACATCCCTGAAATAAATCCCTGAACAACATATTTTCCTGTGCATGGCTCATGGTATTTGCATAACAGCATATTAATTAGAAGCATGGAACCACCGACATCCATGCAACTGCTGTGACGGACGCACCCCTGGAGCTTTCTTGATGGGCGCAACCACAGCAGCCATGCACAGACATGGTTACATGCAAATTCCTCCACCTCAAACAGTGGGTGCATGAGCCCAAGAACATGTGCTCCTATACAGGTCAGTGGCGCCCAGACCTAAGAGAAGCATTTATTTATTTAATAGATTTATATCCTGCTTTTTTGCTTTCAGAGCAGCTTACATTGTTCTCCTCCTCCTCCTGCCCGCAGTCTTATCTGTGAGTTAAGTTGGGCTAAGACTCTGTGACTGGTCCAAAGTCATCTAGTTGGCTCCCTGGATGAGCAGGGAGTAGAACCTGGATCTCCTGAGTCCCAGTCCTGTGCTCTTAACCACGACACCACGCTGGCTCTCAATATAAAACACAGCTTCTGCCAAGTATTTCCAAGAATCCCACGTAGTAGTGACCATTATTCAGCAGCCATTGCAGGGAAAAGAGTGGTGACAATTCTCTTTCTTGAAATGAGCATAAAGATGCAGAGCAACTGTTACAAGGCAGGGACCCTTTGCATCTAGTGTGTACACTTGGTGTGTTGCAGCAGACAAAGTTGCTCCCATAAGAAAGCAAACATCGGCAACTCACACAGGAAATTATCCTGACTAATGCTTTTATAATGGCTTGGCTGAATGAGTAAATGAATGAAAATCTATTGCATACAGACCTGGCACTATCAATGCTTTATCACTGGAACTTAGGGGATAACCATCCTTATACCATGTAAGAACTGGAGGGGGCACAGCATTCGTCTCACAGTATAAAGAAAGAGGATTGTTCATGATCACATTTCTGGCTTCTCCTCGGTGCACATCACCAACTTCCCAGACTTCATGTGGTTTTTGGAAACTAGGAGGAACTGTGACAGAAGAAACAGGTGAAAGACGGATTGAAAACAATGGAACATTTAATTCTGAACTTTTTTTCTGAAGAAAAGACTCCAACCACAGCATTCTGTCTTCACGATACACCAAAAAGATTTGAGAAATGGCCGAGAGAAGTCTCCTGTGCAGAACTTAGCCTGTGCAGTGTTTTTCTTGGGCACAGTCCAGAGGGCCTCATATGCAAAAATCTTTAACAAGGGAAGCTGCTATAAACACACACTTCAGTTTCTCCGTAACTGAATGAACATGCTCCTCTCTAGGCAGTGCACAGGAAGCTCTTACTGGCTCACCACATTGAGCATTGTCATGGGTAAACATTCAATATTGTTCTTGTTTATGTTCCCACCTGTAAGTGCACAAGGCATGAGAATTCTTTCATAGAAGGTGCTGAGATATACAGTTGAACCAACTACTTGGTGCTCTTCTGTCCATTCCCCAGTGCTGCCAATGTTCCAAGAAAGAACAGAGGCACTGTGTGGGGCATCCCTCACCTCCACTGGTTCTGGGAGCTTGCAGAGGAAGGGCACAGTTCCATACAAAAGGCCAGTGCCTTCCTCCGCCCCTTGGCAATCATTGTCAGCCATGCCTTCACTATTCTCCCATGGTATCTGCTTTGCAGATCACTTCATTGCTCATTAATAGTCGAATCATAGAAAAGTAGAGTTGGAAGGGGCCAGAGGGCCATCGGGTTCAGTGCTGGACTCCAGGTTAAACTATTCCTCTCAAATAGCTGTCCAATTCCATCCTGAATGCCTCTAGCATGCGAGAGACCACAAACTCCTCAGGTCATGGTTTCTGTTGTCATACTTCTCTAATGGACAGGAACCTGGCTTCCTGAGCCCATTATTCCATGTCCTGCACCTGGCCAGGACCTGGTCCTGGGATGATCAAGAGGAGATCCTGGCCTTCCTCTGTGGGACAGCCTTTAAGCACTGGTAGAATGTTTTTATTACTTGCACACTAGGTACCCGGAGGTGTGGCATGTCTCCAGTTTTCTTCACCACCTACAGGTCAGTAGCATGGTGCCCACATGGCCTTGAGGAATCCAGCCCTCTAGCATTCATGGACTTCCTAACATGCTTGGCCCAATCTTAGAAAGCAAACTTAGCTGAGAGAAAATCACGAATGCTTGAGGAGCAAAGGTTGCACAACCGGAAGCCTTCTTCTCAGTCAGGTGCAGTAGCACCAAGGCTCCTGCAGGTGGTGCACAGTAGGGGACTCTGCTTGCCCAGGGGTCACAGGCAGAGTCCTCATCCCTGGGGAGTCCCACACAAACAACCTTCGTCCATGCCACAGGTGCAGGAGCACAAACAAAGGCGGCTTCCCATGGTGTGAAGAGGGAAGCGCCTTGCTTGCTCATGGGGCTCAATTCCTGGTGTGCAGCCTGCAAATTTAAACTCAGGGCCACAACAAAACCAAGCTCAGTAGGAATTGCTCCATATCCCTACCTCTGGGCATCTTTTTTGCTGTCTGCCAATGTCCCCTATCCCTTAAAAAGCAATTGTTTCAGCAGCTAAGATTCTGTGGAATCTTAATGCTTTTTTCTCTTAATGCAGAAAATGCTGGGTTCCAAAGAGTTTTTTGGTTTATATGTGCTCAGACCCAACTTTTGCCTTGTATTCAATCTTTTGGGCAGGTTACCTGTCCTTTGCCATGCCTTCCATGGCAGCCATCTTGTGACAGTGCCAAGGACAGCTTCTCAGATTGGCAAAGGTGCCCACAGGTACAAAGGTATAACCTTCCCTGACCCAAACAGACAGACAGGAAGGCAAACAGACACACATACCTTGGACGTTGACATCAAACTCCAGCTCATCCTCTCCAGCTATATTTGTGGCTACACAACTGTAACGGCCGGTGTCAGATATCTGAGCTGCCTTGATTTGCAGGATGCGTCCCATGCCTTGGATGGTTAAATGATCATCTGATGCAATAAGCTGCAATGGAATCAACCAAAGGATATGTGAGCATTTCAGGAAATGCTGATACGCATTTCACACATAAAAGATGCCTGCACAAGTTGTGTTTGACTAGGCCAAACGCAGCTGTTCAAGTGCAAACTGCCAGGTTATGCAGCAGAGTTGGGGCCCAAGGGCCCAAGGCAGAGTTGGAAAGATGCTGGACTCAATAAATAAAAGTAAAGGTTTCCCCTTGACGTGAAGTCCAGTCATGCCTGACTCTGGGGGGCGGTGCTCATCTCCGTTTCCTGGCTGAGGGAACCAGCGCTTGTCCGCAGACGGTCTCCATGGTCATGTGGCCGGCATGACTAAACACCGAGGTGCAGGAACGCCGTTACCTGCCCACTGAAGTGGTACCTGTTTATCTCCTTGTATTTGCATGCTTTCGAACTGCCAGGTTGGCAGGAGCTGGGACGGAGCAACGGGAACTCACCCCATTGTGCAGATTCGAACCGGCGACCTTTCAATCAACCAGCCCAGCAGCACAGCGCTTTAAACCACTGTGCCACCTGCAGCCCCTGGTCTCAATAAATAGGCCTCTGTTAATTAAATATGCTTCTGTGCAGGCTGCCCATTTTTTTCAGCCAGGCAGGCATTTGATAGGTGCTTCTGCCACAGCCTTTCTCCATACTGCAATTGCAGGGAAGCAGCCAAGATTGGAAGTTAAACAAGGGCTACCTAGTGCTGGTGGATGACATCTGGGCCACAAGTCACAGAGACCTGACACAAGCCATGATTTCACACTTCACTTTCCCTCCTGCTTCCACCCAAAATTTGAGAATATTGTCATTTCTGATAGTTTATTTGCAAATCGTTAAGAAAAGAGCAGAAGGGGAGGGGAGGAGGGGAGGGGAGGGGAAGAGAAGCAAAAGCCATTTTGGAGGGGATTGTATTATGCTCCCCTCTGCTTTGCCAAAAGAAATAAGAATCATGTTTCTATTAATGTGCTTGCTAATACCGGGACTCTTAACTCTTGCCAAAAGACAGCTTCTGGAAAAACTTAGAGCATCCATTTCTCCATTGATGGGATTTGCACTCATGTCAATGCCTATAAAATTTTATGAGCCAAGACTAATATTCCATATGCCAGTGGATACGAGGGAAGCAAAAATATGGGATGCATTGTAACGCAGAATGCACAAATGGAAACACAAGAAGGAGCAGTGCAAAATTGTGAATTGTAAGTAGGAGGGCAGAGTGCCCTGGGTTGCTCTTCCTGTCTCATCCAGCACTTCCAGGGTTGTGCAGCACAGACATCACTGCCTAAGGTGCTAGATCTCATTGAGCGAGGCAGGGTGGAAAGGCAAACAGCCCTGCAGAAAAGCTTACAGTTTCCTGAAAAACCACTAATTGAAAGGAAGGAAGTTTGTGACTGGCCTGTCCATTCTTGTACCATCGGATGCCCGCGGCAGGGATTGCGTGGGCAACGCATTCCAGCGTCAGGCTGTTGTTCACTCTGATCTTCACCTCTTTCGGGGAGAGACTCACTTCTGCCAAATCCCCTCTGCTTATCGTGGGAGGAACTGCACAGAAAGAAAGAGCCCAAGAATCCACACATCAGCTTCTCACTTCAATCTACACTGAGAAAAGGAACAGGACGGGGAAGGTGATGCCGGTGTGCCATAAGCTGTACTACAACAGGCATGTTCTATTCAGTGCTGCTCCTTTTTTCCTTTATTTTTAATTATTTTAAATTGAGTCTTAAATGCCATGTTTTCAACATTATCAGTGTTACGATGCTGCAGAAAATGCTGCAGCTTTTGCAACCAGAAAAATGCATACAGTACAGGGAAAGATCCCATTACAAGGGACTTAACAAGAGTCACAGGAGGTTCAATATCTTAATAAGCATATAGTTAGCCACAGGAATTCGCTGAGGGTTTTAGATTGGGTTGCAATTATCGAAGGACACAATCCAAAGGGTATGCCTGCATTTTGATGCGTTTCAATGAATACCGGCTTCCAATGTCTTTGGGAGGAGTCTAGAGGCAGAGGTCCCCTCTGGGGTCCACCTACCATGCAAAGCTGATTCTGGATGTCTACAGGGAGAGAGCTTCAGCAGGGAAGAAAGATGGCTGAAGATGCATCATATCTTTGCGGCCACAGTCTCCTGCCTTTTCCCCTTCCAGGAACATCCTGGAAACCCCTCCCCTGAGGTTGTTGTTCGACCTTGGAGAACCAGCTGGCGCATTTGCTTTCCATCCTAGATTTGAGGCCTGGCTACAAGGTTGGAACAATTTCCTGACCTCACCGCTGGTTCTTTGAAAAAGCCTATTGCTGCCTCGTGGGTAGAGGGTTGCTCTGTGTCTTGAGATATGGAAAGATATGGAAAGACACGCTCATGGTTTCTTTGGCGACCTTGCTTGTTAATAAACTCAATCAATGTATGCCGAATTGTACCAAAGGTGTCAGCTTCTTTCTGTTGCTTTCCTGTCCTGCTCTATATAGTTAATTTTCAGCAAACACCATTGAAGATGGTTATGGCATATGAATTGATGGATCTGTAGACTCTTTCCAATTCTGTGCTATTCATTGGCAAGAAACCATAATTATAAATGTTAACAGGTCTTCGTTTGAATTGCTCATTCTTTTACTATAGTGCGAGTGTAGATGAGGGACTTACGATCAGCAGAATGTGGCCTCTAGAATCCTGTGTGAAGGCTGGCCTTCTTTTTATGAAGCTTATCAATTAAAAACTTGGCTGTTCTCATTAGTTCCTTCTGAGTGGATGGCAGCTGTAATATAGCTATCTGCTGCTTGGGCATTTTAACTAGTACAGATTAATCATGTCTTACAAATTAGATGTTTATATGTATAGTGAATACCACTGACAAGTGGAAAATGCGAAGTATAAATTCTGAAATGAATGCATGGCATGAAAGCAGCTGCAATCTTACGCTCACTTACCTGGGAGTAAGTTCCACTGAATTCAATGAGGGTTACTTCTACCAGACTTGGTATGATTGCATTGTGAATGATGAATTAATGAAAATGTAGCAAAGATGTGACCTGGTCGAACATGGTCACCTTGAGTATAGAAGAGACTTGAAATGATGGCATAAATATATTGATGTACATATCACGGTGGCCATCAGAAAATTTGATCAGATTTGACCAGATTTGGCCTCCATTATTCACACAGAATGCATATATGGTATTCTTGTAAAAAGTTGGAAATGTATAGAGTGGTTGTTGAATAAACAGAGGTGACTCCTCATGTAGGGTGCAGCTACTTCTGAGAACCTTATAGCTTATGCTAAAACTATAAGGAATAGCAGACAGAGACACAGTTAAGGACTATGAGGTGTATAAAGCTAATTAATAGAAAAGAAAATACAAGAATAAGAGTCCTGAGTAGAGAATGTGCTGAAAGATAAACCAGGACAAGCACTGCTTCAGGCTGATACAAGGAAGGAACCAGCTGGGAGGAGCGTACACCAACATGGCTTGGCTTTGATTAATAAGTTATTGAGTCATTGAGTGACGTGAGAAGCGGCTGCATGTGAAATTGCAAGCAACAATGCAGAAAGTCCCAAGGCAGGAACTGAACAATATTTAACAAATAAAAGCAAAAAAGCATGCTGGCACACTTACTGTAGACTTTCACTTCATAGTGCTTTAACGTCTCCCCTGCTTCATTCGTAGCTGTGCAGGTGTATCTACCTATGTTATGCTCCTGTGCATTCAGAATCTGGAGGTTTCGACCACCTGTAAAGTTCCCCACCTCCAAGTTAATGTTTGTGAAGTCGGAAGGAACTCTGTATAAATTATAGACATTCTGGTCCACTAATATTCCCTAGGAAACAAGCAACCACGTATTTCAGCACATCTAAAACCTGAATTTGAGAAAGAATTCTGGGAAAATATGCTCAAGCTAGTTTGCCAAACCAGGACTAAAGGTTGGAAGTTTCCTACTTCCACCAAGTATTGCTGTTGGATTAAACATGATGCTAATCAGGCTACAACACCCAGGACTTCTAAGAGGATGGCTATCCCTGAAAAGTCCTGCATCCATTGGTTCTTTGCCTGCGATATGTAAGTAAAGCTGTCCCCACAGGCCAGAATCAGAACGTCAGTTTTGAACCCCACCCCAAGCCCTCGTACATCTAGTTTACCAATGCCAGGAGAAATTGAATGTGCTGATAGCTATACAAGGTTCACCACAAACAGGTAAACCAAGCTAAGCAATATTAATTCCAAGGAGCTACTGCACACCTAAGTGACATGTGAATTAGTCCCAGGCTACGGCCAAACTAGAACGCTCCCTTATGATGGAATTCTCTAATGATTTTGAAAGTGCGCCTGCCCACATCCCTGGACTGCCCTCACATTATATGACAAGGTTCAAGAATCCAACTTCCATGTTCCCTGTTGTGGGAAACATGATTTTTCCAAGTCCCTGTGCTTGCTCTACTTTTTCATTCCTAACTTGAGTTGACCAGCTCATGATAACACCCTACAGTTGATCCTTGCTTTGTTTGATGTTCCCCGTGCACACACAAACCCTGAAGAGATTAAACTCCTGGACAGCCAAGGCCCAGTTCTCGTCAAAGGGGGAGCACTTGAGTAGGTTGAGAATAGCTTAGGAAGCTCACAAGGAAGCATTCCCTTTACGCAGAAAGTAGATTGTACTGGAGAAGGGTTCTAACTTAACCTTCTCTCTGAAAGTTTAATTTTCTCTGCAGAGGATGATTGTTTATAAGAATACTATGTGAGCCTCACACCCACATACCACATACAGTGGTAGATGCCCACTCACACACACCATCTTAGTGAGAGCTGGATTTAAATTTCCAGTAACACAAATATACTGATCATTCCTTTGCCCAAGGATACCTCATCTATTGGTCACATGGACTGTAGCAATCCTTTCACACCATTGTACATCCTTCTCTATGCTGCTTAAACATCCCCAGTGGTACAGTCAAACCCTTTATGAATGTAAGAATCAATGAGGACAAACTCATATTTTAAAAGGATACAAAGAATTACCTGGCAGAATCCTGATGTTCTTATTTGATTCAATAGGAGCGCCATCTTTAAGCCAGGTGATCATGGCTGGGGGATGGGAGTAAGCCTCACAAACCAGGGATGTGGGGTTATTCAAGATGACTGTGACCTCTTCTGTGCCCCCATCTTTATCTGCACCCACAATGAATGGAGACACTGGGCAAGGCCAGAAACAAAAACGAACAAACAAATAAACAAAAAGCTAATCAAGCTCTCGGCCCTTGTGAATTTCATTTGAATCTTCAGATCTGCACAACTGGTCAGCTGGGAGCAAGACGCACCTCAAGACCCACTCAGAGGGCTAGCAGTTCTAGAAGAGGGACGTGGGCAGCTCTCACAACTTACCCGGAGTGCCCTGCTCCAGTCTTGACAACACATCTGCAGTGCTTGCTCCATTCCCCTTCTCCTCCCCCACATGGCCGGTACCAACCCCACAAAGTTTTCTCAGCAATATTGCAAGTAGAGATAAGGAGGTAAATTTAATGACAGATTCAATCCAGCTAGATCCATCATCTTCTTTGGAAGGAAACCCATTTTTTCTGCATCCTGGAAAACTTACCAAGTACATTAACACTAAAGCTTTTGCTCTTGTCTCCAGCAGAATTGGATGCAATGCAGGTATATCGCCCCGTGTCTGCTACTTGTGCATTTATCAGGTGAAGTAAGTGTCCATTAGACATTAATTGATGACCATCAGCCTCTTGAAAAGGTTGCCCATCTTTTAACCATGTAACCTCTGGAATGGGGTTCCCTTTTTAGCAAAAGTATACAAGATATATGTAGACATTAATGACTGCACCCTGCAACAAAGTTTCCCTGTTCAGCAGGTCTTTAAAATTAAAATATAAAGCTATTGTATAAAATTTGCAACAGCACTTAGAGTGAAACTATACAGTATATAAAATATATAATCATCATCATCATCATCATCATCATCATCCAATTAAAACACTGGGTAAATAAAAATACTTTAGCCTGGGGCCAAAATGAATAAAGGGGCAGTACCAAGAGTACTTCCCAGGAGAGCAGATTCCACAACAGGGCACTACCACTAAAAAGGCCCTTCCCCAGTAGCCACCCTTCCAGCCTCTTTGCTCTCACCAACCTGCCTGGGCACTCTGGTCATGTCGTGCCTGATGGCTCGACAGAGACGTCGACTCACGAGAAAGAGTCAAATGTTCACAGTGCGAATCAGACATTGGAATAAGGGGACTTATACTTGGGGCCCAGAAACCGAATGACCCCTCTGCAGCACGACTATGAGACCGCTGAGCAAATAACGATGAGGCTTCTGCATGGGTGGCTTCTCCTCATCCTGACTGAGGGGCGACTGCACTGCTCGGAGTTTCCCATTAGAGCTTATCTGTTGCATTGTAAATCTTGCAGAAAGTAGCAATAAAAGACTTTAGTTTTATGGCCGGCTGCTGTGTGAGTTAATTGGAGACGCAAGTTATGACCTCACAACAGCTCATCGAATAATTCCACCTACACCCGAGACCCAACTGGAGTGTACCAAGATAAGAGACTTCAGTGTGGTGGCTGAATTTCTGTGGAACAACCTGCCACTGGAGGTCAGGAAGACAACAATACTGTGCTGCTTCCAGCACCTTCTGAAAACTTCTCATTTTCCAGGAAGCTGTTTGGGTTGACCAGTTTTTATTGATCTTCTGTTGTTATTGGTATTCTGCTGTTATTGATATTCTGTTTTAATAATGTCTTTTATTTTTTATCTTTTTATTATTCATTGGTCTGGAATCTGCATGTGTAAATAATGTAAATAAATACATCAATATGTATTACATGTTGAATACCTTAGTTATTGAGTAGATTAGAAATGTGCTAAAATAAATGCATTGATTAATAAAGTTGGTATATTTTAAAGCCACGAGTTGTAGTGCAACATTTGGAAAAGTGTAAAATCTTTGCACTTTTGGAAGGTGGAAATCAGGTTGGTTGGCTCCAAGAAGCTTAGCCTGAAGCTATGGAGCACAAAAAGGGAAGGCCATTCCCTTGCCCTATATACAGATTTGGCAATTCATGGGGCCATAGAAAGTATCAACACAGAACCCTTGATAGGATGACTAGATGCATGGCATCCAATTCAGCACAGGACTTTTCTTACCTGTAGCTTCACATGTGAGCACAACACTCTGCTTTTCCTTCACTTTCACCTCTTCCAGTTCAGTTTCTCCAGCAATGTTGGGTGGAACTTTTATATTATTAAAACAAACACACAAACACCACAGGGAAAACATCCACATGAGAACAGAAATGCACAAGAAGACTACCATGAGTCAGTGTCGAGATTTAGAAACACAACACCATTGTCAACAACCACATTCCCAAAAATGTCATGTGAGGAATGCCATACCTGTATGACATGTATGATAAATTCTTACATGCATTAAGGAAGGAATCTTACAGCCTCCCAACCTCATTTGCATGACTTTAGGACTCTTTGGAGTTCATTGGCGACTGGCCTTGGAGTGAGAAAGAGGGACATGGAAGAGGGACTGTGGACTCAGACCAATTCCAACTGGCATCCCAGATTCCTTCCCTCTCCTTCCACAGCACTATATCCTGATGGATAAAAATGGCCATCTAGAGAATATACCTGGTGTGAGGTGTGATGGTGGAAGAGATCACCTCACATGCCTTTTTTCAGGCTCAGGTTGCACACTGAGGTTCAGAGGATTGCCCACATTGGGCCCACAGTCCTTAGTCCTGCATCCTAAGCTAGGTTCTTTCTCATCCCAAAGAGGTTAAGTCAAGTGAAAGAACACATATACATTCCACTACTGTTGCAGAGCTTGGGTGGATAAAGTCATAGGTCTGGTTCACCTGTAATGCTAAACTGTGGCTTAGCACTACATGCATGAGCTGGAATGAGTCCAAGCAAGGTTTGGTTCTGGCCATCCTCCTTGCCACCCCCACCAGCCAATCCTCTCCTCCAGTGTAGCCAGAGAAAGACTAGCATTGACTTTCAGTTTCCCCCTAACTCTGGTTTGGCACTGAATACAAACCAAGAATGGTGGTTTAAAACAAACTTTGCTCACTTGCCAAAGAAGCTGATTTCCAGTCATGAGCTATGAAGCCGACTGGTTTAATGAACAAGTTTGCATGTGACAGGAAGCCAAGATAAGGGGGAACCTGAACATGAATGCCAGTTCCTTTCCTGGCCACACAGGATGTCAAAAGAGGAGAAGGGAATGGACCAACCCACAATTGAGTGCAAACAAATTCAATCTGTTTCCATTGCTGAAAAAAAGGTTAACACAATTAGCACAGTAGCTACAGTGTACCCAAATATATTCTGAAGCACCCAGATATGTGTGTTTCAACACAACACTGATTCTCTGATTGTTGACATTTGCTAAGATTCTGAAATTTCCAACAAAATACCATTTTTACAAACTACACTTTCCTAACCTGGAGGCCACCAGTTGGCTACACTGGTTTTTCATTGGGACTGAAATTTAAAACAGAGGAACTATTCATTGATGGTAGCAAGAAAACAATCCTATATTTATTCCTGTATTACATTTCTGTACTGCCCAATAACCTAAGTTCTCTTGGCAGCCTAGTCCTTCTGCCAGTTCTGGACTCACCTAAAACAGAAAGGTCAAAGCTTTTCCTTTCCTCTCCCACAAGGTTTGTCACCACACAGGTGTAACGACCTGAGTCTTCTACATTCACCTGCATTAAGCGCAACATTCTTCCACCTGAAAAGCAAAGCCATAACTCTGCACATTATACTGAAATCTCACTTTTGCATTCAGTTTCCTGCATGCTAACAAAAGCTGATGCCTTTCTTTTACAGCAAATTTGCTCAGAATCATTTAAAAAGTTCTAAAAACAGAATGACAAGTCCTCATTGTTACATCAGCAACAAAACTCCTTTAAAATGTGTTTCTTAATGGGTTCCTTAACCTGATTGAAGTTTCAAAATACAAGATTATTTGCTTATCCATTTATTTCTCATGCATACATTTATACTGCCAAATAACTTTCTAGGTGATTTTTTTAGATGGCTTTGTGCAATTCCCCAGTGAAATCCATCCTCAAGTATTATTAAATAAATAAAAATCATTTATTGATTAATAGTTTCCTACTTAGAGATATTACGTCAATGTCCCTTCCCTTCCACTGTTCTTAACCAGTGGAAACAGCATAAAAACATGAATGCATTTTTTGTTTTTGTTTTGCACAATACACACACACATCCCCGTCACAGTTTACTGATGCCTTTCAAAGCAAAACTCCCAAAACTCCAATAAGGCACTTAAGCAGCTTTCCACAGGAAGTGACTCCAAGCTGAATAAGGTTTGCAATGAGGCAGCAGGGAACCCCCTGAGATTAGAAACGTGCCTCTTTCAGCCTCTCATGAACTTGGGGAAGGTACAATGAGGAAACATGACAGAGACATAACTACTTGCGCCATAGCTGCTACACAGCCGTCCAATGGCCCCTGGGCTTGTAAACCAGGCAGCTCAGGGTGTTTCCAGTCCCCCATCTTGAGGCTGTAAACACTCCTATGACCTGAAAACATGGGATCGGACTCCTTGTTCCCTCTCCCCTCTCCTTTAAAGCTACTATGGAAAGCAACATGGTGGCTATTTTCCAAGGTTTAGGTATAGGGGTCAAAAAGGGAGCCCTCTGGTGGGTAGGGAAGGAACTTTTTTGGTTCTATGCTCCTTTTCCTCTCCCCACCCTTTTATTTATTTTTTAATAATTTAGAGGAGCAAGATTTAAAATTGCTTCCATCCTTCCCCTGTCCTGCCCACCTCTTTCTGCCAGGGCATAGACTATCTGAAGGAGTCTATCCTGTTCCCTTAAAATTAAGTGTATGGATGAGTTAGGATATGAATGTGGCTCAAATTGTATTCTAATGATTTCCCTCAAGAAATTGCAGGTGGAAAATAAGCCCATCAGTCAAGGTGTTCTCCACATACCCTTCTCTCTGACTTGCCGGGGTCCTATGTGCAGAATTACCTTTATGCATAGAGGCACCAAAGCTGGTCCACTAGTCATCAGAAGTGATATAATCTCACCTTCTTGCTGTAGGAATGGAGTCATATTTTTTTGGCCTTAATCTGATGGTGAGAGCATTATGTGTTCCTTTGAATGTCAGGGCCTCGTCCTTCTGGCTGACTTTCCCCTGACACTAGACACTATTTGCAGATCACATGTATACCTGTGTATTTCATTCTATTTTCAGTCAACCACAAAAGAGAGACTTCACCGAATCTTTCAGGCAAAAAGTGACCTCTTCCCCCTCTTACCTGATAGGATTCTCACAGCGCTACCCAAAGAGACAGGCTGCCCAAACTTCAACCATGTTATCGAAGGATGGGGAATTCCTGAAGCTTCGCAAACCAGGGTGACAGGGTTTTTCTCCACTATGCTGATATTTTCAGGCACAGCCAAGTCACCTGCAATACTCGGTGGGACTATAGAAGCCCCAAACAGACAAGATCAAGAGCCATAAGAAAACACGATGCAGTAATTCTGCTTCTGCATAAAATAATCCACAAAGAAAGAGGAGAGTCGGGCTCCAAGCACTTGCGGTCGCAGTTTGCAACAAGTGCTTAGAAGAGTAGTTTGCTTCAAATTCTGAGGGTGACACAAGCTGTGGGGTGATCCTTTCAAGGATACCCCAAATTTGGATGACCCCACAGTTATTTCCCTTCCTTCTCAAGGAAGAAGCAGGCCATCAGCCAACCTAAAGAAATTATTCTTAAGGGGATAAGAGGCAATTCATCTAGATTGCAGACCTTCTAAAGACAACAGTCTAAATTGTTTGTAATTGTTTGTTCAAAAATTAGGGGGCAGAGAAAATTTGGGGTGCAGGGATTTAATCAGCTTCTTGGCACAGGGCTGGAAGTGTTTGGCTTTCCACATGATGTGGATGATTGCTCTCATGATCATGGACCATTGGCCATGCTGGCTGGGCCTGATGGGAGTTGGATTCCAGCAACTTCTAGAAGGTAACGGGTTCCACCCCTGCTTTAGAGGCTGCCATGTATAGAACAAAATGAAATAAGAGCTATGCAAAGGCTAATCCTTCCCCCATCTCTGGACAACAAGAACAAATTTCTACTTGCCACGTGTCCAGGAGTGGAAGACAGAAATGTGCCAGACCATTGCTCTGTCTAGCCCCGGCAGTGGCTCTCTAGTCTTTCAGTAGGGGATCTTTTCCAGTTGGGTTTGAAGAAGCTGTGGGTTGGGCCTGGAACCCTCCATGGACAACCCAACTACTCTCCCATTGAGCCAGAGCCCTGAAGATGTTACTCTCCCCATCATACATGATGTTGTTCAACACTGGAAACACCAGAATGCCAACATCCATTTTCCTTTGCCACGTAAAGTACACATTGGCCTAACCTCACCTCACCTTTCTCCATTGCATGGAAACAGATTTTTCATCAACGGTGCAATTGCTGCTGGCATGAATAAATTCACTCTGTAAGGGGAACACCTATGTGTGTGTTTGGTTGCCTGGAAGGTCGCCAAATAAATGAACATCCTTTCCCCAGTGCCATAAGAGGCAGTTTGCCAGTGGCAGAAAAACAATGCAAGTTACTTGATAGAAGTCTTTGCTGGGAATCCTGCACAGAGTTGCTTAACTCCACTTTGCTTCATTGAGTTGGAAGAACCACGGACAGGATTTCAGGCACTGTCTCTAGGAGCAGAGAGGCTCAGCTTGGAATCGGTTCCATCAGCTCTTTCAATTCACAGACTTGTGGAATTGTGCAAAAAGGCCTTTGCTTGCTTCAGTTGTTCCGTTGTAATTGTGGAAATGTGCCGTATGTAGTAAAATACTGACATATGCTATTGCAAGTGTTCCTGTGTTATTGTTCAGTTTGATAAGGTGATATATATATATATATATATATATATATATATATATATATATATAATTGTGATATGTATATGTGTGTGTGTATGTGTGTGTATATATATATCACAATGATCCATCCAACCACTTTCTTGGGAACAAAAATGAATGCAGCAGAGCTCTACCATTGATAGCAACAGAAAAGCTTCCATTTCCAGGAGCAAACCCACATTCAGGCATTCATTCTTAACAGATAAAGGTATTTCTCTTGGCCTATACGATGACAGAATAGAAGGGAGCACGCCCAGCCCAAGTTTTTAATTCAGAAACCATTCAAGGTTTTGCACCCGATTCAACTCCCTTTAATTACTATGCATCTCCTCCTTATCATGCCCTGCCTTTTCTTCTGCTGGCATAAATCCTCACACCTCCATGCAAACGAGGAGCTTTGCTCCCACTCCTACAAAACAGAGTAGCTCATTTGGCCCCAAATGTACACCTTTGCATATCTCTTCTGTTGTACATGTTTCCCTTGCTCACCATGAACGCTCAAGTCATATTTCCTGTCAGCCAGTCCTGCCACATTCACAGCAATGCACACATAGCGGCCAATGTCCGACACCTGAGCGTGCGTCAGCCGAAGACGACGTCCTTCATTCAGTATTTCAACTCCTCTCCCATTGACTAATGGCCGAGCATCCTTCATCCAGGAGACAACTGGCTGTGGGATACCCTCCGCCTTGCATTCTAAGGAAATATTTTTCCCTTGGGTCACAGTTACATCCGATTGTGGGTTCCTGCTGTCCAATATAGTTGGACGAACTATTCAGAGAAAGAAAATGATGTTCCAAACTTTAGCATCAAGAGTGCAGCTTCTGAGAGCAAAACTAAACCTAGTGTGGGAAATTGGGAAAGGTGACCTACCGTAGACTAGTAAATTATATTCCTTCTTTGCTAGTCCAGCTATGTTTGAAGCCGTACACATGTATGAGGCTGTATCTGATTTCTCTGCAACAGAAATTTGTAGCTGCCTTCCTCCAGATAACATCCTGGCCCTTCCTGCAGGGTCAGCCAGCAGTGGAGAACCTGCAAAGGAAGTACTCTCTCAGATATAAAATACAGACTATAGGATAAGGTGTTACACTTATTTCAGGATTCTCTGGAAGTGAATGGCTGTGTTTGGAACATCAAATTTCAACCAAATTCCTAGTATATAAATCTTCATGTCATTACATGCAGGACCTTTGCTCCTCTCTTTGTGGAAATTCCCATTAACCAAAACTTTCCATCCAAACAAACCTGGATATAACCGTTTTGCAGTTTGGCCATGATGAGAGGCTATCAGTAACTATGGTTTCCCAGTTTGTTTATCAGCTCACGCAAAGGTATGTATGATGCAGATTAGTGTGGAAGCAGGAAGCTTATTTTTATCTCAGTTTATTCAGCCAGGATATGAATGTCTGAGCACAACCGCTCTGCTTCAATTGTCTCTCTCAGCTAAAAATGCAATGAAGTTCCAAGCTACAACTATTCCTCCCCAGAGTACAATAGTCAGTGAGGGATGGACACAGACAATGTTGGTGTTGTAGAGATCACAATGTCCTTAGCCTGTTCTGCCTAAATGATGGCATCCTTGTCTATTTTATTGTAGGTTAAGATGATATAGATGCTTACAGTTTAGTGGTCAGAACTCAGACAGAAAGACTGACAGCTCTTGCTAGTTACAACAGAGCCTCTAGTCAGTCTTCCGGCAGAAGAAGCAGGAGGCAAGTGGGGGGGAGCTGCATTTTTGTAATAACCCCCCTTTTTTTACATTTTGTATTGTTAAACCATCCCGAGACTTCAGTGATGAGATGGTTTACAGAAGTTTTAAATAAATAAGTATACAAACACATGACATTAATGGTTCCTTGGCTCCATTCATTTAAATGGCAGGCTGGATAGTTTGAACCAAGGGGGACCCAGGCTGTTTGAAAGCACCATCTATGACATCAAAAGTATTTTTAGAATCAGATGTTAAATCTGTGTTGAGTAGCGCAGGCTGTTTAAACCGATATCCATGTTTAGGAGGCCAGGAGATGGGAAGGTAGGTGGACTGGATGGTTGGTTGGTTGGTTGATAGGTAGGTAGGATGGTTGGTTAGCTTTTGGAAAGCATTGAGGAAAGTAACCACTAATGTTCAAGAGAATTCAAGCCATGCCTAGTTCCTGGGAAAGATCACCCTTCACTTACCATTCTTTGTCCAGCTGAGGGCTGGTGGCGGGATTCCACTGGACTCGCATATCATACTGATGAGGTTCCCTTCAATTGCAGTCATCTCAGTAAGTATATCTGAATTGTAAATACTTGGTGGCACTAGAGGGGGTAAATATTAAAAAAGGGATAATCCATACCAAAGGACATCATAAAAAGACCAGGAATGGTGAAATGGTTAGAGTGTCAGATGGGGACTCAAGACCCCTGGGCTCTGTTCCCTACTTAGCCAAGAAGCTCACTGGGTTGGACACAGACTCTCAGCATAAGCTAAAAGGTGTTCAAGGATAGGCTGGACATGCACATGGTGGGCACGTCATGAGCGGAGCCAGCTGGAGCTGGGGGTCAGACTAGATGGCCCGGGAGGCTCCTTCTGACTCCCTCAGTTTCTGTGTTTCTGTGTTTCTAATTGTTGTAAGGATAAAATGGATAGGAGGCAGAATGCTCTTAGGTTCCTTGGGTTCCTTGCAGGAAACTTCCTTGGGTTCCTTGCAGGAAAAAGGGTAGGATAAAAATATAATAGATAGATAGATAAAATGATAAAATATATTACCACAAGTCCACTGAGAATCCATTAAAAGAAAATATAAGCAAATTCCTGCACAGATCTTTATTTCAGGTATTGAAATTTATCAAATCTTAAATGTGAGAAACAACACACAGAGAAAGAGATCTTAGTTTATTCGAAGTGTTTCAGTGACATGTAACATATGAATGAACCACTTTTATTGGACCCTCTTTGACAGTCTTGGTGTTTCAATCACTAAAGAGAGGCACAAGGTCTGGTGCAGGCAGCAGTAAGACTGTATACAGCTTTACTCCAATTTCCTTCTTTTCTACTTCAGTCCGATAAACTCTCTAAAGTCTCCAAGAAGCCAAGCCTTTCACACATACCTCTGGATGCTGCCAACTTCTGGAACTGAAGAGCAGACTGAGAATCAGAGGCTAAATGAGATGGACAGATATCCTGGTTTTGAAACACAAAATGCCTGTCCAACATTGCTTCCAAGCCCCATGTATTCCTCAGCAGTCACTCACAGATTATTTCCACAAGAAAATCTAAAGTATCCATGAAAATTGGGAAGAACAAGTCCCTTCTTTTTAAACAAACATGCTTTGAAGAAGACCTAGAAGGAGGCTCAGTTGCTCAAGCTGAAATGCCACCTTCAATGATCTTAGAAGGCATTCTAATACTGCAGATTCACATGGCAAAAACGGGCTATGTAGATTAAGAATGCTCGTGCTCATTCTTTAGTGCACCCTTGTGCTATAAGAGCCTTTCCCAACTCAGTGTGCCCCCCAGACTACAACTCCCAGTAGTCATCACTGTTGACCCTGCTGGTAGATGCCAGGGCAGAAAGTGAAGGAGGCTAAGGAAAGGAAGCTTCTTGTACGGTAACAGAACAGGGATAAGACCCTTTCCCCTTGCTTATCATTAATTCATAGATCTTCCAGGACTGCGACAGAAAATGAAGTGTATGACATTCTACTGAAAGCAATCAAACAAAGAGTAAAATTGGTTCACCTATTTGTACTTGTGGTTGATTCTAGGATTAAGCTTCAGACTGGAACACCCTTTTCTCCACATAAATGTTTCCCCCAGTTAATTCCTAACAGTGTGACCCCTCTTGTTTCATAAAAGAAGGCAATGGATGGATGGCAAGGCAAAACTAATCATGGAGGCATTTATGTCCACAGATCCTATGAAGGATGGCAGTGGAAAAATCATTGTTCTGGAATGCTGGCAAACTCTTCTTGTTGTTCTATGCTATTAAGTTTAACTATTGGCAATCTGAAGAATGATAGCCCCCGGAAGGTCCTATCCATGACAGCCCTGCTCAGCTCTTGCAAATTCTCTTGTGCTCGGCCCATCTCAGGTTTGGTGGAAACTTCTAGTCACTCGGAAATCCAAACCCACACAAGTATGAGCAGACATCAAACATTCGATGCTGCTTCCAGTCCAACAGGCAAGACTTACGATGCATGAGAATGTCATTTCAGTTCGCAAACTGTCCATTTGCCACCCCAAAGGAGAAAGCAAAAGAGAGCCTATTTTGCCAAAGAATGTTCACACATCCCCAAAGGATCTTCATGCTTTCCCATGTCTAGCCCTCCATCCAGCAGATGAGTTTGTTTTTAGAAAAATACTAAGATTCTCAGGATTCCATTGGAAGTCAGATCCCTTGAGAGGCAGCACAATCATAGCCACGGAGGTTCTGTAAATCTCTTTTCCAGCATGCACCCAGATATTTCAGTAGCTGCAGAACTTACCCCATACATTGACGTTGTAATTCTTTTCTGTTTTCCCAGCAATGTTTGTCGCTTCACAAGTGTAGCGCCCAGTATCTTGTACTCGAGCTCCTTTGATCTATCAATCAAAAAAGCAAACCTTTCGGCTATCAGTAATGCATGCATTACTACGCAAAACATACGTACAACTTGCGTGCTGTTCCTCTATTTACACCCAGTAAGTATTTTCCAATATGTATTGTTTTGTTTCACAAGTTCATAGTCTCATTCCACCATCAATATCCTTGAAAAGCGTGTGATTTTCAGTTAAAGAAGGTGGATTTTACTTTAGATCTCTGTTTAGATCACTGAGGCTACTTGTTGACTTGTATTAAATACTGGTATTTTCTGATCAGATTGTCTGGTGAATCTTCTCACTAATAGATTGCATGACTTTTGAGGTACACCTACTTAGAGGGGGTGTTCCCTAGTGTTAGTAAGAGAGATGTGAAGCATTGTTTTGTACCAGCTGAAGTTTAATTTATTTTCACGTGCAAAATGACCTCTTGCGGGGAATTTGGACTTTAAAAATCAACAGGATGGCATTTGTGGCTTGGAGGATCACAAGCTGCCTTTATCTACTTCAGTGAAAGCCAAAGAGAGAATTTGTTTGTTTGTATATTCACTATTTTATGCCTCTAATTCTATATTTCCCATATATAGCCGAAGCTCCCTAGGCTCTCTGTTTACAGCCATTCAAAAATTACAGAGCACAAATGCACAAAATAATTAAAGTTTTACATTTCACGAATGAAATTAATTACATGAAATTTCAATCTGCACCACTTAAAACAATTTAAACAGCTAAAGATGATTCCTATACCAGACAAGTTAAAATGGGAGCTGACACAAATGTCCACATCAAATGCCATTCAGTGACTGGAGCAGAGGCTGGTCTTAATCTGGTGCTTAAAAGAGGACAACATTGGTGTCAGGTGGCCTCAGGAGGGCTGTCACCACAAACAGGGGGCTGCCACCAAAAAGGCCCTCTTCTTTGCTACTACCCTCCAGAGGAGGGCCTCAGATGCTGATCACAACATCCGAGTAGGCTTGGGTTGAGAAAGTCATTCCATCAGAACTGTAGTCCAAAGGCTTTCTAGGTTAATAGTAACACCTTGAACTGGTCCTGGAAACACAGAGACAGATCCCTCTGAGCTGGGTGCAGGAACAGGTTGCGGCTTGCCCAGCCTTCCTCTTGGCTCGCTTTGCAAGACTGGGCCAAGCCTGAGAGGAAGCCACAAAATGCTATATGGACAGACTCCAGTAAGGTGAACCTGAAGCCGAGACTCATCCATGGAAGGCCGGAACAAAGTGGTCCTAGTGATACAGCACAGGCGTGGGACAGAGCTTAAACCACTAAGATCTGATAAGAGTTGGAAAGGCCTCGAGAGAGGGAAGGTTCTACATTGTGATACTTGCCTTCAAGACACTTCCATCCTCAGTGATGCTGAGCCCCTGCTTCTTCAGCAGCAGCCGCCGGCCGTCCTTCAGCCACAGCAGGATGGGCGGGGGAACGGCACTGCTCTGGCAGTGGAGCTCCAGGTCTTCTCCCATGACCACAGAGACATTCTGCTCTTCTCCCATGATGCTGGGTGGAACTGCGGGAGCAAATGTGCTCATGTTTATTCCATCTCTTTTTTTACCGGGGCAATGAAGTCAGTTGTCGCTGTTGTTCGGTGCCATGCTGTCAAGTTCTCTGGTGGCCCTATGAAGGAAAGCCCTTCAGAATCATCTACCCATAATAGTCCTGCTCAGTTCTTCTAAGTTCAAGGCTGCGGTTTCCTTGTGCAGTCGATCCATCTCCTATTTGGTCTTCCCTTTCTTCTTCTACTTCCAACTTTCTCTAGCATGACGGTCTTCTCCACGGAGTCATGCCTTCTCATGACATGCATGAAGTCAGAACCTCCCATAAGTGAGTTGCAACCTGGTGTCCAGGAGGGGAATATTACCAACCATCCTATAGTTGTTCACATCTTCTGGGTCCATACTGGGCTTTTCCAGTAAAGCCCTATTTGGAAGAGCTATTATTTCCAAAACTTCAATGAATTACTAGAGCAGTGCAGAAACCAATTCCAGGTGGCTGGATCCCACACTGTTTCAGTGATGAACATAGGAAAGAGCCATGTGTGTCTCCTTAGTTGCATGGCATGGTATCCATAGGAAGGGACAGTATCTGTGTAAGATAGCTTCATTCAGCAGACCGGTGAGGCTCATCTGCAGGGCTGGTATAGGATGCAGCCACGTACAAGCTGCTCCCACTTCACTCCTCCCATACTAAAGTCTGAGTCGTGTGTCACTTAATACCTTAATCTGACCTTATTGCAGACTTTGGAGTAGGTCCTAGATTGGATCAAGCCAGAACTTCCCCGAGAAACAAAAATGATGAAACTGAGGCTGTTGTATCCCACTAGGGAAGGCACGAGTCACTAGACAAGACAAGACAAGGAAAGGCAAAGGAAGAGGAAGGCCAACGATGAGATGCATCCGTTCCATAAATAAAGCCCAGCCTTGAGTTTACAAGAGCTGAGCAGGGCTGTCATGGGCAGGACATTCCAGAAGGCATTTCTTCATAGGGTCACCTTAAGTTGGAGATAACTTGATGGCACATGACAGCGACAATGCTAGAATTCCTGGCATGGTGTCTGTGAGGCTATAACATATCTGAGTAGGTCTGAGCTATAGCAATGTTACTGTGTTGGAGCTCTGTTTAATAGTGGTCGCTTGGTGACAATTTCCAAAGGGGAAGAAAGCAGGGATTGCTTTTACTACTTATCAATGAGCCTTGAATCCTGCAAAAAATCTGAGCAGAGACAGGGTATTTGGAAGACAGTCATCCACAGGTTCACCATAACTCGAAGATGACTTGACAGCACTCGATGACAAGACTTCAAATTTCATTAACTGCTTATTTTAAAACTGTAATTCTAAAAGTCCATGACCAATATTAGTCTCCTGTAAGCTTGAATTGTTCATCTAGGATCACTAGTTTTTGAAATTATCTGTGACTGCCCTTGATGATAAAGCATGTCTCAGCTTTGCACGAAACACAAACGGTGGAAACAGGAACCAGGGAGAACAGTGTACCTTTATAACACGCAGCATTTCTCAGAGAAAAAACATTTTACTAATTAAGAAACAGAAAAATAAAATGCTTCCATTTTGAAATATTGTATATGTCAGCAATGTGATTGTTTTAAAACATCATTAACGTCTTCTTATTTTCCTTAGTGCTGGAAAGATTCAATGGAATAGATCATTGTAGAGCATTGAAATAATTTAGAGAAAAGCTTCATCTCTTTGGATAAGTCATACATGGGCTGCGAGAAACCTCCCTGCTTATCTTACTTGCTTTGTTGAATTCACAAAGGCAGTTTTTCTTTCTGACAGTTGAGGAGGAAAACGTTAGCTTCAGTACTTATAAGGATTTACTGTATTTATTTGCAAATGTTTTTCTGCCAATAGCTTTCCTCCCTGTGCAATAAACTGAAGAACATGGAATTTCAAAATAAGAAGCCTAAGCAAATTAGAATGATCAAACAGTCATTATATGGCAGCAAATCCTGATTTACAACTGAGTGTACAATTGGGGAAGAAATTGTAACTAATCCAGACCCTCTGATGAGTGTAACTATTCCATTCATATATTTGCAAATATGCACTTTTAACATTCATACAATTCAGCTATAAAGTGCTTAAAATAGCATAAACCTAAAACATATCTAAATTCACCTCACTTAAATGTATGAATGGAATGTACCAACCATTTCAGCAAACATATAAACACTCTTTCGGTGAGTAACAACTAAACTAACCACATTGGGGTGTCAACAAAATATCCTCCATCAAACCAGCAGAATTATGTGAGTCTCTTCCACGTGTACCAGGAAATTTTGAATACAACTTTTGCATATTTAAAGAGCCTATGTGGCAGGAAATATTGGTGCGTGGACATTCTATTGTGTTTTACCAACAAGGAAACACAAAGCACAACTGAATTGTACTACTTATTGCAAGGTTGTCACACTCAAAAAAATGGAGAGTCAGTTTCCCACCCAGTAGATGCCCAAGAACCACCCACAGCCATAACTGTGCTCTGAAAATGCCCAAGCCATCCATGCTAGAATATGAAAATTCACAAAAATCTGGGGAAAAAATCAAACAAGAGTCCAGCAGCTTGGCCTAAATGCTTGTAAAAATGCATCAGATGATTATCTCAGCCAAAGAGCCTTACACAAGACTCTTGATCTTGTGAGTCCCAGGAGAAAGAATTCTAAAATCAACTACCAAAACATTCTTGGATCAGATCAAGAGACTTAGGTCCAGAAAAACAGAATTTCTAAAGGTCTTTCAGTAACGTGCGGAGTTTGGGAAAAGTGCTAACACAGTGGAATTCTCTAATCCATTAAGAAGGACTTTGTTACCATCATGGACATTTTTCAATGTTTGCCTTAAAGGAAGTTGTCAGGAATTCTCACCATGAACTCTGAGATCAATATCCCTTTGGTTCTCCCCGGCTGCATTTACTGCAACACACGTGTACCTTCCTGTATCACTGATCTGTGCACTCGTCAATGCCAGGATGCGACCTCCAGAAAGAATCTGTTAAGGAGGTATTGTTGCTAGTAAATGTTAGGGGTTAGTGACTCAGGATAGCAGTTTATTGACAAGCATAATCTTATATTAAATTGCATTAGGCCCCTAATACAAATAAATACAAATAACAATGCAATTTTCTGATGCAATATGATTCTGTGTGCACAGTAATCCCACATATTTCTGCAATGTCCTTCACTGCCTTGCTATTTTCCACTTATTAATCCAAGAGCTCAGTCCATCATCCACAGGACAGGGTCATGGGATTCTTCAGAGTCCCAGCTCCAGCCTTGCAAATTCACTCAAGTGCTACCTGAGGGAGGGGGTTTTTTTTTCTGTCATTCCAAGACAGGCTTGGGAGGATACCCTGGCAGGTATCTTGGTAGCACCTCAGCCTCCTGCCCTCCTTTTCTGAGGTGTTGCATTTAGATGACTGATTAGTGTGGAAGTGACTTTCATTTAGAAGGAGGGACCCCCCCCCCAAAAAAAAAACCCCCCAGGAATTTCTTTATTTAAAATTGTGTATTTATTTGTACATGTTCAAACTTCAGTGACCTTCGAAGGAGGAATTATTCTCTGGTTCATATTGCAATCTGTGCTGAAGAACTCTGGAAGGGATCATTCTCACCTCAGAATGGAAACAAGCACGCCAGGGTTTATATTCCATTGCAGGAAGCTACAAATCCTGGTAGCATCGCTCAGTTTCTCCAAATACACTTCCATGAATGGCAAGACACTATTATTCAAGAGGGTGTTTTATTGGAACATTTCTATACTGTCCACTGTCCGGTGCGGAGAATACTAAGTAAGCTGCCATACCTTAATCAAACCCTCACACGGTAATTGGGCTCAAATTCCCATTTGCCTCCCATCCCATTTTTCACTAAAGCGGCTTTCCAAAGAGCAGGGAGTTTGGTCCACCAAATAAAGATGCACATATACAGATGCTGGTACCAACAGACCATACCAAGCAGCCTTCTCAATGAAATTTTGTACAGCCACTTGCAGGGTAGATCGAGGCAAGCACCTTGGCTGCCCCTGAACCCCATTCACTGATTCCATGAAATAAGGTGGCTTAAATCTCTAGAGGAGATCTAAGGCATCAGCAGAAGCATCCAAGTACCTGGAGTCCATTTGCAAAGCTAGAAACGGGGCTGCCATCCTTCAGCCAGGTCAGAATGGGAAGAGGGATTCCGCGAGCTTCACATTCCAACCTCACCAGATTATTAACCACAACAGTTACCATTTCATCGCTGCCGGAAATGGAGGGTGGAACTGAAAAGTGGAAGCAGGAAGGAGTGTTCAGAACAAGCATTCCATACAATTCTCACCCATATGTTCTTCATATGAGCATATCCTTGAAACATGTGCATAGTTTTAATGGATTACTTAAAACGCTGGGCTGAAAGTGCCTCTGGTCTTTAGTTCTTCATTCTTTGATGGCAAAAGCTGGGAGACACTTTCAACGCTTTCCAGTGCAGGCTGATGAAACTTTTAAACTTTGGGGAGTGGGGAAACTTAAGCCAGAAGCTTTTCTCCCAGCTTCCTTTCATTTTCTCTTCAAAACACATTTTCCATCTGCAGCCAAGTAGACTCTCCTGTTGTAAGGCTCTGGGGGGGAAGATGCATCAGAATTCAGCATGCATCTGGACCTCTTTGTTGGAGGGAGAAACAGGTACCCCCAGTGGAGTAGGGGTGCCCTATCCATATACACACCTTACTTCTACAGTTACTCTTCCAGGAATATAGACAGACAGACATTTGATTGCTTTCTGTTTTGTTGTTGTTAGTCAAGAAGTCGTGTCTGACCCATCGCGACCCCATGGAAAACATTCCTCCAGGCCTTCCTGTCCTCCACCATCTCCCGGAGTCCACTTAAGCTCACACCGATTGCTTCAGTGACTCCATCCAGCCACCTCATCCTCTGCCGTCCCCTCCTTCTTTTGCCATCAATTGTTCCCAGCATTAGGCTCTTATCCAGAGAGTCCTTCCTTCTCATTAGGTGGCCAAAGTACTCGAGTTTCGTCTTCAGTATCTGGCCTTCTAAAGAGCAGTCAGGGTTGATCTCCTCTAGCACTGACCGGTTTGATCACCTTGCGGTCCAAGGGACTCGCAGGAGTCTCCTCCAGCACCACAATTCAAAGGCCTCAAAATCCTTTGGCGCTCAGCCTTCCTTATGGTCCAGCTTTCACAGCCATAGATTGCAACTTTCTGTATTACTAAAACAAATATTTGGACTCCTAACTTTGACTTTTGCTTCCGCTTTTCTCTGTTTCTGGCTTAGTAGAGCACCAAACATTTCCTAGCAATCAATGGCTACATGGAGTTACTGCTTTTGGCTTTGTCATGGGCAGTTCATGGCTCCCAAGAAAATATCTTGTGCAAGGTCATTATTAATATTAAAAGCAACTGCACTGCACACAGCTCCTGCTTAGTTCAGTGGGGTGATGTAATCCTTATAAATTAAGGTATGGGCTTTTAGAAGTGGATTTGCCACACTGGATTTGCTAACTTGTCAGTATTGATGATAACCAGTCAGTTTCTCATGAATACTGTAAATATATATGCATTTAAATATAGAAATGTTTCATACTGGAAAGTAACAAATCCTGAAATTGCAGGATTCTGCAGGAAGTTTAGGAAAGAGCAAACCTTGAAATTAAGGGTAAATAGTTGAACAAGGACCAATAAGAGTCCACAAGCTTTTGACCACAAAGCCAAGAAGCAGAGCATGTGTGCAAACATCCTCTCCTTGCACATAAAGGAGAAAGGAAGTGTGCAAAGCTGAACCTTGTTGCAGTTAATACATCTAATGACACCATGATTTGGGGTTGTCTGAATGGGGTCAGCATGTAGAACAGAATGGATATTTAAAATCCATGTTGTTTACTGGGAGCTAGGGAAGTGTAGTGGGGAGGGTGCCAGACAGGGAACAAAATAATGAAAGTGGGATTTGGGTGTGAAAAGGCTGAATACTCCTCGTCTTAAAAAAGGAGCAATGCAATACTCATTTCAGTTCGCTGAAATAACAACACGAGATCTTTCTTCCAGGAATGGCTCTATTGCACGTGTCTGGCAGGCAAACACTTCAGAACTGAGTGCTTTCCTGTTTTGAGTTATGTCAGTGCTACAAAACCAAGCTTTCTGCTTATTCTCAAACCACCATGGAACATGTTTTTAATGAGTACCTGGAAGGTATTAAGTGCATGCAATAAAACTTGAAAAGTGTGGATGAAATGCAGAGAGGTGTTTTTCCCCAAGGCTGCCCTCTGTTCGGAAACAAGAAGCAAGATTTACCGTGAACCTGAAGGCTGTAGAACAACTCGGCTACCCCTGCTGCATTTGCCACGATGCATTTATAAATGCCAGCGTCAGAGATCTGGGCGCCATCAAGCTGCACGACTTGCCCTCTGTCCAAGAAAGTGATGCTGCCCGTCGCGGTGAGAAGGCGGTTATCCTTGTACCATGTGATGACTACAGAGTGAAATAAGAGAATGTCAGGGGAGGAAAATGAAGCTCGTCATTCTTCAGGAATCTGCAAAAGCGGTTTTTCAAAGAAAGCATTCTACGCATAAAAGCATAACCTTTTAGTCACACAAATGTGGGGCCAGGGGCCTTCTACCTCACAGGGCTGTTTTGGGGATAAGATTGAGAGCAGGCAGAGAATAATGTAAGTTTGAGTTCATTCCAAGAACTACCTTATTCTTAGGGAGATAGTTAAGTTAGGGAGCGCCTGCACCCCTATGTGCCTGCCAGGCCTTTGAGACCTACGCAGGGGGCCCTCCTGTGTGAGCCACCCCTTAAGGTGAGAGGGAGGGCGCTAGGAGGAGGGCCTTTTCTACAGCTGCTCCTCATACTTGGAATGCTCTCCCCAAGAAGATTTGCCTGGCACATTCCTTAATTTCTTTTTGGTGCCAGGTGAAGACCTTCCTTTAAAAAATAAATAAAATTCTATTTATTTATTTATTTTAAAATTTATATCCTGCCTTTTTCCTATAAAGGGCTCAAGGCAGCTTGCGTCTCTTCCTCCTTCTTATCCCCACAACAACAGCCCTGTGAGGTAGGTTGGGCTGAGAGCCTGTGACTGGCCCAAAGTCACCCAGTTGGCTCCATGGCTGAGCGGGGACTAGAACCCAGATCGCCTGAGTTCCAGTCCCACGCTCTTAACCACTACGCCACACTCATAAAGCCACAAGACCTTTGTTTTGTATTTTCTGCTTGTATTTTATTGTTATTTTATTTTGAATGTGTTATTGGTTTTTATTGTGTTTTAATCTTGTAATTATGAGCTGCCCAGAGGTGCTGTGGTGCAACTGGGAAGCATACAAATGTTTTAAATTAATTAATAAGAAAAAAGGTGGGATAAAAATCTAATAAAAAATAAGATCAAAGAACATGTTGGAATGTCTCACCACTCCATGTGTTCACAGCAGTTCACCTAGCCACTATCAGAGGGTTCACTGCAACAAATGCCATCCAAAATAAGCGGTGCTAAGATGAGCTACAGCACATCTCAAGCATAATGCTAACCAGTGCTTTTTTTTGTAAGAAAAAAGGTGCCGGAACTCATGAAATTATTTACCTTTTGCATGTAGTCAATTGCTGTACACACACCCACACACGTCAGTTGTGCAATGAAACATAACGGTTGCCACCCTCAGTAAACACTCAGCGTGTGATCACATGACCAATCACAAGCTGAGCAGTGCCATCACAACCAGCACAGCCAAAGTACGCACGCATCGGATTCGACACACAAGCAACCCACATGCATCGTTTTAATGATTTTGCCGCCGACAGGGCGATTCAAATCCACGTGGACCAAACATCAAATTTTCAAGTTACTTTTAAAACTTGGAAAATCTGTCAAAAAAAGGTGCCGGAACTCTGTTCCGGTGTGTTCTATGACAAAAAAGCACTGATGTTAACCCCACAGAGAGCTTAGTGAATTCCTCAAGAGACAAGAACGCAACAGCTCATCTCTCACCAAACCAAGGTGAACATTTTAAATGATGAGAAATGACCGCTTTACCTGGAAAGGGATTCCCGGCTGCTTTGCACTCCAGCTGTACTGGATTGTTCACAATCACAGTTTCATTTATCATCTTCCCTGGATCCTTCAGGCTAGGTGGCTCTGGAAAGAAGTAGGGAATGATGGCCTCCGTTGTTTAGACTCACAACACCCAGTCCTTCCCTGCCCGCAAGCAGTGCAGGCGTTTGCGTGACATGCCTAAAACCGTTTTTAGCAACGGCAGATTGGTCAATGCAAAGGAGTTCTCAGAGATGGCCTGTGAAACTACCTCCATGCAAAATATTTCTAATTTGCTCCCATGGGGTTTTATAGCATTTTATTGTATAATTTATGCCTGCTTGTATGGGGTTTTTTAGGGTGTACACTGTACCCTTAAAGATGACCCAACATTTTTTTTTTAAATAAAATAAGTGAATGGCTCCCCAAAATGGCAGTGGTTTTCCATGTCTTCCCTGGGATGTTTTCAAAGTCGTGGGCTCCACACCACATGTAAGAATAAGTAGTAGGCATGGGAGAATTGTTGGACCATAAGGAAGGCTGAGCGCCAAAGGATTGAGGCCTTTGGATTGTGTGCTGGAGGAGACTCCTGAGAGTCCCTTGGACAACAAGGCGATCAAACTGGTCAGTCCTAGAGGAGATCAACCCTGACTGCTCTTTAGAAGGCCAGATCCTGAAGATGAAACTCAAATACTTTGGCCACCTAATGAGAAGGAAGGACTCCCTGGAGAAGAGTCTAATGCTGGGGATGATTGCTGGCAAAAGGAGAAGGGGACGGCAGAGGATGGGGTGGCTGGATGGAGTCCCTGGGGGCAGTGGGTGTGGGTTTGGGTAGACTCTGAGGGATGGTGTGTTTTATGGAAACCATTTTGAAATCTTGGGGTGCCAAGCAGTATAGAAGTAGCTTAAATCAACCAATGAGCCAACGGGCTACCTTCAGCTGCCAGTCAGTGTCAGGAAGGCCATTACCATACACATGGAGCCGGAGATGTTGCTGAGCTTCGCCCGCTGCATTTGTTGCTACACAGGTGTATCTTCCAGCATCTTCTGCAAGAGACTTGGCGATCTGCAGAATGCGTCCCGAAGATTCCAGCTGCTCAAAAAACAAACACAAAGGCCTGCTATGTTTGGCATTCCAAATGCAGCCTCTAATACAATACAAGCACCATTGGCTAAAACGTCCCATTTGTCTTCCAAGATACAACAATAATCATGAACGGTTCCTGTCTGGATTTTTGGCTCAAGCGTACTAAAATTCCAGTTCAGCAGTTCGGATAAATTAGCTACAATGCATGCTTTGTTTCCAGCTGGATCATTTAGGGCATTGTTTTGTTTTGTTTCGATGTTGGCTTTTGTGACGTTATACAGGATCCTGATTATCAAAGTCTAGTCGCTGTTGTTGTTGTTGCTAATTTCATTTCTATACCTCCCCACAGCTGAAGCTTTCTGGGAGTTTTGCAACAATCCATAAAGACTGACAATAAAAATGCAATTAAAATAGCATAAATTAGGAAAATATTAAAAAGTTTAAAACAGGTAAAACAGGCAATAGCAGAGAATGAATCTGCAAAGCACCTGGGATGGACAATCCCCTTCAAGCCCCTGGGTGGCAGGTAAGTCTTTAAAGGCCTCAGAGAAGAGAGCTATCTTAAGTGCTGAAAAGATGACAAATCTGGTGCAGCCAAGCCAATTCCACTGTCCGCATGATCACCTATTCCAGATCTTTGCTCCTCACCCCTTTATCTCAATTATATGAATTTCCAAGCCTGAACAGAAAATGTATTATGTGTACTTGGAAAGGAAAACAAACATGGACAAGAGACTGTGTACCTCAGAATAGCCTAAGTGTTCACGCTTTCCACCATCTTGACTCTCTTTATATACAAAACAGTGTTTGGGTTTGCTCTCATTCTGCAGAAGAGATCCATTTGCTTAGAAAAACATCGAGGAAGGGGAGGCATGATAGATGTGTTTATAGAAATGCATAGTGTGGAGCAAGTAGAGGGGGAGATATTTCTCTCCCTCCCCCATTACACCAGAACTCAGGGTCAGTCCATGAAGCTGATTGGTGGGAGGTTTGGGACAGATCGAAGGAAGGTCTTCTTCACACATAGTTTAAGTACGGAATGAGCTGCCATGGGAAGTGGTGATGGCCACCAACTTGGATGGCTTCAAAAGGGGATGGGACAGATTGACAGAGGAGGAGGCCACCAGTGGCTACCGGCCTTGCTGGCTACATGCTACCGCCTTTCCCAGAGGAGGCATGCCTGCACAGACCAGTTGCTGAGGAGCAGGACAAGTGACGGTCTCGCACCCATCCTGCCTGAGAGATCCTGTGGGCGGCTGGTTTGCCACCATGCATGCAGAGTGCTGGACTATATGGACTTGGGGTCTGATCCAGCGTGCCCTTCCTTATGTTCTTAAGCCATGATGCTCCTACACAAGCAGAATGCAGCCTAATCATCTTTCTTGTTCTGGAGCTCTGTTTTGCTAATATCCGGGTGGCAATGGGTGTCCATACTTAACATTACAATTGACCTAAATGTTGATACTCACTCTAATATTGGCTCGAGCTGTGTTTACAGGCTGGCTGTCTTTTAACCACGTGATAGAAGGGACGGGGATGCCATTGGCTATACACTGAAGCGTTACCGGCTTATGAATCACCACAGATCTCTCTGGAGGGCCAGATGATTTGATTGTTGGAGGAACTACAAGAATCAATAAAGACCTTTATGGAGGAGCTGCACGAACATTGCATAAGATTTTTTCAACTTCTCTGAATGGTTTCAGATGGTTCAGATTAGTTCTTGGGTGTATTCATGCTACCATGGACCTGCATATAGTTATCTGATTACAGAAGGCCGTGAAAAGAATATGTTTTAATGATTGCATTAGAAGCCAAACAAATTGCTATGTTAAACATACCGGTGCAATTGAAAATGGGAAATACCAAATTCCTCTGCCAGAAGAGGTAACTGTGTTTTTTATTTCCTCCTCCCAGTCAGAATATATGTACTAGGATGTCGCTCATGTTCCAATGTCAAAATGTTGTGCATTTCCTCCTCTCCCTGTCCCAGGGCATTGGCTGTTGCCTGTGGGGAATCTCACAGTGCCATGAAATTGGGACACTGGTCAGTTGCCCTATATATCATAGAGCAGTAGGAGCAACAGGGAGAGGGAGAGAAAGAGGGAGCTCATGGAAAGACACAGCACTCTGCTCCAAATCCAAGCTGTGCTACAGGAAGATTGCCTGAAAAGATGAGGACTAAAGAGGAGCGAGTTCAGTAAAACAATGCAGAAGTAAGCAGTTCAGGGACTCGCACAGTTGCGATTTGCAGACACCTCCCAATGTTGTCTGGATGGGGCCATGAATCTCCTGAAGTCCCAGCTCCAGGATCCTGAAATCTCAGAGCCGGGACTCAAATCCAAGCCCAGCTCACTGCTGGTGAGGAAAAAGCCCCACTAGCTGGGTCTCCTGAGGTCAGAAATGGGCTTTTGGGGGAGAAAGTGGTGCTTGCAGGGGGACAGAGGGAAGCAGGCTGGGGGCAAGGACTTTGGCCCACTCCTGCTGGAGTCCCAGCCTCCTTCCCTCCCCGGTGTGTTAACCAGAGGGCTGAAAACAGGCATCTAGATGCAAATCAGAGAGCAACCCCATCACCCTCATTTGGGACATAGGGTGCATGCAAGCCCCTGTGCATCAAGGGAGACAAGACAAGGTCGTGCCACAAGGCTCTGTATCAGTTGCACTCCTCATCTCTCTTGCTATGTGTGGAGCAAACCACAGCACAATTAAGGCTCTCTAATAAAGAAATGCCTTCAACCCGCCTGCCCCCCTCACACCCTCTTCCCTTCCTGGAGAAGTAACGCACCATGCACAGTCACATCAAATTCCCTTTTGTTATCGCCTGCCTTGTTTGTCGCAATGCACTGATAACGGCCGGTGTCTGACACGTCGGCCCGTGAGAGGAGAAGCTTGTGTCCATTGAGTAAGAGCTTGTATCCAACTCCCCCTTCGATGGGCTGGCCATTTTTCAACCATCTAGGAAATAGAAAATGGATCTTTGAACGTCTCTTTAGCGTCACAAGGCACGCGATATATTGACTTACTAACGAAGGGCTTCTCACATACGTACGGCTTGGGGCCAGAGGATCTGAAGGATTGCCTCCTCCCATATGAGCCCACCTGGAACCTGGGGTCATCTTTGGGGTCATTCTCTGAGAGCCCCTTCCAAGAAGCCTATGATAGTTCCTCGTTCCTAAACAAACACAATGGCTATTTCTGCTGGGCAAGGCACCAGAACCCATCACAGGCAAGAAAAAGTAAGGGCAGAGGGCACAGAATGGAGGAAAGTGGAGATGTGGGGGAAGCCAAACAAGAGAAGGGAGGGAAAGGGTGAATGGACACTGGTCCCAGAGGAGGGACTGCTCTGCCCACACGGACGGCATCCACACCTCAGGAACTCTCCCAAAGGTTCTTTTGGAGTCATAGTAACCGGCATGTAACCAAAGCCTTTACAGATCCCTGCCTCTTAGCGAGGGACAAAACAATATTTCCCTTGGCATATCTTTATTTCATTATATATCACATGTGTGTGCCTGCACAGGTGTATTTTTTAAACCTAATCTCCCTTTCAGCTGCTGGAAGTTAGCTTCCTTTCAGCACCTTATCTAGAGATCATAAAGAAATTGTGGGGGAGAAAGAGAAAGGGAAAGAACTCCTTACAAAATGAAAATACAGGACCTAGAGAATCTTTCCGCCAAATCTAGAAAAGCACTTTTGTTGGGATATTAAAAAAAAGTCTCTAATTCCCCAGAGAGTTGCTCAACAGCCAACTCATATAAACATTTCCATGACTGCGCTCTGGATGGTGGGCTTAAAGACCAAAACAGATCTACATCTTGCCTTCCAAAATACTCGTTTTTCGTCTCTAGTGAGCCTCTTTGGGGGGGGGGGGGGGGGGAGAGAGCAATTGGACAAAGCTGCACTAGACTATTACCTGCATAGCTCGTTTTATTGCACATCACCATGTTCCACTTCGCAGGGACTGTGTTCTTTACGAACTGACCCCATGTCAAGCCAGTCTACCAGCACCATTTTTCCAACTGCTCTTGCTCACGTCACGTCTCCATGCCACATTTTGGTAATTCTCACAATTCAAACATTTTCACCATTATTATATTTTTGTGGTGATCTGTGATCTGTAAACTTTGATGTTACTCTTGCAGTTGTTTTGGGGCAGCAGGAATCGTACCCATATAAGACGGGGAACTTAAAACTTACTTTTTTAAAGCATCATGCTATTGCACACGTATTAGATTGCAGTATAGTGGAAACATAACTTTTATTGCACTGGGAAGTCAAAAAAATTGTGTGACTGGCTTTATTATAATTTGCTGGAAGGGGACCTGCAAAGTCTTTTTTTAATAAGTTTTATTTGAAATTATAATCCTAAAAAACAAAAAGAAATCTACAACAACATCCATCATCAAAAACATCGAGCCTGTTGGGTCAGCCCCCACAGCCTTCTTTTTCCATTTATGATAACTTAAAAACATATTTTAATCTATGCCAAGTCCCGTTTCTCTAGTCAATAATAAAAAGAGTCCCAAGTTTGATAGAAGTGGGACCTGCAAAGTCTTTAAGGAATACTTGTGTATTGACATTAGTCAGTGCTTGAGAAGTGGTTGAAGCAGGCTTAACCTGGAAAGTGACGATCTGGGTCATTTTACTGAGCAAAACTCCCATGCTAAGTCTTTGGTAAATCATAATTGAAAGGCAAATGCCCCAGCTAAGCTGCCAGAAATATAAAACAGCCAAGGAAACCTTTGCTAACCACCAGTATGCCAAAAATATCCACTAAAGAAAATAAGCAATGTCAGCTTGTGAACGGTCATGTAAGGGTCATACGGTTCCACCACTTCTTCTTTTTTGCCTATCATCAGGCATTTCTGCATTTAAGTTTTACTGCCAGACAAATCTCATAGTGGAGCAACTGGTGGAAATAGATGCTGAGAGAGAGAGAGAGAGAGAGAGGGAGGGAGGGAGGGAGGGAGGGAGAGAAAGAGAGAGAGAGAGAGAGAGAGATTGGACTGTGTCCTCTTACGTGATTGTTGGCAATGGAACTCCTGTAGCAGGACAGTCCAACTCCAGGGGACTGTGAAGAATCACAATGTAGTCTGAAGAATCATTGCCCCCTTCCATATTTGGTGGGACTAAGACAAAAGGAAGCACAACAGAGATGGAAATATTATTAGAAGTTATTGGTTCTTTATTTTAAATGCATATTTAAACAATGAGTAGAATTTCATCGTAAACTACTGTTTGTACTCCTCACTTTCTTGAGTCATGCAAGGCTTCCTTGTACAGGAAATCATTTACAGTTCATAGGCAGGGCCGTCTTAACAGCATTATGGGCCCCGGGCAAAGCAGTGTCCTGGGGCCCCTACGACAACTACAACTACTGTTAATTTTGGAAGTTTTCCAATTGTCCAAGGGTTAACATACACAGATTAGTATGGGGCCCACGGGCAAGTGCCCATCCGGCCCATGTGTTAAGACGGCCCTGTTCATAGGCCTGTAATCAATCTATTTATTTATAGAATAAATTAGTTCCAAATCACCATCAGTCCACCACCTAAATACTATTCTTCAAGAGAATTTTGGACCCAGAACCCTAGGAACAGTTTGCTGCAAATTTAGAAGCAATTAGGACAAAATAGATCATGTAGCATATAAATCAATGTCTCACACCTTTCTTTCAGGAAACATAAATTGGGTAGCTCTGCACCATGCAAAGAAAGTGCTTATAGCCATTATTTTTACACACCTAGGATTTCTACATCGTATTTGATTTCCTTTTCTCCTGCTATGCTGGTAGCCACACACACATACTGGCCCCGGTCAGCCTCTCCAGCATTCAGGATCTCCAGCTTCCTTCCGCCAGACACAATGTGCAGGTTGTCGCTCACTTTCACAGGTACTCCATCCTTCAGCCAAGTCAGCAAGGGAGGTGGGTTGCCGGCTGCATTGCACTCCAACACCAGCGAGCTGCCAGTAACCACTTGCTTGTTCTGGATAGTTTCAGGGTCACCCTCAATAACCGGAGGAACTGGAAGAAAAGGTAGAAGCATGATTTTCAAGCCAGAAAAAGTATCATTAAAATGATTCAGTTTGGTTCCTTCCAACCTAACTCAGCATTTAAGGAATTCACAGTCTTACTTGGCTCTTTTGCCTTCAGAGAAATGTTCTGCTTTCACGGAATTGTCTTTTATGGCTAGCCATATTAATGTGAGATTTATTTTCCATCAACAAAGCCTACCTACCTACCTACCTACCTGTCCATCCATCTGTCCATCTATCCATCTTACCTACTCACACCCCTATCCATCCAAACATCCATCCATCCATCCTTCCATCCATCTTTCCATCTATCTCCTGGCTGGCCAACACAACAAAGCACTGGCGCTTACACTTAATCTGACTTGTGTAGGAAAAGCCATTAAAACAACAACAACAGACAGATATCATCAGATCATGCAGACACACATAACTGGCAACTGGTAATTTATTTCAGGCAAGCTGGCTGAACATGCACATGACTTCTGTCTGCATCGCTTGAGGCTTTCCCAGGTTAGGTATTATGGCTTGTATGGTCATAAACATTGCTCAGATTTCTAAAAAGTGCTTCTAAGCACAGGACTCTTGATGTTAACCATCAAAAGGCACCATCCATCCATCTAGTCAGCCTTTGCAATGCCCCTGCTCCCTCACATCCATCTTTTGTTTCAGATCATATCCTCATCTTTACATGAATGTGGCTCAGACCTGAACCAGCTGAAAGCCTGAGGCAAATGTAGCTGAGAAGATGCTGAAAACGGGAGCCGAGGCAAGAACAAACAGGTTTACTTTCACCAGGTCCAGAAGGTTTCAGGTTGCACAAAGCAGTTTCCAGCACTGTGACTACATGTGTTTTAAAAGGGGGCGACAATCAAACAAACAGTTCGCAAATGCATCTCATCTCCTCCTACCATAGACATCCACTTGGAACGATTTTTCAGCCACTCCAGCTATGTTGGTTGCTTGGCAGATGTAACTAGCAGAATCGGAGACTTGAGCACTTGGAATCTGAAGAAATTGGCCCCTTTCCAAATAAATGGCATGCGGGCTGGATATAATTGGGTGCCCATCTTTATACCACGTTATGACAGGAGCTGGGATCCCTCGGGTCTCACAGGCCAGCTTGACCAAGCTGTTTAGCAGTGTTGACACCTCAGTGGTAACATTTCCTCCTTTAATGGCAGGTGGGACTGTTTCCAAGGAAGCAAAAGAAAACCAAGAGGCAATGAAAAGATTGCACGACATCTTTCAAGAATGAGCTTGTATTAAGCCTGTGCTTAATTATATCTTGGCATAGACAGTGCTCTCTGTGGACAGATTATTCCATCCATGCCACCACAATAGCAAAATGAAACCCATGCAGTAATGTAGGAAACATCCTTTCTAAGAGCACAATTGTGAGGCTACTGGACAATGTCTAGATAGCCAAAGCATTATTTGTAGTCCCAGATCCAACCTTGGAAACTTGCTCCAAGGTCAGGGCTTGGACTCTCAACTCTGAGCACCCATCATGTGCCTTTGCAGCCTGTACGGGAAGAATTGCATCAGCTCTGATAGGGCTTTTTTGCGGGGTGGGAAAGGGGCAGAACAGGCACTGCCAGCATACACAGTATCCTAGTCATACCTCAGTCTCTTCTCCTTGTGCTCCAAGGAAAAAAAACTTGGGCAGCTGAAATAGGCTGTCCAAGCATTTTGCGGAATGGAAGGATGGCAGAGGTGACCTTCACCTCCATGCATCTTCCACTCTCTGTAGGGTTCCCATAATCCTTTGAGCTTGAAGGGTTAAAGGCAGCCCCACTGGATTGCCCTGCAAGTGAGTTACGGTAGCCTCCATGCTTAGGGTCAGTCTGTGCCAGGTCTCTCCAGTGGGCCCTACTCCAGAAGCATTGGCCATTATGGAACATGGTGCTGGTTCCACACATATGGAGGACCCCAGGTTGAACATCTGGAGGGTCTCGTCTGCACAACCAGCAAACAACGTGGAAAAATTATTCCTGAGCAATGCCAGTTCAGATTATGATGTTGCACACCCAGGGAAAAGTGAGGCCCAAATCCACTCCCTTGAAAAGCTTGCTTTTTATTTTTCTACATGGAAGAAGATTCCGTTGCAGAATTTTCAGGAAACTGTGAAACTGTTTGAAACTGTGCTTCAAAACAGTATTAATTATCTCATCATTCACAGCCCATATGCCATGTTTCTACAATCCATCTGAGAAGGATCTCTGCTTATAGTAAGTGGTTCTGTAGAGGTGGACACTGTGGAAGAGAATTTGCTTTCAACCCATGTTGAATGTTTCTCTGAAGAGCATATTGGTATAGTCTACACCATATGAAGAGAAGAGAAGAGAAGAGAAGAGAAGAGAAGAGAAGAGAAGAGAAGAGAAGGCAAAGAAACCTTCCTAAATCCCCCTTAACCCATACTTGTGTTATATATATGCATACACGCATGTGCACCTGTGTGAGAAAAAGAAGTAATCCAGACTCATCAATGCACTCTGTACCGTCCTAGCTATGAACATTTAGGACAGGTATCTTTCCCCCATTCTGTGGGTGAGCAACTTGCCAAAAAGTATTTGATGCATCCCAAGAGTAAGAAGAGCCAAACTGATATAGTTCAGCTTATGTCATCCTGGATGAAGCAATGGAAAAGAGAATTGGCCCCAGAGAAAGGGAACCCAGGAAAGAAGGAAGCCTACAAAGGCGGGCAAGGTTGCCCCTTTGGCCAGGCCCTCAGTGTTGCCATCAGCCAATTTGACACATCAAAGACACACACACACACACACAAACAAACCAAAATTGGCTGCGCAGTGTCCATGACCTTAACGTTCACCCTTGAAACTTACTGTGCCTTCCTCAGGAGACCCGTCTCTACTTCGAGAAGCACAAGTTACACTTCAACACCCTGCTATTCAGCTTGTTTCGAAACCCCAGCTATTTCCCTCTGCACTGGAGGCAACCACTTATGCCGTTTTCTAGCCAACAATAATGGATGTAAACTAATCATTTGCAGATGTTTATAAAAGACAGGGCCAGAGACACCCACAGCACGCAGATCTGTTGCAACAAGTGAGGACTAAATTGGTAGCCTGGCAGCGGATGGAGGTCATGAGTGTGTGCCCATCTGCAGCCAGAGAAAGGGAATGGACCCCGACCTGCTCAGAGTTTCCAGTGGCATCCTATAAAATGGCAGTTCAGAGCTATGGAAGGGCAAAGGAACCACTGCTTAGAGGGAATGAATGAGGGAATGCTTCCATTTATTTTAGCCTATTATTTTGTATGTCTTCAATTGTTTTCTGCCCATTGTGAAAGGAATTTCTTTGAGTCTCCTTGAGCTTACTTAAGCATATCAGGTCTGAACAGGATCTGGGGTTTCTTTGACCCTGTTATCCTTACAAACGGTAGACTGGGGGAGTTCCTGGGTAAAGAACAACCTGGTAGACCCACAGGTTACTTTGTACCTAGGAAAAATGGGGTGGAGAAACAGTGCATAAAAGCTCAAAGTTTACTCCTTGTTCATAGCAAATAGGAAAATGCTAGTGCAAACAAGGCCCTCTCTAAATCGATCATGTACAACTATCAGAAGTTGCTAAACATGCAGCATTTAAAAGTTTCTGTTCAAGTGAGTTCTTTCACATACAAGTATTGGATTGGCTAGTTTTACCTCTGTGAGCAGGGCTGGCCCTACCATTAAACAGAGTGATGCTACTGCCTCAAGTGGCAAAAACTACAGTTGGGAGAACAGCAAAGTCAGTGAAGAGTTGGATGAAAGAGCTGCACAGGGTCTGTGACCCACCTGCTTGCTCTAAGCTAGCTTGCTGCCTTCAGCAGAATGGGCTCCTATTGTCAGAGCAAAAATAAGATTCAGCTGCCAGTCTGGTCAGCTTCTGCACATGGAAAGGGGCTTCTACCTCACCCTTCAGACTTCAAAAAGTCTTGGGTAGACTCTTCTACAGTGAAGCTGTGGTTCCTGATATTCATTGATATTCATTAATATTATTGAAATCCTGGCCATTTGTTTTCTTACTGGTTAATTCCATCCCATCAATGCTATCATGCTTGTATTTTTAAATTAAGATTTCATGAAAATATTAATACTCTTAGAAGGAGCATGTGCTACTAAAATGCAAGAGCTGCTTGCAAAAACTCAACTCATCAAAAAGCAAAGCATGCATAAATATTTTGTAAGAAAAGAACATAAATTGCACCATAATAAAAATGGATTTGTATCTAATGTTCTGCTCTGAGCTGAACATCACAAAGATCAAACATATCAAAACTCCAAGGAAGTAGATACACTTCTTTATTGTAGCAACTGCTGCAGCATTTTGACTAGGACTGGGCTTCTGTGTTTCAACAATTATACTCTGTTTCCTTGTCTGATCAAAGCTTTTATATAGTTATGAAACCATTAAAAAAACAATAACCAGTATATGCAGCCCTTAAAAAGGGGAAAGGCAGCACTGATGACTTTGACCCCCATATGTATTTGCACTAGCATGACTTCTTTGATAGCTGCTAGGCTGCTACATAATTGTCCATGGGATCTGGGTGGCTTCCCATCTATGGCAATAAGCCACCCTGCCCAAGTTTGCACATCATGATAAACCAGTTCCCATTGCACTGCCCACCATAGCTTGAATATTCATAATGCGGCTCAGCATGCATGAAAACCCCCTCTCCCTTGCATGACAACCCCCTCTGTGAGCCAGCTTCGAGCCAAATGAATGGCCCACTTAAGTAATGTTCAGTGTTTCTGCCAACTGTCCCACAAGCAATGTGAACCTCCCTGAGGGTGGAGTCAAGCCTTTTGAGAAAGAAAGGGAAGAAGGAGGGAGTCTTCCATTTAGAATCAATTCTTCACATGAGCCAAGAGGTGCTCCCTCAAATGTGTGGTAATGTGATTTTGATTGATGTTACTTGAGAAGAACCATTTTTATGAAGCATCTTGTGTCACCAAGGACCTGCCTAGCTCAAACGAAGGAATGTGTTTCCAAAGCCTTCTGTTAAGATCTGCTAGAAAGGGAAAAGGGGTGAGACACACTCACGAGAGCTACTGGATCCTAAAGCAACTAGAAATAAATGAAAATGCTAGTTCCAGAATGAAGCAGATCAGGAGAAGGGGCATGTGTTAATTTGCTTCAATCAGAAAATGACACTTTCCATTCCTTCCTGTGGATGCTTTATAGAATCATAGAATAGTGGAGCCGAAAGGGGCCTACAAGGCCATCTAGTCCCTGCTCAATGCAGGACAAAAAGTTAAAGCAACAAGAAGAAGGACCAGCCGCTTGTAGCACAACCAGAGGTCTCACTGGCACACAGGATAAGTGGAAGCCCAATGGCAGTAAAAGTTCCTGCCAAATATGCCCAGTCTCTTGGGAAGCACATTGTGGGCATTGCAAACCCGTGATGAAACGTGATGGCAGATGCAGTAAGAATGGTGCACAGTGTCAGAAAATGCTGCAATGGCACAACTTGGTGTAATGTATCTTGTGTGTCTAGACATATCCCTTCTGTTTCATGAAAATGCAATGTTACAGAGGCAGGGACTGCACAAAGCATGTTACATCCCAAAGAAATTTCTTTCCCTTTGCTTTTAGAATGCAGGCAACTCATTAACAGACCAAATTAGAATATTATTTTGCCTACATCTCACACCCATTCTTTGAATGAGTGCCTTCATTTGGGGTCAAAAAGGCTGAGAACATTAGATATACTGCCCCATCCAAACCTACATCCACAACTCTGGGAGCCATAGAACAGAAGTTCAGTTTGCATTCCTAGATTCCCCCCATCCCTACAGATTATTCCCTTCTTTGCCTCTTGTCTGTCTTTGTTCTCTCCCCAGGCCAATGAAAGCATGATGAGAAAGATTGCTAATGTCCTCTCTTACGTATTCTGGCAGTCCATCACAAGCCACCTGTCTCAATATTCAAGTTGTTCTGCCTGGCTTCTATCAAGGCTAAACAATAATTACAACTTTGACATAAATCTCTGCTACTCTTTCTGGCCAGCTCTCCTTCCTCAGGTTATACTCACAATCTCTGCCCTGGAGAACATCTGCAAATCCTTTTTATGCTGTCATTTAGCTACAGAAGAAAGGTGCAGCTTTGCTTTCAGCAATATCCTATCTGACAAAGAGCTCCATGACACCTGAATGCTGTCTGAGAGGAAATGATTAAATTTAAAGAATCTCCAGAACAAGATAGTTTTCAGACACTTTTAACAACGCCTTCAAAGCCTGTTTTCCACCACATCATAATAGCTTGTCCAGTTCAGAGAAATTGTTCTGCACACAGAAACACCGCATCATCAGATGGATACATGGATGTAACACTTGTGCATCCAGACCAACATGTACAGACCTGAACTGCATGATTAGACAAGTGATTCAGACCCACCTGTGTTGGATTGGTCATGCTTTATGCACTTGACTTGAGATCAAGTACTTGAAGGATCTGTTTCCTCATTACCAAATGACACAAGGCTTGCAATTAGCAGGGAATGTCTTCCTTATTGTCCCAACTGTACCAGAGACTAGGAAAATGCTGGCATGAGACAAGGTGTCATGCCTGACGGCTCGACAGAGACATCTACTCATGAGGAAGAGGCAGGAGCTAACAGTGAGAGTCAGGCATTGGAACAAGGGGACTTACATTTGAGGCCCAGTGCCCAGACAGCCCCTCTGCAGCCTGACTCTGAGCAAGTAACCTCTCTACAGCCTGACCCCTTAGCCCCTGAGTGAACAGCCTCCCCGCAAACTGATGGGGAGGCATCTGGAAGAGTAGCTTCCTCTCATTCCAGCTCTGAGGTGCATAAACAAGTTGTCCCCCCGATTCCTGACTCTGAAACTGCTGGACAGAGTTCAGGAGAACAAGAAGACATGACGGGGAATTTGGCAAACGCCCAAATTAGGAGAACTTTAAGGCGACAAGTCCAATTACGACAACAGGACAGAGGTCTGTCCCACCCACGAATGGAAAGACAAGACAGGAAGGTCTGATGCCACGTGGTCTCCTGAGGTAGCTCAGAAAGGAATCAACCACAGAACTGTAAGGGGCTTGTTATAAGAACTTATCAGTGACATCGTAAATCTTGTAGTGAATAGCAATAAAAGTCTTTAGTTTCACTGCCGGCTGCTGTGTGAGTTAATTGGAGATGTGAGTTACGACCTCATGACACAAGGTATTCTTGGTGGTGTCACCCCATCTATGGAACACCCACCCACTGATGTTAATTAGGCCTTCCCGACAGTCCTGTTGCTTACACAAAGACTGAAGACACTTTTATTTTGGAGTTTGGAGTAGTATGTGAGGTGCAGGGCTTAGTGAAATATATCAGTGTTGTTTCCCGGCAATTGCACATGTTGGTGGGACTTATGTTTGAGGGTTGTTTTCTTCCCTTGTTGCCCTGTGCTCCAAAAACTGGAAGAAGGAAGGATACAAAAATACTGAATAAATAAATGCATTTGCTAATGAATTGCTCATAGGTGGTTGATCAGCTGGCTGAGAGGGAGGACAGGAAGGCACAATATTGATTCCCTACCACATTTATGGAAAAGTTCATCCAAGCCATTATTTCTGTCTGGCTCATCTTATTGCAGATCTTCAGAATGGAGTACCACAATGAATTGCAAAACACCTTCCCAGTTGGAAAAACCTCTGTTCAGAATATGGAAAAGATACTGCCAGCTGGGCTTGGGTGATAGGAGCACACCAGGTCAAGTTCCTCTTTGGCTTTTCACCATCTTCTTTGGTTTTCTAGCTATGTTCCAGGCCTGCTCCAAGGTGCTGCTTTTGACCTTGAAGCCCCTGAGACCAGGACAACCCAAAGAATGACCCATTTCACATGACTTACCTAGATGCAGAGATCTTCTTCAGAGGCCCTTGAGAGCCCCCACCAAGCAAGGTACCATGGGAGCTCCTCCAGGGAGCTCCTCTGGTGGTGACATGCCTGCTGTGGCATTTCGGTGCCATCAAACTCCATGTCCCTAGGACTTTTAGGATGTCTTAGGTTTAAGCTGTTCTTAATATTGGACGTATACTTCTACTGTTTGTATTGCTATATAATTGTACCAGTATAAGCCACCCCAAGAACTTTGCTACATAAATAATTATAAATACTGTGAATTAGTCCATCACTAATAAATTAAAAAGGCATTTCAAATTGAGAGAATCGCAGCGGCTGTGCGTTTGTTTGTGGAAGCCGAGAAAACCAGGGATCAAAGGCTTCCATTGCTCTTATCAGTCTCCTTCAGCAAAAATAAAAATGGCAAAGTGCATGCATTTGTAATTACATACCATGGACAATGACCCTGAGTTCCTTAAGCTGTTTTCCAGCAGAATTGGCTGCACTGCATTGATAGCGCCCTTTGTCAGTTCTCCGAGCACTCTTAATGTACAGGATCTGACCTTTGTCCAAAAGCTCAATATTAGGATCACCTAAGAAGAGCGGCCTGTGGGGGGGAAATGCACATCGGTGATACTGTCTTTGCTAGCTGATGCTACCCTGTTGACTGGGAACATGCCCCACTGAACACAACGGGAGCTGCTTCTGCATCTCCAAAACTGGATTCTGCTCTCACGCCAAAAAGGGTTCTCCACTCCACTTTATACATGGCTTCTTTATATCTATGATACTTGGGGGTGGGTTAATCAATTCCTGGTTCATGTCACTTATGTGTGCATTCATTCCTAAGTCCATTCTGTTTCTTTTCCTGTTCATTTGCTATTTTCTCTTTAAAATCCACATGAACATTTGGATTTAAATAATTCAGCTTCTTTCTCCAAGCATGCATTTCTAAACATGTCCTGATATATTTCTGAGCCAAGAACTATGCTGAAACTTTCTGCAAATGTGAAAGTTGGTAGATAAATAAGTTTGATCTGCTTGTTAGGTTAATAGAGGTGGATCGGCTCCATTTGCATCAGAATTATGAAGAACGAATTTGTTAAAACTGTAATCTCAAAGTAGTAGTTCTTTGCATTGTAAATTCATATCGCCAATCCTATTTAATTGCCATGCCACCAACAAGTTGTAATTCTAGCAGGAGCTAAATAACTCATAGCTTTCTCACAAAAGGATAGTCACCAGAGTCCTTTGAGCAATTCCATTCAACACTTGAACAAGTTTCAGAACTGTTTGCTTTTGTTATGCAGACATATGTAAACTATTAGACACAGTAGCTTTAAAGAAATTCCTCCTTTACTAAAAGGATTTATAATTTCAGCTTGTGTCTGAATCAGCCCCTGGTACTAAACTACCTAATAAGCATAAAATATCATCAACCAGTAGCTACCAGCAGATTTCTCAAGGATGTTTTAGCACTGAATAGATTTCCCAAGTTGGAGTTACCACTGGGATATCCACTTTGGTTGGCCACCATCTGCATTACTAAATGCTCATATTTGTCCAAGAATATTTATAACTCATTTTTGATATCCTGCTAACATTTGTACTGCCAGATTTCATCCCCTTAATAGATGAAATTTCCTGGAAAATGAGTAGTTCAGAGGCACAAACCCCCAGGGCTGCAGTGCATGGTGCTGGAATGTAGCTCTTTGCATCTGTGAAAATGGTTTATGTACTTATGTGCTCTGTCTATCAAAGGAAATAATAAGCTTGATCTGCTTGTAATTTCTCTTATGCACACCCCATTAGAACCTCATGTTCTGATGTAACTCCCCTGCAAACTAAAGTTGTCTTTGCAGAAGGTATTTGTCCAGCATGGTTCATGTGGCCATCTCCATTTGCTCTTCAAAAATATAAAAAAGACATCTACAGCTGGACCTCAAAGGCACAGGGGCATGGTAGCTTGCTATGCACAAAACCTTCTTCCCCTGAGCTGAATATGATACTAACCAAATATACTACAAATTTGTCTGATTGTTTTCAAAGCATAGATTCATAGAATTATAGAATAGGAGAGTTGGAAAAGGCCAGGAGGCCATCAAATCCAACCTCCTGCTCAATGCAGGACTCCAAGTCAAACCATCCCTCTCAGATGACTGTCCAGTTGCATCCTGAATGCCTACAGTGTGGGAGAAACCACAACCTCCCTAAGGAAATGGTTCCATTGCCATGCTGCTCTAACAGTCAGGAAAGTTTTCCTGATGTCCATCCAGAACCTGGCATCCTGTAGCTTATGTTCATTTTTCAATGTCCTGAACTCTGGGATGATCGAGAAGAGATCCTGGCCCCCTTCAGTGAGACAGCCTTTCAAGTGCTTGCAGAGTGCTATCCTATCTCCCTTCTGTCTTGTCTTCTCCAGGCTAAACATGCCCAGTTCTTTCCATCTCTCCTCACAGCACTTTGTTTCCAATCCCCTGATCGTCTTCCTTGCCTTCCTCTGAACTCTTTCCTGTTTGTCTGCATCATTCTTGAAGTGTGGTGCCCCGAACTGGACATGATACTCAAGATGGCAGCCTAACTAATGCTAAATCTGAGAAATCAGTACCTCACATGATTTGGAAGCTGTACTTCCATTAATACAGCCCAAAGATCTGAGTGCAGGTTTTGCATATTTTCTCTTTCACTTAAAACTACACTTCACTTAAAACTACACTAAACTTAGTGCAAAATGTACCATCAAACTGTGGCTATGCACTTGTGTTGTTAGATAAACTAGAAGTGAGAAAGGAGTACATTCTTTCTGTCTATCTCACTTCCAAGAAGTGAGCTAGAAAGGGTCAAGCATATTTTCAGCCATTTAAGGCCTGGTACTTACTTGCCATCTTTAAACCACTGGATGATGGGAAAGGGAGAGCCGCTGACTTGGCATTCCAAAGTGGCATCTTGGTTGAGGATGACTGCAAGTTCTCCAGGTGAATCGGCTCCTCTTATAGTGGGTGGGACTGGGGGGAAAGAAAGCATTGAGAATCCACGATGAAGCCGGAGGCACGTGCTTAAATGGAATGGAATGCAACTTTTTCGGCAGGAGGACTGAGGAGTGAGAACTAATCCTGAAGACATCTGAACCTTTTATTTCACTTCCTTTTCACTTATAAATACCTGCCTCTGAATGTGCCTCCGTCGTAGCTTTGGCCATGTTAGCAGTTTCGAGCAGAACACTGCTACATGTGTTCATCTGCACTACAGGTTCCCTGGAATGCCAGTAGCCTGCAATTATTTGCAATGGAAAGTTCTGGCAGCCGTTTCTATGAGAAACCTAGCAAGCTGGCTCAGAGCCCGAGCTGCGAACTTGGAAAGACTCAGCTTCAAATTTCACCTCAGACATGACCTTGCTAACAATGCAATCCAATGCATGGGCAATCCGTTACAGTTTAAGGGTGGAATCCTATGCCTGTTTAGTCAGAAAGAAATCATACAACTCCAGCATGCTGGGACTTCCGGGACATTTTTCTGCCTAAATACACACTGTTGCCTCGGTGATTTTAGGCAAGCTGCCCCCTTTCAGTCTTAATATACACTTCTGTTGCATTTGGATTATAATGCTGAGCATTTTACAGGATTACGGGAAGTACTGGTAACATAAGGGACAAAGCACTTTTAACCCGCTAAAGCAAGATGAAAACATAGGATCCTCATCTGCAGTCCTCCAGGCTCCCTTGGTGAATAGCTATAAAGAAAAAGTGCTGGCAGTTCTGGAGCTCTGAGTCATTCCTTCTGTTCGGCTCAGCTAAGGTGGTCTAACACAGTATACTTTCCAAGGGCATAGTCCACGCTTCACTGCCTTTGCAGATGGAGCTGGATTGCATCAAAAGAATGTGGCAATCCTACTGAATATGGGATGCAGGACGCTTTGATGGTATTGCAGAAGACTGTGAGAAATATGGATTTGACATAGGATTCCACACCAGTCCTGCATGATATTCCTGGTCAGATGGAAGAGGAATACCAAGGACTACTGTTTCAGGGTACCATCTCCAACAGCACCCACCTCGCACATCTACAGCGAAGAACTTCTCGGAGCTCCCTGCTATATTGGTGGCTTTACACGAGTACTGACCAGCATCTCCAGAAGCAACGTTAAGAAGCTTCAGCAGCTTCCCATTGTTCAAAACCTGCAAAGTGCTGCTCTCCACCACCTGAAGGGGATCCAAGTATAACTGAGTCAACATCCACCAAACACAGCATCTGAATTGTGCAACTTAGAGTTTCCTGGGCCCATTTTAGACAATGCATCGTTCCAAAGGATTACTGAAAGGTAATAATGCAATTAGGAGTAAGAGCAGAGGCTACATAACTTCTTTCATTGGAAAAGACCATCATGCTAGGAAAAATCAAAGGCGGGAGAAGAAAAGGAAGATCAGCTAGGAGTGGGATTGATTCCATAAAGGAAGTCACAGCCTGGAATTTGAATTTACAAGAGCTGAGTAGGTCTGTGGAGGACAGGATATTTTGGCAGACATTCATTCATAGGACTGACATAACCTGAACCTACTCAGTCACAATGCTCAGCCTTTTGGACCTTCCCCCGAGGAGGCTTGGAGGGTGGCATGAAGAGTGAGGTTTTTCTCTTTAGTGGTCCCCTGTTTTTGGAACAGCCTCCCTACTGTGGTCCTACTAGCATCAAACCTGACACCTTTTCAGTGCCAGGTTAAGATGGTCCTTTAGCTGTTTTAAAAAATTAATGCTTCTTTGTTTATGATATTTTTATTGTATGTTGTTGCCTTGTTTTTATGGATTGTTTTAAACTGCCCAGGGAGCTTCAATTATGGGAAGGTATAGAAATGAAATAAAAGCATGGAGATGGAGAAGATGGAGAAGATGGAGATGAAGATGGAGATGAAAGGGATGGGGACAGGGACCTGACAGCATACAACAACAACATTGTCATTTATGAAATTATCATAGTGATCACATAATTGTGTGAAAGCTGAACAGTGAAGAAATCAGAATCCACTTCACGCAATAGAGCATTTTCTTACAAACAATTTTCAAAAGGACCCTCCTTCACCAAGGACTGGAACTAGCAAGAGGCCCAGATCATGTGTTTAGGCTGACAGGATGGTGACTTGGAGGAAGAATAAAGGCATCTGGGAAGAGATCGCACGGAAGAAACAGGCATATAATCCCAAAGCCAAACAGCAACCTGCCATTTTCTGTATATGCATTGCTTGAACTTTTGCAAAGACAATTTTCAATCTAACTGAAGGCAATCACCACTATCAAATACTCACCAAAGGGCAGCTAGAAAAAACATGCGCAATTCTTACTTGAAGCTTCACACTGATTTTATTTTGAATTTGAAATATTTCATGGTACCTATACATACCTGGACATCATCTTTATACCAAGTGACAATGGGAAATGGGTTGCCAGAAACCTCACAAGACAGACTTATGGGTTGATTAATGGTCACGGATGCATTTGTCACCTTGTCTTGATCTCTGATTTCAGGTGGAACTGCAATAAAATTATCTGAATCAATATGCATGTAAGAACACCTATTTAGATGCTCTGAAGTCTTTTTGGTGACTTGGCTTTCACTCACAATGAAAGGGTTTTAGTTGGTTTTGTCTGCTTTTTATATTTATATATTTAATTCCTACACTCTAGCCAAGGACCCATTAAAAACAGGGTCCTGGTTTTAAAAAGAGCAGTGTGGTGTGGTGGTAAGAGCACTTGATCTGGGTTCGAGTCTCCTCTTAGTCCTGAAGGTCACTGGGTGGCTTTGGGCCAGTCACAGACTCTCAGCCCAAACTACCTCACAGGGTTGTTGTTGTGAAGATACCATGGGTTCTTCACAAGAGGAAAAAGGTGGGACATAAATGTAACGTAAGAATAACAAACATCTAAAATGGCCCCTGTAAGGTCAACTAAATATTAACCGAACCCTAAGACCAAGGTGATTCACACCACTGTATTACTAATCACTGTGTATGAGCAAGAAAGCTGGACAGTGAGGAGAGCTGACAGGAAGACAATTGATGTTTTCAAAACATGGAGCTGGAGGAGAGCTTTGGGAATGTCCTGGACCAACAGGAAGACTAACAAATTGGGTCAAGCCAGATCTTTCCCTAGAAGCAAAATGGACAAAACTGAGGCTGTCATCCTTTGGGCGCATCATGAGCAGGCAAACGTCCTGGAGAAGACCGTCATGCTGGGGAAAGCCAAGGCAAAAGCAGAAAAAGGAGGTCAAACAAGAGATGGATTAACTCCATAAAGGAAGCCACAGCCTTGAATTAAGAAGAGCAGAGCGTGGATGTCATGGATAGAACATTTCGGAGGGCTTTCATTCATAGGGTCACCATACGCAAGGGACAACTGTACATCACAACATCATCAACGACAAAAGAAAATATGCCCTCTCATAAATGCACTTGGTGAAATCAGGACAGGTGTTGCTTACCATGAACTTTCAGATCATATGTTCTTTCTGTGCTTCCTGCTTCGTTGACTGCAACACAGACATATTCCCCGTTGTTGTGTGGCATGGCTGAATCAATAACCAGCAGTGCTCCATCTTCTAAGACTGAAATACCGGGCTCATTACCGGTGAGTTCCCTGTTGTTATGCAGCCACTTTATAACAGGTTTGGGCGTACCTGCAGAGAAGGATATATGTCTTCTGAATTTTCACTCAGAAGGGAAAGAGAGCATTTAAGGTGCACAATTAGTTTGGATGCATGTGCTGCTAATTCACTGGCATCAGACAATGAGGTAGAGTTGTAAAGTAAACTGTTGACTAGGGCTCCATAAGGCAGTGAAGAGACTTTAGGACTCTGAATAAAGGGCTAGATGAACCTCTACACCAAGTGAACTACAGATTAGGCTCCAGGTGAATTTGAAGACCCTGCTGTGGCAACCAATGAATTGGTAACCAATTCATTGCACCCCTTTGGAATCTCCTGCAGCTCGGAATGTAAGATCTTGGTATGAATAGATGGGCCACATTCCCAGGAAATGACATTTACAGGTACACAAGCAACCCAAGGAGCCTGGTGTTTTAGATCATGGAACACATCCTGAGCCAGACTGTTGGTCCTCTAGCCCAATATTGTCAGCACGGACTGGCAGCGGATCTCCAAGGTTTCCACAAGAATTTTTCCCAGGCTTACCTGGTGATGACCCAGTCTAGACTCAGGATCTTCTGCATGCAAACCACATGCTCTGCTACTGAGCCAGAGTCCTTCTCACAGGCAAGACAGGGTCGAAAGGATCCTTTTACTTGCTCCTTATGATTTATGGTCACAATCATGGACTTGGCATGCAATCCCATCCAGATGCCTGTGACCATCTGGATTTGTGCTCCTCAAAACACTTGAGGAGGCACCACCAGGCTGAGGCACCTCCAAGACATGGTACATTTTTGGAGCACCAATTTCTGCCCTCCCTCCAAAGCCAAAATCCATGGTCACTCTTTCAGCTGGAGCAGTTCTCTCTGTGCCATCTTTGGGGATGGGGGGGAAGAGGGATTAGAGCTCCAATGACCAGCTTTGAGGTTGGAGTGATCTTCCAACTGCATTGCTGGGAACCCAAGAAATCCCATAGCAGTCCAGTTGCTGGTTGAGATCGCTCTGCCTCACTACTCCAACTAATTGCACATACAAATTAATGTTGAGACAACACTGCAAAATTTGAAAAATATCTCCAAGTGTTACGTGTTAGCATTTTTTTCCGATCAGATATGGATTTACCACAGTAACAAGCAGCACAACACAATATGGTGCCCCACACCTTTGGCTGGACATGGGAAGGCAATCCGCTGGTTCGCGATTCTTTCTTGCAATGGCATGTTGTACGGAGGGTCAAGCACAGTTACAGTGGGAGACTCTAAAAGAGGAGAGAAGTGGGATTTTGCATAGGTGCATAGACTGATATATTTCCCCAAATTTTATTTTAAACCCCATTAAAATTTGCACATGTGGACATCTTATTGGAATTGTTTTGCTGGCACTTGAATGCTGAGAAGCTTCGCAGAGTGAATTTGGTATGCTAGAATTTGCTGAAAGCATTCTGAAGAAAATGTACGTTCTCTGAACATAGACTACAAGAATGGATTAAGTATTATTATTATTACATAGCACTGATATCTCACCTCTTTTCCTCTTGTGGGGAGCCCAAGGTGGCTTGAAGTTCCCCAGTCCAACACTCTCACCAGCACACCATCCTGGCTCTCTGACATGCTGGATTACAGATGTCTCTGTTCAGTCCAGGTCACTTACAACTCCTCAGCACGTATCTCCAATGTGTTTGAAAATATGTGCCTCCACTCAACACTCCACCAGATTTAACTGAGGAAGCAGTGGGGTTCAAGTGCTGGACACACGCAATTTATAAAATAAAGATTGTCCGCAGAGCTTGGATTTTTACCTGAAACCTGTAGTACACCTTTGCATAGAATCCACCAGATGGTTTGCTAGAGAAGCAATGCTGCCATCTGCTGGAGCTGGGTCAGCTTCTGGATAATACCCACAAACCTAGCCCAGTCTGATGATGCAAGAGATGACTGCACCTCTCAACCCTTGTCCTTACTTCTCTTTGTTGTTCTGTGCCATCAATTTGTCACCAACTCATGATGACCCTATGAATGGAAGCCTTCCAAAATGCCCTGTCCATGACAACCCTACTCAACTCAAGGTTGTGCCTTCTTTTATGAAGTTAATCCATCTCCTAGTTGGGTTTCCTTTTCTTCTTCTGCCCTTGACTTTCCCAGCTGGACGTTTTTGGAGGCTTTCTTGGTAACCTGGCCAGCTATGTGGCCTGAAGCAAGACTGGTTTGCTTGTGCCTTTTGCATCTAATTAAAGCCAATTGCTTAGAGTTATGAATCACTCATTAGTCTGCAACAGGAAGTGGGGTGGCCCACACACACACACACACACACACACACACACACACTCTCAGTGGGTTGCAGTTCATATTGTAGGAGTTGAAAGAATTATTCTGAAAAATGGAAAGCCTGCAACAGCTTGTGGTGTGTGTGCATATATAGTTAGTGAAGGAATAAGCTCTCTACTGTTGCTTTAATTGGGAAACAGAAAGCTTGGACAAGATATACAAGAGTTTGTATGAAAAAGGTGTATTTCTATTGAAATTTAATCCATAGTTTTCCAGAAAGCTGTTCAGGGCCAGACAAACACAACAAGCAGCTCCCACAATCCTAATATAGACTGTGAAAATGGCACATGAGGAGGGGCATAATTTAAATCCCACACACACACACACACACACACACCTCTTTCCCACACATGGGTTTAAACCAACCATTCTCCTTTGGTGGCAGTGTGAGATTATCTGTTTCCTTTCAAAAGTGCCACACATGGAAACAGAAGGCAATTCTTATTATGCAAAAAAGTGGTTCCAATCTTGGAAAAGAAGGTTCAAATCTCCCCTTCCTTGTGTGCAGTGATCCCAATCCAGGTGCAGCCTGAACACTTACTTGTGAGTAATTAAACTGTAGAGGAGCAGATGCATGCAATATCTTTAATAAGATGTGTAGCTTCAGCTATTGGATAATATAAAGAAGAAACGAACGAATAATGAATGATGGCCTGGCTCATAATTGCAGTTACATTATCTTTTGTTTAATATTTTATTTGTTGTCTTAGGTGTGAATTTGGGCTGCCCCTTCCCCTCAGCCCACTTTCTTTATTTGCGATTTCAAATGAATACTGAATTTCAGTATATCTAACCCCTGCCTTCCATTGTGTGTTTTGTCTTTTTCTACTTGTATAGATACATAACTAGATTCACTCGCCTCCTTAAAACTGTATGTACTTGTAAAAAAAATTATTTTTTTTAAAAATCACTAGCACACCAAGAGCTCTTCACTGAAAGTGAAAAATATATCAATTACACTGTCAACACTTCCTCTGGTAATAGTACATTTACCTTGAACATGGATTTTTATCTCCACTTCATCGTGGCCGGCAATGTTACTTGCCACACATGTGTAGCTTCCAGAGTCTGAAAGCAGGATGTTTGCGATGCTCAGAGTCCCATCTGCAGAGATGCTGTGCTGCCTGCCATCCACTGAAAGGGGATTCTGGTCTTTAAGCCAGGTGATCGTTGGAGGTGGGATTCCTTGAGCATTGCAAGGTATATCAATCCTGTAACCAACTTTGACTTTCATTACTCGGGCCCCACGTTGGATCTTTGGAGGAACTAGGCAAAATCAAATTCATGAGCATTAACAGAGGACATTTCCAAGAGATTAAATGCAATCAAGGTAGTATAGCAAGTGGTTCTTACATATGAAGCGCTAATAGATCTATGCCAGGGCAGCGAGCATCCCCATCTGCCCTGGGGCCTGTTCTGTCTGGAAGCAGCTCGCCAAGACCACATATGACTGTCTTCTCTGCTCCCTGCTACCAGATCCTTTTTAAACTGGAAATACCAGGGAATTGGATCTGAGTCCTTCTCTGGGCAAAGCAAGCACTCCAGATGAGACCTGCACGTCCTTCCCTGAGGAACGCATGCCGAAGGTAAAACTCCTATTGAAAACAGGTGGAGAGCAACCACCTAGTGTTCATAATGTCTAAAAAGAGAAAACAAGCCCACTCATATGGCCCCTGGAGATTCCATGAGCAACCCTGCATATGGGGGATTCCACTTTTCAAAGCCAGAGATGGGATTCTGACTTCAGAAGGGGAAGAAGGAATTCGGATCCCTCTCCCACCTCCCCACAGCCAGCATGGAAAGAATAAGACCAGCTGCCCTTCAAGGTTGAATTGATAGGGAGGGCAGGAAACCGGAGAGGACAGGATGGGAGCTATCCTGAACCTTTTCCAGGCTCCATCCCTCCCTTCACTGATGCAAAGTCATTAGATGGGCAAAACTGGTCCACCTAGTAATGGAAGGAAAACAGGAAGCCAAAGATCATCCCTGCTACTCCTTCCATACTGCATTGGATGATCAGAAGCTCCAAAGATACTGTGTGTGTGTGTGTGTGTGATAATATCCCATGCTTTTGTCACTTGTCTTTGTACTTGAGAACTGGCCTTTTCCACTTTAAGCCACTAAACCAGCTCAGATTTAAAAATTAAATGCATACCTATCTATAAAGCTGCACTTTAATTCTCTGTGGCTGCAGTCCAGCGGACAAGAAGGAGTTTTTTGGCAAATCCACATGCATAGATTGTACTGTTACAGCTCAGCCATATGTGTAGGGCTCCTGCTAGACAAAGGGCAGCCCTCTGTCGGTCCTATGCCCTGCCAGGAAGAACCAGGCAGAGCAACAGGAGAATGGGGGTGTTACAAAATGCATTTGATAAGCCTCTGGGCTGGTCTACCTGCCATGTCTGTCAGAGGGCAGGAAGTGAGCTGGATAGCCAAAGGAGAGTGTGTTCTTACCCATCAGCATCTCCCTCTCTACAATTGCAGACTTGCAAGAAAAATTCTTCATGGCGGCTGGAGAAAGGGAGAGCTGCAGGGGAGTGGGGGAGAGATCTATGCTCGCATCTCCTCTGTGCAAGCATCGGTCTGTAGACATGGGGGACCCAGTGTGGCAGGGTGGTTAAGAGTGCAGGACCCAAACTCAGGAGATCCGGGTTCTAGATCCTGCTCAGCCACAGAACTCACTAGGTGACTCGGAGTCAGTTACAGGCTCTCAGCCTGACCTACCTCACAGGGCTGTTGCTGTGAAGATAAGACCGGGAGAAGGAAAAGATTGCGGAGAAGCTGCCTTTTTGGAAGGAAAAGGGGCAGGACGGAAATATAATAAATCAGTCAATATTATGCAGCATCCTACTGCATCCAGACCCTGTCTAAGGGTCTTCAGATAGCTTCCGCTGTGACTTAAAAAAGACAATAAAAACTACAATGGAGCGCTTCCAAAGGCAAAGGCTTTCAGAATGTCTTTGCTGATTAAATACCACATGTCTAGACTGGAAACCTCTGTGTTTTATTTTCCATCCTCCCTCTCTCCCTCATGCACACTGTGGTTGCTGGCGCTCCACAGGGCGAGTCCGCCTAGATGTGTTGTGTTGACAGTTTGCTGCCTGTCCCCCAACAGTCCTACTTCCTCCCTGTTAAATCCTCAGCAGCCAACAGAAGTTCAGCCAGGAAGATAGCACAGGGACGGCGCGCATGCCACTGGTCCCCCAGGGGGAAGCAATGGGCAGCCATCCCTGTCACTGCCGTCAGCTTTGTCCAAATCAGTGGGTTTTGAACTGTGTTCTTTCAGGCAACAATGGGGTCCTTCTGTGGGGGGAAAGCAAGCAGAGCGGAGCAGCTGGCCTGAAAGAGGACTTGATTCCTACTCCTGATGGTCCGGTGCCATGCATTGCCAAAGGGAAGAGTTGGGCAGGTTCTAGGTCAGTCCATCTAAGCCAATCCTGAGACTCAAAACATCTCACCCCAATCTGTAAGAAATGACTTAAAATCTTCTGCATTGTCCAGAAGTCCTGTGCAGGCATGTAGAGAGCATCTCAGCGGAGGTTAGCATACAGCAGGTTCCTCCGTGTTCCCGTTTTTAATTGGACAACAACATTAAAGGAAACAATTGTCCTATTTGCAGCCAGAAGGGTGGGCTGCAAGTATGAAAATAATAAAATTTTCATGAAAATTTCACCCTGCATTGGAGGGCAGAATGTGTTCCAGTGGAGCAAAGCTCAGGGAACCAAGATTTAGGGTGGATGCCAGGAAGTACTTCCTGACAGGTAGGACCCCAAGGGTGTGGAATGGGCTTCCACGGGAGGTGGTTGGAGCCCCATTGGTGAGGGTGTCCAAGGATAGGTTGGACATGTACAGGGTAGGCATGTCATGAGCGGAGCTGGCTATTGCGGAGGGGTCAGACTAGATGGCCCAGGAGGCTCCTTCTGACTCACTCTGTTTCTATGGTTCTATTAAAAATTATTATGGAATAATACCACATCCAAACATGTTATGAACTGGATGTCCATGTCCCCTTAGATCTCATCACTTCTGTGGAGTTTTGACCTGCACATGTTGCGGCTGCCAATAATTTCTTCTGTTCTGGATCCTGTGCCTTGAACAGAAATGGGATATTCAGCAACTGAAGCTTGCAAGAAGCTTCACCTGTTGAACTTCTGTTTACCAGGCAGCTTTTACTGGTATACAACCTGTTCAGGGGGAAAAATAGCAATCCAGTCTTCAGTGACTCCTTCACTCATGCAAATCAGTAGGTGGGACAATATATAGTCTATTGACTCTTTGCTAGCCTATCTTGTTCTAAGGGGAACTGTACCTGCTGAATTACTCCGGGAGGCATAAAAGATGCTGCTCTCCAAGAAGATATTGTTACATTATCAGAAGAAGAAAAGAACAATAGCTAAGAGGAAATATGGACTGTTAAGAGAACATGCAGTGTTAGGTTACATGTTCTCTTATATGCTTTTTCATGATCGGCAATGCTAGCTGAAGTTAGGACTTTATGGATTTCTTTGCCATATCTGGAAGGTTCCGAAGGATGTCCATTCCCGTGCAGAGCCCTTTTATTATATGGGGCTCATGCAGAAGAGTCTTCCAATAAGTTGTGTCTCACCAGCACATCCAGAAATATCTATTATGGTATCTGAAAGGATTTCAAAAAGCAAAGAGTAGCATTGATGCAGAGCTAAGAAGAGCTGGGAGGTATTGAAGGGCAAAACACTGCATGGGATGTAAGGCATATTTTTAAAAAGACATTAGCAACTGTGTAAATGAGTGTATTTTCTTGCAAGCTACATTGAGGGTGCCCTTTAGAGTCAAAAAGCAGAACAGAAATGCCTTTATAAATAACCTGCTGCCCTTACAACTACCCTTATGCACACACACTGGCACGAACATTGGAAATTTATTTATTTATTATATTTATATCTTGTCTTTTTTCTCTTTCAAGGAACCCAAGGCAGTTTTCCTTGTTCTCCTCTCCCTTTGATCCTCTCAACAACAATCCTGTGAGGTAGGTAGGGCCAAGAGTGAGTGACTGGCCCAGTGAACTTCATGGTCAAGTGGACTAGAACCCTGATCTCCTGAGTGCCAGGTCTGCACTGTAACCACTAGACCAAACAGTACTGCTCAACAGAGAGTCTGACGTTTCAATCCCTTTGAACTTGGCACAGATGGCCATTGTTGTATCTCTCCATTCATGTAATGCCTTGTCCTCAACCAGCCCCCAAAACACTCCTACAGCTATTTAAGCGGCTTACCGTGTACCGTCAGTTTCACTAACTGAGTCGCGTTCCCAGCAATGTTCGTGGCCACACAAATATACATGCCACTGTCTGAAACCCGAGCCTCACTGATCTGCATTGAACCAGAGGAGAGGAAGGTGTGTCTGGAAAAAGAGAAAACAGACATGGCGGGATAAATATTTACCACAGGGAACATAAGCATTACTTAGCCTTTAGTAATGAATACCACACACTAAACAGCATCTGTTTGGTGTTATTTTTGCTCAGCTTAAGCTGTTTCTACTCCACTGTGCTAGTATTCTGTCAACTCTTTCATTCTGCATAGCTCATCAATGAAGTAAGATTCAGAACAACCAAAGTAATTTCCATTAACAGGACTTCCTGTTATCTATAAGGAAGTTGGAAGAGTTCCCATCACGCCTCCAGGAACTGAGGAGCAGTTTCAGGTGTCTCCTCCTGGCCTAGAAACAGGGCAGTTTTGGTGATAGCCCCTAATATGTCAAATTTAAGTCTGAGAAGATCCTCTTGTTCCATTCTGTTGGCTCCTATGGCATTTCTTTTCTGCCCTGTATTTGGATTGTAGACCACTGATTTCTGAGAACTCTTTTAAAATGCCTGATCGCCTTCCTATGTTTCATTGTCAATTGTTTTGGTTGTACTGTAGCTATTTGTTATATTTTACAACTTTTATTTATGTATTTATTTGCACACAAGTTGATCTAATCCTGGAGATGGATGGATGGATAGAAAGATAATGAAAATGAATAAATTTTTGGGACAGATCGTCTCTGTTGGTCACTTGGCACCACTCTCAAATAAGAACATTTGTGCTAAATCAAACATGGAGGGAAAAGTAGCTAGGCAGCTGCAGCAACCCTGCCCCTTGCTGAGTGGAGCCAAGGGAAGACTCCCCGAATCTTTGGAGACACATCGTGGGAATATGACTGGTTGTCCTTGGGTATCATTTGGCTTCTGGAGCTCACGTGTCCACAGCAAGAATTACCCAAATGTATAAGCCATTCATCCAGACAACTAAGTATTACAGGAGTTATAAAAGTTCCAGTCACTTCCCCCAAAGTGGTTCCTCCAATCAGAACAAGAGAAATAAAATCTGTACACTTAATTGCATTGCAAATGTCCATGCTTGCAGGAGATTTGTTACAGCTTTGATTGTTACTAAAGCTCAGCCTTCCCGAACAGTCTAATGCATATGGAGCCCTCTTGACACTCATATGGAAAAATCAGATTGTGGAGAGTACTTGGAGTATCATATCTACATGATCCTCTAGATAGTTCTGAGTCAGGGACACCTAAAGATGTGCATGCAAGCAAAACTTCAGCTTAACAAATGTTTCCAAATCTCACCTTGAAGTTTGCTCCATCTCCATCGCCTCTCCTCTCCTCTCCTCTCCTTTCCTTTCCTTTCTTTTCCTTTCCTCTTTGCTTTCACCTTTTCTTTTGGCATGAATTATTTCATGTATTTTCATGCAAGTTTTGTCCAAATGATCAAAGGAATTGTACACATTGTTGAAATATAAGCACTCTGATTAATGTGTAATTGTGTGAATTGTTCAAATGCACACATTTTTGTGTGCATTTTTCAAATGTAAGCAGTTTGTGGTCACATTATAAGCTCGAAAACATGTGGACTTTGTCCACTATTGTATCTGAGTCTGTGTTCAGCTCAGGAGATACTAATTGGGGAAATTATGATTTTAAAAAACTGAAATGATTTTTCTCATACTTGACTAGAGACACCAACAATTCCTCTTTCCACCCTCTCCATATTCTCCTGTTTTTACTTCTATTCTAATGCTATAAAAGTTTACATGCAAGCATTTTTTCGGAGCAAGCTACTTCCTATAACCACAGGGTTCCTTTGGCCTGGAAAGTTCCCTTGCTGTTCGGCCCTTCCTTTTTATGAAACGTAGAGGTAGCCCTTTGCTGCCTGCCCCACTCTTCAGCTGACCAAGAACAGGGTTTTGCCAAGGCAAAATCAAGATGAGGGAATGGGGAAAAAATCAAAGAGAAGAGTTAGGAAAGAATGTTTAATGTTAACAAATTGAATGCACATGACTGTACTTGCCAGAGATGTATTCCCTGGCTGCTAAGGTTTTTACATATGCAATGAAAAGAAGCTGAGTAGTCACTATATGTGTGTGTGTGTGTGTGTGTGTGTGTGTGTCAGATTTCTAGTGAGCTGTACCTGCTAGTGGAGTTTCTTCATGCATAACCATCACTTCCTCAAACCCACATTGCTTGGGCTGATGACAGGAAAACCTCCCGATTTTAGCAATGACTTTTTGCACAATGAACAATTGCTTCAGTAGGTCATTACAAGGGAAGCCACAAACCTTGTTGGCTTATGGTTAATGCTTGTTCTGGGACAAGGTCGTTCATGGCAACAGTTGAGCATTAACACCCTGCCCCAAACCATCGAAAAGGAGCAAGAGAAACCTCCCCTAAAGGTATTTTTAAAATACACCCAATTTTTCTGCAGCCTTTCCGATCACCATGGCAGTAGTTCACACAAGCTGGAGCTGTGAACCATCTACTGAGAATATTAGCAATGGACTTACGTAATATTTGTGTCAGCACGGACATTCACCAGTACTCAAAGAGTTGACACTGACTCATTTACAGACAGGCTAAATGAGCCATTTTTTGCACTGATTGCAATTTTTGCAAAGCTTCTGTGGAACGCTATTTGGTTTGTATTAAAAAAATATTTAATCCAGGGGGCAGCAGGAGCTGCAAGTGGCCCACAGGCTATCTGCCCCAAAAACTTTTGCAAACAAAAAAATTGTCAAATGACATGCTTGGCTCACCAGTCCCCCCCCTCCTCCCATTGCATGCTTTAGAAATTATTTAGGCATCGGCACTAAAAGGGTTAAAGCAAAATAGTTTCTCTCTTAATTATAGATTGAGTTGTATTTCAGTTCAAATAAACCATGGCTGCATGAGCTTTCCAGTTTGCTTTAACCTTCCTTGCTGCACTACCAACATAACGGTACACTGGGAAGATTCCAACGTGAAGCGAGGCATGAAAAGGAGGAGAGCTTCTTGCAAGAGAGAAGTGATTCCAGTGGCCTGAAAGCCATAGCATGCAAAGCCCTATTTTGCAAATGACTTCAAAACGGAAGAAAAATGGTGTGATCATACAGTCCTTGAAGGCTCAAGGCACAAGTCAGAAGTGATAGAAGAAATTATATCATCAGGTTGCTCAGCCTTTCCGAAGGTATTACTCTCCATATGTTTTGGAGTCCAGCTCCATCGAATCATAGAATCAAAGAATAGGGGAGATGGAAGGGGCCTACAAAGCCACCAGGTCCAATGGAGTTGAAAGCCTTCAGTGTGGAAGAGCCCCCAACCTCCCTAAGGAATTGGTTCCATTGCCATGCTGCTCTAACAGTCAGGAAAGTTTTCCTGATGTCCATCCGGAACCTGGCATCCTGTAGCTTATGTTCATTTTTCAATGTCCTGAACTCTGGGATGATCGAGAAGAGATCCTGGCCCCCTTCAGTGTGACAGCCTTTCAAGTACTTAAAAAGTGCCATTCTATCTCCCCTCTCTCTTGTCTTCTCCAGGCTAAACATGCCCAGTTCTTTCAATCTCTCCTCACGGGACTTTGTTTCCAGTCCCCGGGTCATATTTGTTGCCTCCTCTGAACCTTTTCCAGATTGTCTGCATCTTTCTCAAAGTTTGGTGTCCAGAACTGGACACAGAATGCCAGATGTGGCTGAACTAGTGCCAGAGAGAGGGAATCCAGTACCTCCCATGAACCGCATCTAACATCACCAGTGGTTAAGAATCCTGGAAGTTGTTATCCCAAGCATCTTGAAGGCAGCAGGCTTGGGAATGCTGAGATAGACTGTTTATGGTTGATAAGCATGCAATGTGCTTTGTGAAAGGGAAAGAATGAGTGTCAGAATTATTCCCTTTGTTGGAACCATGCCGAAGCAAAGCCAATAGCACTGCTGCCATGGTCCTCAAAAGACAGGATTAGAAAGCGTGGCTAAAACAAGGCTGGGTCTCCCTGGCGTGGACTCAGATCCCAATGGCGTATTCTGACACTATGTCTGAGCCATATAATCTGAGTCAGGTGGGGAACAGGATGACCAAAGAACAGGGCAAAGGAGGCTAAGTGGCAGATAAACAAAGTTAAGACAGGAATGAGAATGAGACACAGGGAAAGCTGGGAGCTGGGAGTTGGGCAGGAAATAAGACCAAGAGCCAAACAGACTCAGGCACAATGTGTTGTTCCTGGGCTAGGTATGTGCTTCTAGCAGCTACTGAAAAATGTAGTACTCTCCCATGTTTAAAAGGTCTCAAGATTAGCATGCTGCAAAGAAGGGTCTAGGCTGGGTTCAGACAACATAACAAGCCATGATAGTTTGTCACCATCATTGGTCTACCGTGTTGTCTGAACCCAGTCATGGTATTCCACCATAGTAAGTTTGGTCTTTAGAAGCCATGCTAAGAAACAATACTTTGTTCTACGGTTTCTCTGTACCACCATGGTTTGTCATGTTGTCTGAACCCAGGATTGTGGCTTCCATGGTCCTGATATGCAACTACCACAGAGTCCCCTGGAAATAGCTGCAACTGCTGGAGCCACTCCAGGCATCCAGTGTCTAGATGTGTGGACCAATGAGGAAGAGGCAGGCTACACAAGCTGGGAGCAGTGCACCTTGGGATTGAATTTCAGGCATAATGGCTAACAGTATACATGCCAATAGTTGGAGGACTAAGCAGGGAGAATGGAAACCACAATATCATGGAAACCACTTGGAAAACATGGTAAACACACACACATACACACACAGAGCATGGTGACCCTGCAGGGTTGCTTGGCATGTTGTGTAAACACAGCCCTGGTCATCTTTCTTATGTGCAGTGTATAATAATAGGACCTTTTTTAATACAGAAGAGCAGGTGTTCTAAATAGCCATTTCCAAAACTGAGGGAGGCTTACAATCCAAGGAAAATTAACTCCTCAACCTTCTTGGAAGATGACAGAAAGTTTAGGAGGAAAATGGTATATACTTTTCATTTCACATCAAGTGTAAATAACTTGGAAGCGGTTCTTTCTTTCCTTACATTAAATGATGCTCTACAAAGCAAGCCTTGACCTTCTCAGAAACATCGACCACTGATTTTCACCTATCACCACATATTAGAATACAGTGTACGACATTACGAATGCATCAGGAAAAGCAGCCAGGGAGGATGGAAATATTATTCAATTCTATTAGAAGTTCTTGTTTGTGCAAAGTGTATTTCGCAATAAAGCACATATTGTTGTATTATACTCAAGAAGAAAAACCACAAAAAGCATAGTGGGATCTGGAAGAATTTGTTAATCCTGGTGTGAACTCCCCAATGTAAACTAATCTAAAATTAGAACTGTGTCCTAAAGAGAACTGAAGTAAAGCTGAGGTAACTGTATACTTAATCCCCCTCTCCCTCCAAACCAATAGCAGAGACCGGCCAATTTGCACACAGAGAAGGAAAAAGCCCCGAACGATCCCTGTGCTTTTTTCTGTACTTTGTTTTATGGAGGGAAAAAGCAGATAGGCAGTTAAGCCACTGCATGGATTTATAATCTTTATTTCAAACTGCCCAGAGAGCTGCAGCTATGGGACAGTATAAAAAGGAAATGAATCAAAATCCATCATGGATCTCTGGAGGGAGAGATCTACATGATAAATTTATATTGGCTTTATACGATTTTAACTGTCCGGCACAATACACTGCAAACAATGAGCTCTCCTTATCCATAGCATGTGTGTGTGCAGGGGAACAGATAAAAAGTGAAGTGGGAGGAACACTGAACTCTTCCTACATATTATTCATTGAGGAGAGCCATTTGTGCATCTTCACAAGAATTAGCCTGAGAGTAACCTAGCAGCCCAGATTGACATCAAAGGGACAAATTTAAGCTTGGTGCCTAAAAAAAGAAACAAATATGGAACAACTATTACCTTGGTGAGAACGGAGAGATGAGCTGCGTTTCTTTAGCCCAGGTGATGATAGGGGGTGGCAAGCTTTTCACCTCACAGGGAAGGACGATGCCTTCCCCAGCAATCACAGACATCTCGATTGGGTTCGCTGGTGAAATTCCTTGCTGATTGCCAGGCCTGGATATCCTTGGTTTCACTAAAACAGGACACACATGTTACCATTAAGTCACACCAGATGGACGTGTTGTACCCAGTGACTGTGCGATCACAAGGTTCTTTTCCCCTCCTCTTCTGTGTGGTATCTTGCGTTGTAAACTGCCCAGAGAGCTTTGACTATGAGGCAGTGCAGAAATGACATAAATAAGCTAAATTCTAAAAACACGTGTGGCCAAACACTGAAACTGGGAAGACAGAAGCTAAGAGCTCATAACTCATCCAAGACCACCATTAACCAAAGGCTGAATTTCAATGCCAGCTGCCCAACAGTCTATCCACTGGACTTTATTTCTCACCGTAAGCTAACAGACCAAGTACCAGTGACTGAGTACCTCAATATATTTAGGTTGACCCTTGGGGTGGAGTCTAAGGAGGGTTCCTATGTTCAGACAAGAGCATAACCTGTAAAGGTGTAAGTCCGTGTTTGTGTGGGATGGGCACTCTGAATCAGGGCAAAAGCAGTTCACACAGTTGCAGGGTAGAAGGGGCCAATCCACTTATTTTATTTATTTTATTTATTTAAAACATTTCTATGCCGCCCCATTCGCCGAAGCCTCAGGGCGGCTCACAACAGAAAATTAAAATATAAAACATTCAAATGCTTTTGCATTGCAACTCAGCTACACTGGGTGTTTTGGACAGACATAGAAAACAGAGCTACCCTCACAATAATAGCCTCCACAGATCCCCAGAAGGACCTCTGTCCTGTGCAGCCCCATGCAGGAGCACTTTTAGAGAGTTTTACCCACCTCGGGCTTTAACTTTTCCTTACCATAGACAGTCAGCTGGACTTTCCGGGTCACATACCCTGCTGCATTTGTCGCGGTACAGATGTATTCCCCAGAATCCTCACCTCCTGGAGAAATTACATGCAAACTCCCATCGGACCCTGCAGAAAAATTTGGACTACTGGGAGGGATCACTTCTCCTTTCTGTGAAAGAGAGGAAAAATCTAATGGGGTGAGCTCACTCAGAGGATGGCATGATGTAAGAATGGCGATCCTACGTCAGAACAAATGGTCTATCCAACTCAACATCTTGTCTTCCTCGCTTGCTTGCCAGATCTTATTTTTGAAACCTTGGAATTGTCTTAGAGATTTCTGCATTTATTTTTGTTGTCAACCACCTTGGGCATGATTCCCAGAAGGGCAGGACACAATTATTTATAATACATAAATATACTGTGGGATAATCACAAGCCTGCATCATCATGAGGGTCATTGCCTGTTACCTCCTGCCATCTGCACTGAACATTGAAACCACATTTTAACTAGCCATGAAGAAATGGAGACCAGAATATGGAATAAGCAGCATGTTGCCCAGCTAGCTAAGAATCAGCTACTCTCATCTGAACTTGCCCAGCTCCGAACATCTCTGTGGAGGGCAAGCTTGGAATGCACCAATTTCAGAAGCAAAGCAGAAATCAAATCAACAAAGCAGAACTTCTTTGACCCTACAGCAACCTCTTCTTCCCTGTTTGCTGCACACCTTTCTTGATGATCTTCAGGGAGAAATTACAATCCCTGCAATGTATTAAAGTCGTTAACAGAACCTAAAACCTTTTAAATATTTTAAGTGACTGAGGCATGCAGCTGCTGATGCCTACGCCATCCTTTTTGTTTAATTGATTGTAAATTTTATTTCTTGTGTACCGTTTTTAACGTTGCACATTACCTTGGGAATAAAGACCTAGAGGCAGAATATAAATACTTTAAATGACTAAAGCTATGTATTCATTTATGCCCTCTCAAAAATCATTCGCACTGCAAGCTTTCCTTGGTATATTAATTTACCAAACATTTTTCAGCTGGTGGGAGGCACTTTCAATGAGTAAAGGTGAGAGTAAGGCAAATCATTTTATGCTGCTTTTGGTCTCTTACTGTACTAAAACATTTAAAATAAAATATTAAAATGTGGCCTTTCTCAGCAATAGTGAGTTGGCTTGGGATTTTGATTAGATGGATTTAAATTTAATAGATGCTTTATTTCTTCTCCTGGCTCAGCTATGAATTCAGGCAATCTTTCACTATAAGCAGTTCAGGGCACAGTTCTTACCTTGGACCAGACTATCGATGGCTTGGGAACTCCACTGGCTTTGCAGGGCAGTGTAACTGGACTGTCTTCTATGGTACTGAATATCTGCTGCCCGTGCTGAATTATGGGTAGCACTGAAAGCACAAAAGCAACAGCGTTTACCCAATTAGTTCACATCGTTTCAGTGCTTTGCACTACTGTCTTATAAGCAAGTCCTTACATAAAACCCTCCCTGTATGACCATTTTAATCTCAGACTGGAACTAAGCATTAGGAGATGTGTTGGACCTCTGTTGATACCAACAGCTCTGCAACACCCCTCTTTTCCATCTGTTGGTCTGTGTGTCTGTCTGTGTGTCTGTCTGTGTGTCTGTCTGTCTGATTGGCTGGCTGGCTGGCTGGCTCCCTCCCTCCCTCCCTCCCTCTCTTTCTGTAACATGATATGACATTGTGTTCTGAGGGGTTTCTTATACCCAAAAGGCATCCTGCAAAGAAGTGGACTTAGGAGAGGAATTCACAATGTAGTGACACCATATTATGCTTTTTGCATTCCTTGGCACTGTAGAATTGTGTGTGGGGGGGTGCAGGGTAGATAGAAATAAGGATTGCCTGCTTAGCAACAGCTAGATTGACCTGCTTAGAACTTGGTGCTAGAGGAAAGCTTCGTGAATACCTTGGACTGACAGAAAGAGAGAAAAGTGGGTTGTAGAAACCTTCATCCAGAGGTTTCCCTAGAAGCCAAAATGACAAAACTGAGAATTTCCTACTTTGGACACACTGTGAGAAGGCAGGACTCCCTGGAGAAGAAATTCTTGCTAGGGAAAATTGCAGGCAGAAGAAGAAAAGGGAGACTAAATGAGAGATGGGTTGGCTGTATAAAGAAAGCCCCGACCTTGAATTAGGAGAGTGAAGAAACAATGACATGGACTGGACATTTTGGAGGGCTTGCATTCCTGGGGTCTCCGTAAGTCAGCAATGGCTCAACAGCACATAACAACATAACAACAGCATTGTAATGGCCACCCAGAGAACATAATTCTAATGGGCGGCTTTTATACAAATTTTATAATCATAAAAATAACAACAACAACAGATGTAGCATGGAGTTCCAGCCTCAATGGTGAGATTTGTGAAGTGTACCCATGAGAATTTCTTAACATGAGGAGATAGTTTAAGTAAAATTTATATTGGATATCCTCCAAAGAAGTTTTAAAGTAGGTTCTCCTAAACAAAACATGAGTTTACTGAGGCCTTTTATCATGTGGACACTCCAAAATTTATAACCGGTAACAGTAATGAAGTGTGATGAACACAACTTTAAGAATTATTTGACTTGATGTCTCACAAATCCGCATGAGGCAGATAATTCCGAAAAGCATGAAAAGAGATTGAGAGGAAGATTACCTAAATGTCTTGAAGGAAAAGAGGCAGGATATAAAATAAATGCATGTATTTGGAAAAGAGCAACGCCTCGTATTTGTGTAGGATTTTTGCTAATTGTTGCATAGGTGTCATGCAAGCCAGAATCACGAGACTAAAGACTCAGGCATGTTGAGATGGGGGAAAACAAGCCAGAGTTCCCAATTCAGACATCTTACCTTGCAAACCAAGGATGATGATTCCTAAAATGCTTCTGCTGGCACGAGGACCAGCATGGCTCTGATCAAGACACAGGCACATGCAGGCTGGAGCACTCAAGACTAAGCCAGAATTTTAGAATATTCTGTCTTACCGTAACATCTGAACTGAGATATTATGTCAGAGGGGGTCTGCCATAGCAGCAAGGTGGCAGAGATGTAGAGATGAATGCCACAGCATCCAACTGCAAAACTCACCAGCCTATCTGGGTTTTGCAGGAGCTGCGACCTGATCATTTTTGAAGAAATGTTGGAAAGATGCATTTTCAGAACTGCTTTCTTTCTATGAATTTTTTCTCTGAAGGTTCTGTAAATTAGTAGCACAACAGGGCACATTGTTCCAGAACAGATATTTGTTTTCACATTTCTTCCTCACACTCTTCTTGTCCTCCTAAGTCTTGGATCCTTTCAATGGTTAGCACAACCTTTTCTCGCACCAACTTTTCATGATGTAATATAACCCCAAAGGTGCTACTTCAGGGGGAACCTTCACTTGAAAAACACACATGAATAGTAACTCGTACAAAGCCTCTTTTATAAAGCAAAACCGGATGTTTCAGCAGTTCTGTGGGGAAGTTTCAAGTATGCATCTCCTTATTAACGGAACATAGAAAATAATTTTCTGTTCAACCATGACCTCACACAAAGTTGGGTTTGCTGAAACAGGAATGGACAAAAACAAATCCTTTGTTTGCTGCCTCTGAGTAGGCCTGCAACTCTTGTTGGTATTAAAAATAAGATGCCAGTTATTTCTTTTTAAACTCTATAATCCCTTTGGTAGTTGCTTCTTTTAATCCATTATCCAAACTCTTAGACTTTGGAGATCTCCCACTTACGACTCTGTTTTCTTAACAAAGTAAGTGTGTCTGTAAAAACTATCATCACTAGAAGACCTTTGTACAGGGAAAAATATTTTTCGATGCCCTGGAAATGTTTTTTTTAACTAACTTGACTTGTTCTTTCAAAAGGCATGTCAGATTGGTTCACATGGTCTGCTGTCCAGAACATATATGTGAAAGAGCTGTTCTTCTAGATTTTTTCCATACAGAAAAGCTCCTTTCACACATTGCTTGCACAAGCACTCTGCACAAAGCAAAAGCCCTGTTCTTCTCATGAGCCTCTGGAACCTGGCCTTGATCTTCTGTCTCGGGGGTAATCGGTCCGTGCCCACACATGGGGGATGGCTGGGACCAGAACTACAATGGGACAGCACTTCCCCCCTTTTTCCTCTTTCCTCCCTCCTCTTCCTGCCTGCCCAGTGGTCTGTTGGGGGTGGGACAGATCCCTTTTGTCAGGGAGATAAACCAATTTCTTACAGGGGGTCTTGGAAAGTAGGACATGAAATGGTCCCACTGTGGGTAATGGGCCCACTAGTTCTGCAAAAGAGCTACAAACAGATACAGAAATTGACTCTGATGCCAGTGAAGAGGGGAAGAGGAAATAGAGAATGAAGAGCCAAGAATGGAAGAACTAAGGATAAGCAAGAAGGCAAGAGAGAGTCCAGTTGTTCCTGACACCATGGAAAACCAGAGCCTTTCTGAAGAGGAGGAGGACAAGAAAGAGGAAATGGATGTGACAGATCCAAGAATGAGACATCAGTGAAGGAGGAAAAATCAAAAATGAGTGAGGCATTCTAAGCAGTTAGCTCTGACAAATCAGTAGCCATCTTGAGCATTTGAACTTTGGGATTTTGACTACTACCAAGAGGAAGACATTATAACACTCAAATTCATTTGAAATCAACTTTCCAGTGCATCATATTGCATTAATTAAATGATTCCACAGAAAGCATACCCAGCTTTTTAACTTTGTTATTGGTTTCCGTGAACTGTTTACTTTGTAACATAAACCCAGCTTTGCTTGCTTGCAGTTTAGCGGATAAATATCTGTTGATTAGAAGAAAAAGTCCAGCATTTAACTCCAAAGGGAGAGAGGCAACCTCAAAAATCACATGAAATGAGGGCTGTAAGGTTGCACTTGGAGCATTTCCTGCATAAACTCCTTTACATTTTGCAAAAACATTCAAACTTCATGTAATTGATTTCTTTCCTGAGCAAGAGAATTGCTAGCATGGAGAACAGGCCAGGTCTCACACTTGTTCAGGAGGAGTTATCAGACAATCCTGAAGAGGAGGAGGATGAGCAGGTGAGGGGCAAAGCCTTTGAAGGGTCTCCAAGGTTACCTAGAGAAGTTTTTCCAGCCAGGTGTGAGAAGGGGAAGAAGGGTTTTGGAAGGGGAAGAAGGGTTTTCAGAAGGTGAGGGGAGAAGTTCTGTTTGGATTCAGCTCTTTACATGAGCAGAGACTTCTCTTTGCAGCTTGGTTAGAAGGCTCTTTGCAGCTCAAACTGCTAATTGGTCTGCTAATTGTGGAGTCTCAGTAAATACCCAAAGGACTGTTTTGAGTTATGTAAACAGAGAGGAGAAAATGGACCAGCTCACGACAACTAGATAGATTGTGACTCACAGATATCTCTTTGTACACAACACATATTTCCTCCCAAGGTTTTGGTGCATTCTTATATTGAAAATCTCAGAAAACACTGAGTGTTTCTCTCACCAAAGACACGGACAGCAGTAGTCTTGTTGTTGGTCCCAGCAACGTTGCTTGCCATGCAGGTATAGTCTCCAGCATCCTGCAGCCGAACCCTTTCAAGATGCAAACTCCCATCACTACGAACATTGATGTAGGGAGTTTGGACCACCTGGGTGGGATGAGGATGGGAAGAGCAGATAGGACTTATTTCTCATCTACATTTAGCCTGGGCATCGACATCCAGGGTTATGTGTGCTCTGGAGTTTATAAAAATAAAATCATCATTTTGTACCAAGGTAACAACAAATTCCACATCACAAATGTATTTGCATTGGTGCTTAAGTTGGCATTCACATTCACATTCATTTTTGCTAGTGATGGGGAAAAGAAAAGTTTTATAGGGCCATGAAGGTCCCCATCTTGGACCATCAGCTGGCTTTGGGATGTCCGAAGCAGCACTCCTTCCACTCTTTCAAGCAGATCTTGCAAACATAAGCAAAACTAGCTGTGACATTAAATTGATCTTTCTGTTTATCTTTACTACATCTCACTAAAACTTTAGCAACTTTCTCAACTAAGAGCAAACAGCCTCAACTAACAGTAACTTATTAAGTGAGGGGGATTTAAAACAACTCAGTCAGAGTGTAAAAACAATGAGTTGATCAGAGATACAAGTTCTGCAGAGGAATAACCCCAAGTGTTAAGAAATGTTAGGCAGACACAAACTCTTTGCCTTCCCTAAATAGCATCCCTGATTGTGGTCTGGTAAAAAGCATTCTCTTGTGAACTCTCTAAGTTTTAATCTCTGGGATAAAGGCAACAGGAGCAGTCTAGAATATCAAGGCACATCATGAAAACTTGAAGGTGGCAGTACACAGAGGGAAGGAAGGAAAGATCTGAGCTGCCTCAAACATCTTTTCCTTCTCCTGCATTTAAAAAAGGAACCCTGTGACCTTTGCTTTATAGTGCTAAATTTGTCACCTACTTAGTTACTAGAGGAGGTTAAGTTCTGCTTTCCGAGTAGATTAGTCTGAGAACAATGGAGGAGAGGTGAAAAGAACTCTATGGCTAGCAGAGATAGACAAGAAAAGCAAAGCAGCTAGATAAGCCAATGAAAAAGCCAGGGCTCCCAAATTCTGTACATTTGTGGAGGTGGAGGCAATGTCTTGCATAGCCAACAAGGAGAAATGAATAAGCAGCAGTTCACTTTTGGGAAACCTGGACAAATTCCATCTCACTTCACTCCAGGACCCATTTTAAACAACCTTTCTGAAAGCCTGCTAGATACCATTTAGTAGGAGACTGTATCAAAAGCTACAGAGAGATACCAACATTTATTTCAGGCTTTCTCTTACTCGTTTTCCTTTCTGATCCTTGCATTTTTCCAGGTATCTTTTTTTGAAAGATAGGCCAACATTACATCTATTGTCTCATGCCCCCACCCACCTTCTTTGGTGTCACTAGATAATCCTTTATCTCTAGATATTTACACAATCAGACCTTCCCACTTATTAAAAAGAGCCTCAAGAGAATTTTGTTTTCATACATTTGTTTTTTCTCCACTTAATAAAGTATTTTAATAGTGGTAATCCTGCTTCGGCAGGATAATCTTCCTTTATCCTTCCTTTTTTCTTCTTATTTTCTTCTTGTGCCTCTTTACAAGCAGTGAAGTCACAGAATTTCATAATTTGTAAAGCTCACCCATGTAACAAGCTTGGATTGTGGCCTTACAAATTCACTATTAATTTGGGAATAGATTGCACATTTTGCAGCCTACACAGTCTGAATTCAAATGATGCCATTTTTGTTTATGCACCAAGTCAGTTGTCTTAACCACTGCGATTGTGTCACTTTTACCCTTTAGGGAAAGGTGGGTATTTGAACCTTTCCACAAACCAATCATGTTCAAAAAGACACAGAGACTGTATACACAGAGGAGTATGGGGTCCCTTACCTATTACAGCTTTTCTTCTAAGCTTTATAGGAGCTATCCATAGTGCACCATGGTGGTGACCCTATTTTGGGAGGTTGGCACCATGGATAGCTCCTCTAAAGCTCCAAAGAAAAGCTGTAATAGGTAAGGGACCCCATCCTCCTCTGTGTATACAGTCTCTGTGTCTTTTAAAACATGATTGGTTTGTGCACCAACATAGACATCACCAGGCTCCTTGGAATATACAAGGAACGGATGTATCTCCATATACTGCTCTATATATTTCTCCTCCATACCTGTTGGAAATACTGAGTAAAATATATGTAGAAAGATCCCATGGTGACTAACAAGCAATCAAGGAGTGTATAATGTGATGGCACACGACATAGTAACATAAGATATAGCTCCCAAGATAAAATAAGTTCAAAAGCTCATGATCTGAAACACAGAATGAGGCCTCTAATTAAAGCAGAACTCTCATCTGAGATGCTATAGATGAATGCCAGAGTGTAGGACATGGAATAATCAATTCAAGCTGCGACAACCCAGATTCAGGCTGGGCATCAGGAAAGGCTTCCTCACGGTCAGAGCAACACGACAGTGGGACTAGCTGCCTGGAGAGGTGGGGGGCTCTCCCACACTGGAGACATTCAAGGGGAAACTGGACAGCCATCTGAGTGGGATGGTGTGACTTGGTTTCTTGCAACAGCAGGGGGTTGGACTCGATGGCCTTCATGGCCCCTTCCAACCCTACTATTCTACGATTATATGAATGTATTACTTTCCCAGGAAAATAATTCACTGAGGGTGCACCTTTCTCCATCATTACTTACAGGGTGGCAATCCTGGGGAAAGGATTTCTTTTTGCTGTTTTTATCCTATGTGTTATTGTACGGTGCATGGAATTTGGGGCACTTAAGAAATGGTACATACTACACTGTTGTTGTTGTTGTTGTGTTATTACAGAGATACATAGCAAGTTTATAATTCTTGCTTCTCCACTGAAGTAAGTAGAAAATAAGTCTCTAGGGAAATCAGACATTCTCTTACCACCATATTATTCTTGATCCACTTGCGCTCTGGGATAGGGTTTCCTGCCAGCAACACACAGGGCAAAGTCAGCTGTTGACCTTCAATGACATTAGCAGCTGCTGGGCTCATCCCAATTAGAGGTGCAACTGGATCAAAGGGAAACGAGGCAAGAGGAGAGGAGAGGAGAGGAGAGGAGAGGAGAGGAGAGGAGAGGCATCACACAACAGTCGTACATGTTCTCTCTACAATTGCAGAGCTTTGAGGACATGTGAAGAGTAGTGCTGGATCAAACCCAAGGCGGATCTTGTCCAGCATTCTGCTCTCACTTCCCAACCAGATGCCAGTGGGAAGCCTATAAGCAAGTAGCATCCTGCTAAGAAAAGAACAGAGACTTCACCAGCAGTTTAAAAGGATATAGTGGACAGCACTTAGTTGAAAATTATTTCAGAAATCAAACAATGTTTACTGCACTGTGTTATGAGGTCTTCCTTTTTCGGCTGAAAAATTACTAACAAAAAGAGAGTTCTACCGGATAAGCGAGCCCTTAGCATTACATCATTCTGTTTTAGTAAGCAAATGTTAATCTTTTCCAACAATTGTTCTTTTTTCTTGATTATTCCATTTACTTTATGCCTTTATTGGAGGGTGCTTGATGCTTGTCGTTTCAAACAAACAAGTTTTCATACTAAGCAGGAGAGAAATCTAATTAACCAAGTGAATGTGACATTTCTATTCTGTTGGCCCAGTGACTTATCAGCTGAGAAGAAAAATCCAGTATGGAGATTCTGAACTCAGGGTCCTTCCTGCATATTGTTCCCCAATCCACTATAGGAGGAAGGCCCCTGGGGAAAACTTCCTTTGTGCTCTGGATGCAGTGCTAGCATTGGACTGAAATCAAGTGAACCAGCCATTACAAATTCCACATGATTGGTTAATTACCAAGTCCCGTCACTGTAAGCGTAGCTGGCTGCGAGACAATCTTCCCAAACTGGTTTTCAGCTTCACAGATATAGGTCCCCTCATCATTAACCCATAAATCTAAAATTAAATAAAGGGGTGGGGGGTTACAAAAAGAAACATGATTGGCACTTTAAAAAGATTCTCATAGACAAATAGGTTAATTGGTGTTTCAATTTTTATATCAAGTACCATCACTAAGGAATTTTTAATTGTGATATTGTGATAATATTGTTTAAAAATTATGGGATTTTTTTAATGAAGGATGGTATAAAAAATTGAATAAATATATATATATATTCCCCTTGGATAACATTTTTAAGCAGAAGAAGCTGGATTAGCATTATAAAAATAAATCTGTAAAAAATTATCCTATATTAATGTGATCAAAGTCAATATGCATGTATTCCTCCTGACCACATCAAATCTGGACTAATTCTGAATTTACATCAGTTGTTTTTAATAGTTTGCCATGAAACCAGGCACAAGCCACAAGCAATGTAATTTCCCAATCAGGTCAGTGAGGTTTATCTGACTCTTTGGAATGAATAGATGTTAAGTGGGAGATACTTGGAAGTTTGGTTCGACTGACAAATATAAGTGAGTGTGAGTGTACACAGCCGAGCACCAAGCCAGAAATTATGTTTGCTTTTTCCAGAAAGCATTTTAAGTTCCCACTGACTTAAACAGGCAACATTGGGCAAAAGGGGTGCAGTAGAGGACTTTCGAGGTGAGGCAAAAGTTGCCTTCCTCCCCTGATCCTTCTAACACCAGTAATGAGGTGAGGCATGGTTAGGACTTTCCACTGAAGTTTCCCATCGACTCCTACAGGAGAAAGGAAAACTACAACCCTTCCTTCTAATGAGCACTTTGTTCATATAGTATAAAGGTAGCTTTCCATGTTCATGATTTTGACACAAGTCACTTATTCCTAAGGCTGAAGACACAATGCGGAACGGTTTTGTACTTCCAAGTTTTCTAAAGATGCAAATTACACCTAACACTTCCTGGGTTCTTAATACACTACGTACATTTCTTTTGAACAGCCTTTCCATTTTTCAGTTTTTGACACAAATGAGATTGCAGGAGCATTGCTTTGTCTATAAACTGTAGCAGGCCAAGTGGACTCGGTTCTGATAGCACAGTATCATGCATTCTGTTTTTTGTCATGCATTTTATATTGACAAGGTTTTGTCTACCTACTGTTAATAGAAAGGGCTCCTGTTCTTAGCTGACTTATGGAACTAACTGCAGAATGCCTGGAGAAAAGCGGCGCACCATCCAGCCGACGCCACTTCACCTTTGGTTCTGGGTAACCCTGGACATAACATGCCATTGTCACATTGGAGCCAATATCCCCCGATTCATCACTAGGCTCTTGGGTGAAAACTGGAGGAGCTGTGAAAGGTGTAGACAGGAAGACAACATCTGAGAACTGATACTAGAAATATGGTGTCAATTGTTTTGCTTGCACTGACAGAGGAAGGACCCAAAATGTTGATTTATTTATTATGCTCATGTCCCGCGCTCGCTCGCGCTCTCTCTCTCTCTCTCTCTCTCTCGCAAGGTTGCTTTCCTTGGGAATCCTCCTCTCCATTTTATGCTCACAACAACCAAGTGATGTAGGTGAGGCTGAGAGCCAGTGACTGGCCCCAAGTTAGCTAGCAAATATCATGGCCCAGTAGAGACTAGCCCTCGGCTAACAGTTTAATCACTATACTACACCAGCTCTTGATTTTATATCTTGCAATGCGCAAGTGGTGTGTTGCTGTACGATGCTGTGAATGTGATGCTGTTGGACAGGAAGGATGTCCTGGGTATCAAGCTTGCTCAGCCATGAACTTGTCAGATGGTTTTCAATAAGTAAGATACTAGTTCTGCACCTCACACCCTTATATGTAATCCAGGAGCGATAGTTACCTATTTCCTAGAGTTTCTGAAAGATGAGCAATTGATTTAGAGTTATTATTATTACTTTCATTTCTATACTGCCTGTAGCTGAAGCTCTCTGTGTGGTGTACAACAGAATACAAGAACAACAAAATACAGTAGATAAAAACAGTAAAAATTGAAAAATAAAAATTAAATTAAATTAAAAGACTATTTAAAAGACCCAGCCAAGAATAAAAAGCACCTTGCTAATGGTATTAGGCCCCTGAATGACCAGGGAGGTCTTAGAAGGCCTTCACAAAAAGGACTGTCTTAACATGGCACTAAAAAGATGGCAAATTTGGTACCAGGCAGGCTGCAGCAGGGAAGTTATTTCAAAGATGGGAAGTTATTTCAAAGATGGCCCGCCAGCTGCCATCCTCTGAGCCTCTTGAGGGGTTGGCACTCAGAGGAAGGCCCTAGAGGCTGAGCTTTGTGTCCGGGTACATCAGAGTTGGGAGAGGCACTCTGACAGGTGTTGCAGTCCAAGCCTTGTAGGGCTGTACCGGTTAAGACCAGCATTTTGAGTTGGGATCAGAAACCTGGCAGTCAATGCAGAGGGGCCAGAACTGGTCTTGTAGGTTTGGACCTCCGGGTCCCAGTAATCTGTACCAGCTACGGCTTCTAAACAGCTTATATACTATATCTCTAAAAAAATTAGTGTACAAACAAGACATTAAAAGTCATAAACAGAATCCATCAAGTGTCAAATAAAGATCCTCCTTTCATCTGATCCCACAAATTATTAAGAAATGGCACTGAACCAAGAAGCTTCCAGTGACTGATGTATGTACCCTGTTCCCTCCTCCTTCTATACAAGTTCCATGCTGAGGATGGCCAAAAACGAAGGGCCTTGTATGGTGTTCTGAAAATACATTGGGAATTTTTCTGGCATTCTCCTAAAATTCATTGCATTCCCCCCAAAAATGGTCCTGAAGTTCAGAGGGCCTCAGAGCACAATTCAATACAGCACAGGGAATGCTGCTGGAAAGGAAAATTAGGCCCCAGTCATGGGGAACGGCTTTCCATGTGTACAAAAATCTCTTTGGATTCCAGACAAGGGGTTACCATAATCAGCAAAATGCATGTGTTTATTTTATACAAGCTCGCACAATTTGCATGCTTCATTCCGAAGCCATTATGCTTACAGCCAACATCCAGGGTGATCTTGCCAGACACGCTCCCCACAATATTGGTCGCGATGCACAAATAATCGCCAGCATCCAAGTCCTGCGTTTCCTCAATCTTCAGAAGGCCACGGTGGAAGTCAATAATAAGAAATTTCGATGCCCTCAACTCTAAATCACCTATATCCAGCCCAAAAGTAATGACAGTGAGAATTTAAAACAAGGGGAAAAACAGCTCATTTCGGTAAGCAGACCGGCTTTTTCATGTCTTCTTGATATGACACAATGGCACTCTTTTTCATTCCAGATTTCCAGTTGAATGTAAGGTCTGCCCATTTGCTGAACACTTGGAATGGTACGCACAGTGGATGCTGTGCCAAGTGACATTTGCTTCAACTGTACCTCTGTAGGGTTTGCTACAGGATTTAAGTCAGCAATTACAACATTCAAACATGGGCCAAACTACACAGTCAGTAGAAGGGAAGCTTTTAACAGATTAAAGGTAAAGGTTTCCCCTTGACATTAAGTCCAGTCATGCCTGACTCTAGGGGGCGGTGGTCATCTCTATTTCCTAGCTGAGGGAGCCAGAGTTTGTCCACAGACAGTCTCCGTGGTCATGTGGCCGGCATGACTAAACACCGAGGTGCACGGAACGCTGTTACCTTCCCACGGAAGTGGTACCTGTTTATCTCCTTGCACCTGCATGCTTTCGAACTGCAAGGTTGGCAGGAGCTGGGACGGAGCAATGGGCACTCACCCCGTTGTGCAGATTCGAACCAGCGACCTTTCGATCAACCAGCCCAGCAGCAGAGCGGTTTAAACCACCGCGCCACCTGCAGTCCCCTTTTAACAGATTAGCTTTTCACTAAATAAGGTTTCCTGCTCTTCATGAGATGCTTCATTCACTCAAAGATGCCCCATCCATAATAGCTAGTCTATGGTCTCCATTTGAAGGTCTCTGTAAGTGCTGTAAAGTTATCTCACTGGGAAGCAGGCATGTGATTTCATTTAGGCCTACAGTCTGATAACAAATGCAGGAATCTTATATTGCTAGTGGAACTGTGGAATACATGGGTTTTTAGAAAAAAGAAACTAAGCTAGGCAAGATATGGTTCTAGAGAAGATACCTTTAAACCATTTAACCTGTGGAGGTGGAACACCGGTGCTTTTGCATTCCATCATGGTGGTGTCTCCAAGAGCAATCAGAAGTTCACTTCGAACAACAGTCAGGGTGGGGGCCTCTGCAAAGGGACAATGGAAGAGATTATGCCACTGTGAATTGTTCAATGATTTCTTTGGCAAAGTGAACAAAATATAAGCCAACATGAAGCCTAATTCTCTTCTGGGCATTTCTACCTGCTTGACCGACAAATTTAATCTGAATCAGAAACATGCAACAGACATTTATACCTGTGCTTTGCTGAAGGAATTAATAGTACAGAGCAGTAGCTCAACATGATGCATAATCTCAGGTTTGATCCTTAACGTTTCCAGTTTAAAAAAAAAAAAAAAAACCAGGTGATAAAACCCAGAAATACCACTCTGCCTTGAGAAACCATTGCCAGCCAAAGTATGCAGACCAAGAATCTGAAATTATACAAGATCTACATGTTCAAACCACCACACACTGATCTTTGATTATCTGATGAATCAGGATTTAAAGGCTATTAAAGGCTATTGTTATCATGTGTATAACCACCCAATAGCCAAACTTCTATGGGCAGTTCACATCAAATGGATGCCATTCTCTCTCTCCTTTATTATTTCATTAACACGTTCAGTTTCTTTTGGTACTTGCCCACGTAAGTGAGGATGCTTGTCTCCTTGACTGTTCCAGCTGCATTACTGGCCAAACAGCCATATAGTCCTGCATCTTTGAGGACTGCATTTTTTATAATCAAGGTCCCTTCAGGAGTCAACCTGTACCTGTGGCAGAAAAAATGCATCCACAAGAACCAGAAGTTATTGTTACAACCATAATGTTTTTCTTGAAAAAATTGCTGGGAATGAAAAGCTGGTGAGAGAGTTTCAAGGTTTCAGCAGAATTCCTAGAGGATTTGCAGAAGTGTGAAGCTGTAGGGAAGAAAGTTTTAGAAGATTCCCCAGATCGGGTAGCATGCCCTGAGAAAGAGGACAAGAAGGCTATATGCGAAGTTTCTGTTAGAGTGTAATGTGTAGCCACACCTTTGCATTCATTAGGATCAAAGGCAGATGTTTGCATTTGGTTAAAATGCACTCATGTTATGCAATGTTAAAAAAAGTATGAATTCTTTGTTCAGCTCTTTGTTCAGGCAATCTGCTCTTTTTCTTGATAGATTACTTGCTCTACAGAACGATAATAAATCTTGCTGCATACCACAAACAGTTAGTTGCTTTATTGACCTCCAAGTCAACAAACCAGAGAATTACTTGCAAAATTTATCACCTTCTGGATTTGAGGTGAGAATGAGACTTTTACAATTTCTCTGACAGAGCCCACTATCACACCAGCATGACAAAGACATGCACACATCAATGTCATCTATGAATTAGGAATATGTGTGCCCCACAATTTCATTTCATGTATAATTATTGATATAACCATTCTCAGAAAATATCACATCATTTTTAAAGGCTTGGGTGTGTTTACTATCTAGGGATGCAAAATCATTTTATGCATGGCTAAAGAAGAAGCTAAGATGACAGCAAAACCTTAGTAAAAGCAATCTCGTGTCCTTAGATTAGTTTTCCACAAGTTGGTACCCTCAGATGCTTTGTACAATAATTTCCATCAGCTCCAACCATGGCTAGGAAAGATTTGCAGGAGAATGCTGTGAACTGAAGGACCTTTTCCTGTCTAGATATGCATAGGATTGTGTCCCTACTTGTAACAGAGGCAGGTAGACAAAATGCTGGTGATCAAGTTGCTTTTCCCCTCTGTCAGAAGACTAGGACTAGAGACAGAAAGGCTAAACGTACCTGTGGGAAGTCATGAGAAACATATCATTGTGTGTCCACACGATCGTGGGCTTTGGGTGGCCAGTTGCAGAGCACCTAATAGAGACCTCAGACCCTTCAGTGAACGTCTGATTCTTGGGCGAGACGGTCACTCGGGGTGGTTCTGTTAAATAAAATAGAAAATGAACCAGCAAGCATGATTTCCCAAAGCACCCTCTTACTGCCTGGCATCCGTTTCTCTCTGTCCAGGCTGTTCTCCCCCTTGTCTTGGCACTCTCCCTGGGAGGCGAGTGGGGACATGGCTGCTGGTTCTCAGGCCAATGAAGCCAGAGACTTCAGACCCAGGAAACTGTCGCGATTGCTCTCCCTTATCAGCATGAACTCAGCAGTGCTTCCTGTGTTACCATACAAGACCTACGGGGTGGAACTTTAGCTTATATGCATACCAAAGAGGTGTTCTATTGAGAATGGAAGGGGCAGCTGTTCTCGGTGGGCATTCCAAGGCCGGACAGATTTGGACTCATCAGATGAGGATGGGCTCTGAGAACCAGGTTCCTCAGACACTGAGATGAGTAAAGTGGAGGAGCTTATTTCAAGGCCACCCTCCCCAGGTGTTCAGGTGGACTCTGAGAATGGCCATGATCTGCAACTGCAGGGAGGGACATGGGAGAAGAATTCCAGCAGCCAGCCAAGCCTGGTATGACTCCTGATCCCATCATGCAGCATCGGGAGAGACAGGCTAGCCAACTAGAGAGGCAGCGGATGGAGGAGAGGCTTGCCTGCCTCCAAAGGGACCCCCCAGAGGGACGAGTCCAGGGGGACTCAGAAGTAGTTGGCTAGATTGCATTCAACTAACTGCTCTGTGCATGCTCAGAGACTCATTCTGTAGCAGCTGTGTGAACAGAGGTACTCAGAGAATAAAGCACTTTTGCAAAGGAATGGTCAGTAGCTCTGAATGTGTGAAGGGGGCAGCCTAGCTCCAGACTTGTTCTTACCCCGAGTCATAGCCCTTCTCTGCAGTAGTGCCGCTAACTCTCCTTTCAAAACTTTCACATGCAAACACAAGGGGCTTCTCTGAATTGGTGTTTTGCACTGTTCGCTCCATCTTGAGATTCACTTAAGAGTCCCCTCTGCACTTAGTTTATGCTAATGCCAAAAGAAACAAGTCGCAGAAGAACTTCCTTTCCTGCATTTCAAATGGCTTTTCCTTTGAGAGCTTCCATGGAGGACTTGGGAGGATCAGCTTCCCACTACATAGCCTTCACTTTCAGGAAAATATAGTCCTTCTTGCTAACAGGGCTGCAGTGTGAGGAGATTACAAAACCATCGATATATAAAAGTGACACTAGCTTCCAGTGTTTGTTTATAGACTAACTGGTCCAATAAAAGATCTGTTCTGTGTGAGCAACTTGGCTGACAATAATCTGAACTCTTATGAAACTGATTGCCAGTTTTCCCTATTCACAGACAGGGAATGGAGGCTGAAAAATCCAGTTTTGCCAGATTTATTGAAGGAGTCCATTAATTATAATATGAACCTTGGTCTCTTAAACCAGAGCCCGACAGTCCAACCGTGGAAATGCAAGTCAGGCAAATAAGGATTTGGGTTACAGGAGAGAAAGCTCCATGCTTTAATCTCTTTTTGACTCCAGTCATCTCCAAGCATGTATTTTGTTCTTACAAAAAAAAATAAATAAAAGCATTGGAAAGATGCCATTTTCTGTGGCTATCCAGGTGATATGAGATGCTCCTTACAGCCAAACACCACAAAGGTTCAAAGTGAAACTGTGCCAGGGAACCATTAATCCCAGGAATCCCAGCCCATGTACCAAGGATCGGGGAGACAACACCTGCCCTCTGCACTTTACGAATTCACCAGTGCAAGTCCAGTATGACGGCAATAAACATTACCACTCCATCAAGTGTGAAGCGCCTTGACAAACTGGAGGGAGGAAAGACCTGACTGACAGCCTAGAGAGTGCTAATAAGGTAGATCAGAATCAAAGCCAGATTTTTGAAAACAACAACTCTTTTTCAGTGCATATGGCAGAATTGTTCTGAACTGATCTGCTATATGGACAGCTGCCTAGGCTATTTTTATGCCTATAAAATGCTGCCAACCCAGACTCTGGGATGCCTGAAATGCTTCGTGGTTTGAGGAAGATCTACTTTTCTGTTGACATTGGGCAACTGAGATTGGCTCAAGTGGGAGGACACTCTGTGCCTGAACAGTACCTCCTCGAGCAATGCTGTTTAATTCTGCTACACGGTGAACGAGCGACTCAGAAACAATGGTCTTTGATTAAGACACACGTTTGGTACATTATAATGGTTTGCCCCGTGGAAAGTCAACAAAACTTGCTGCAAAATCAAGTATAGCAGCATCTGCTAGCAATTACTGGCTTTGTTCTATGTCTCGTGGAGGCCAGGGATGTAGCAAGGACAAAGAATTAATGGGGGTGTTTTTCTCCATTGGTAAATTTGTTTTCTAATTGTTCGTGTGGCAAGGAATACCTCCCATATGCCAAGGCACGATACTGCCCCACACTCCAAACTGGTCACATGTCTTCGGGATTGTATGTATTTTCTTCAAATTATTTGGAGTGGGCATGGAGGCTCCATACAGAGTTGGTCTCATGACCTGAGTGATCTTGCTAGGTCTGGTATCTTGGAATGGAGGGACCAAATATATAACTGCCCTAGGGGTTTTGCAAGCCAGTCGACCTTGGAATTAGGAATGGGACAAAAAATATTTGGTACCCAGACTAAATGAATATGAATTGTACAGCAATCACCCTTCAGTTTTTCGCACATCTCTGAATTTGTTATGCAGTTCTCTGATTTTTTTGAATGCATACTTTAGGGGAAATTGCATATGAAAATGTAAATATCAGCTCCTTGATAGAACCTTAGCCTCCTGAAAGAAAGAGTCAATGCCTGGACATTTCCCTCCTGTAATTCCTTCTCACACAGTAACTGGGAGGAACAGGAAACATTAGCAAGAATGTAGCACCACTCAACAGGTCAAACTGAACATAGCATGGAAGATCTATGGATGAAGAGGATCCCAACAGTTTCTAAAGTCTTCACAGGAATTGCAAATGAGATTTGGAAGAGGACCACTGTTGGAACTGCTCGTTTTAACCCTTGGTCTTCCTACTCTGTTGTGGATTTCTCCGCTGGGGTGCTGAGAATGCTTTCTAAAACTTCAGGTGATCCTCTTTCTGGGTCTCTTCCATCATGTTAGTTCACCTCTCCCCAGATTAAATAAATAGTAGCCTGATTGGCCATGGGGGTGGGGGCATTCAGGTACCATGATCACCCCCCAAAATGCATAACAGAATACCTTAGTCTGTAATGTTGTGCTCTTCTAGGAGACAGGGCTTGCTTTACAATCCCTCATCACATATTACAGAACTGAATATAACCCCATGACCCTTCGCTTTAGCTGGACCAAACCCACACTGATGTTCTACATAATAATGAAACCAGCACATTTGGAGCATCCTGGATTATCGTGCTAAAAGAGAAGTGGCTTTGCACAAGAATTTTTGCACAGACTCATGATTTTGATGTCATGTCATTATTGGAAGACCTTCCATTTATCACCCATTTCTGACTTAGTGAAGACAGATACTTAACTGATATTAAGAGCTGTGATACATAAGCACCAAGATTGCACATGTGGAAAAAACATTACAAGATCAACACTTTTTTTTTGCTTCTAATTTGTTCTTAAATTCTACAAATTGCTGAAAGAAATCCAGAAGAGCAAATTCAATACATTCCCTCCTTTTATCTTTTCCCCGCTGGAATGGAACTTGGCTGAACTCATTACCAAAGAAATTCAGCTTTATTTATTTATTTATTTATTTATTTATTTATTTATCCAAAAATGCAGTGACATTTTCCAATATGAAAATGTTGACTTCCTTATATTTACTTTGTTCTTGGATCAATATATATTGGAATTTCTGTACTTAAGTATTATTTGGCACAGTATTTGACTTTAAATGTGCTAGAAGAGGCTGGACAAAACAGCTTTAGGTACAGTGTGATGAAAAGCGAAATTCTATGGGACACGAGGCAGAGTCTAGACAGCCATTGGAGAATCTGAAGATGGAGATGTTTGGAGATGTTTAAGATCACTAGTTGTGATTTCACATGTCATAACTACCTTCTCGATTTATCATGCGATACAAGAAATCCTTTTGGAAGCAGAAAAGGTTTGTGGTTTTGCATCCATAGTATGGAATTTATTCACCTTTTGACACCGTTACTCAGAAAGCAGAACCTGCACACCGGTTCTTCCTAGCTAGAACATGTCGCTAGCTCAGGACACATAATTATTCATGGCCTGAAACACAAAGGAGGTGAACTGTGCCCTTCCAGCCCAGTCTCCGAAGCCAGCGCTGACAAAGGCTTGTGACAATGCAGCAAGCTCTCTTTAGGTTCCTTTCCTTTTGTTTTCCTTTCACAGCAGCTAGTTGATGGACTTGCCCCAGAAATGAGGGATTACTAAATCTGATTACAAATTTCTCTTGGTCTTTTGGGAGTCTTTGTAGCATCTTTCAATTTTTCCTTCACAATTTTCTATTTTCTTTGCAAGAGGAAAACTTCAAAAAGTCACCTAATAATTACCATTGAAACCTGCTGTGAACGGTAATTAACAGCCTCTGGACAACCCTGAAACTTTGTGTTCCTACTAATTTAGGTGTGGATTTCAAGGACGCTGGCTTTTAAATGAAAAAAATCACAGTGCTTTAAGTGTATTTCCTGTTCTCCCACAGCCACCCTAGCAAAACTAATGAAAAAAGAGGAAGAATGTAAACAAAGGGTTTTAAATGTGTAGTCCCCCCCCCGCTCCAAAAAAGTACTTTACTTTCTTCTTTGAATGTAAAGGAGGGGTTTTTTTTATCAAGATAGTTTCTTTTGTTTTCACAGCATAATATTCTTTGTTCTACATTCTTTCCCAGCTTCCAACCAAAAATAAAAAGACAGCTGTATTCTATTTTGATGGCTGAATCTTATTTAGTTAAAATAAAATGTGATCCATGAAGAAGTAGTTCTGAATTACAAAGATGGCCATACAACCTACCATTTTTCTGAGCAGAAGTGTGTTCAGTTGAAGGAGGCCATCTTCATGGTACCTAGGTTTTCAAAACTGGAGGCAGAATCTCTGGCCAATCAGAATTTCCATCATCATATGGGAAACCAACACAGTCCCTGCCTTTTTCATATATTCAGAATCGAAGAGAGGGTTCAAATCCACTCTAGGTATCCCCAAATTGTGTGAGAAGTTGCTCATTTTATACTCTGGACATCACCTTGAGCTGGGATGCTCAGTGTTTACATTTCAAAAAGAAAGGAAACCTACAGTTCCATTGGAGCCAGACAGAAAAACAGGGTCTGAATTTCACAAAGTGAGTGAAAGGCCAAATTGCCATCTGGGAGAAAAGGAGACAGTGAAAGAAGGGGGGGAGAGATACAATATTGCCTTACCTTGCACTGTAAGGAAAACAGATGCCACTGTGGATCCACCTTCATTAGCAGCCACGCACCTGTACTCGCCAGCATCTGAGAGTTTGACTGCTTTGACTTCAAGAGAAAGATTGCTCATCATTTTGATTCTGGCGGGCTCCAAAAGTTTCAGATCTCGGCCATTTCTGTGCCAGGTGAGATTGTAACTCACCGTGCTCACCGCTAAGCATGTCAATATGGCTCGATCACCGGGTGTGACCGTGACATTATTAGGCACCTTCACGACAGGTGGAGGTTCTGTGGAGGAGAACAGAAGGACAAACAGAAGAAGTATCTACAGGTACAAGGCACAAGAAAACAGGAGCAGAAGCACAAATGGGAAGCCGTCTTGAAGCACTCCATGGAGTGGGTGTCCGAGCAAATGGATCAACCGTCAACCATCAACCATTAAGAGCATCATTGCGTCTTTTCTGGAATTACACATCTGCATGGAATAAGATCTTGTGCAAAAACTGGATTCTTAAAAAGTCACCTCTATATCCCCCCAAACTTTAAAGGGAATCACGTTTCTCCCTCATATCATCAAATATACTGTCAAAAAATAGAGTCTATATCCTGTATTCTGGGTTTAATTATGGCTGAAACACTTACGTTCTAGTTTTCCTGTCTTAACTCTCTACCAATACCCTCCCCAAGTTATATACCAGAGCTATCCTTTTTCCACCCAGCTTCCAGACCTCCATTTTTTTAAATGAAAAACTCTTATTTCAGCCTCAGAATAAACCATACAAATACAGCAGTATTTCACATTCCAAATAAAAAAATTATGGATTTGCATTCATTTTTCTGAGCTCAGGGTTAGTTTTCCGGCAGCCAAACTTGGACATCCTTTTCAACAGGCTTCTATATTTTTTTGTATTGTACAGACCAAGAGCTCATTCCTTTCCAGGTGATACTTCTCCACATTCAGGGGATCCTGCCATCGGGGGTAACTAACCGAGCTAACAAGCATTTAACATTGCAAAGCTTGAGTTAGTTGCAAGGTGGAAAAGAAAAGTTTCAAGGGCTTGGCATTTTTCCAGTGGAGGAAGATCAAACTGATTCCACTCATTCACACAAGTGAAAATAATCATCTTTGATCTACTGTATCAGAAGCTAGTAAGTATAAACGTGAGAGGTGATGAACAGAGAAATCAGAACAGGGAAACCATTATTATTATTATTATTATTATTATTATTATTATTATTATTATTATTATTTGCTATTGGCAAAACTACAAGCCCAGATGTTAGCTGTCAGTGTCCCTGAGCCTAGTGAAAAGGAAAAATAGACATACATCCAGGAGGCAACGCTGCACTCGCTTAGGCAAAGAAAGTCCCACCTTCTCCAGCACAGCTCGCTAGGTAGTTACAGGCATCATTAGGCTCGTTTCTGGTTAAGTACACATACAATTGGTCCCTTAAATTAATATCTGTTTTGGCCCTAATTTCTGCTAATAGAGGCATGCTTCATGGATCAGTTAAATCCTCCTTTTTATAAGGCCAACTAATATAGTGGTCAGCTATTTCCTTTTGTCTTTGAGTCACAGCACAACTTGGAAGGCTCTGCTGCATCATTTTCAAGTTGGTTTTATGAAGTCATATTTGAATTACTCAACTGGCATCAGATGAACTTCTTTGGAGAGGAAGGAAGAAATGGCACGAACCTGACACATCCAAAAATGTCTGTGCCCGTCCGGTGCCTGCATGGCTGCTAGCGATACATTCATAGTAACCCTCATCCGAGAGAGACACCTTGGCAAGCTCCCAGTTCACACTAGCAGATTCTCTGCAATTGAAAAAGAAAGTCTTGTGTAGCATTTGTAGAACAGGACAGAAGAGAAACTAAGTTGTGGGCGTGTTGGGTTGCTAAACTGCCATCTATTCTTTTCCACCTTCAGAGTTCAGTGAGAGTTGCAGAGATCTGTACCCAAATGTAGACACTTCAGATGGTGCAAAACAGAGCAGCCAGGTCGCTGACGGGGACTGGGCATCATTCTCACATAACCCCAGTCCTCTACCAGCTTCACTGGCTCCCCATCGAAGTCCGGGCTCAATTCAAGGTGCTGGTCATCACCTATAAAGCCCTTAATGGCTTGGGACCTGGATACCTGAAGTAACGCCTTCTTCCATATTTGCCCTCCCGCCCCTTGAGATCGGTGGCAGAGGCCCTTCTCCGGGAACCCTCTGTGAAAGACATTGGGAGGGTGGGCACCCTGAGGAGGGCCTTCTCTGCGGTGGTGCCCCACTTATGGAATGCGCTCCCCAGAGAGGTCCGCCTGGCGCCGTCATTATTTGTTTCTAGGCGCCAGGCCAAGACCTTTCTATTTAAACAATATTTTAATTGCTGATTTTATTTATTGGTTTTAAATTATTATGCCAAGATGTTTCCAGTTTTTATATATATTTGTATAGATATTTATTTGTTGGAAGCCATCCCGAGGCTTATGCAAATGGGACAGCATACAAAAAATCTAAATAAATAATAGACCAGAAGGACATGGAATGCAAAACTAAAGTCCATTGGTTGCTCATGGCATTTGGCAGAAGGCAAAGTAAAAGGATCTAGAAGCCTCACCACCCACAGTCCTCACTAGACGAGGTCCCACCCACAAGCAGTAGGGGCTCCCAGGCTAAACCCCTGCATGCAAATCTCCCATCCTGCTGGTAGGATCCTGGAGGCAGCAGGTTGGCCACTGGGTGTGAATGGAATGCTAGACTAAATAGACCTGGGTCTGATCCGGCAGGGCTCTTATGTTCTTGGTGGCTGACAATAATGGCACAAGGAGAACAACTCTGCTTGTTCTTTAAATGCTTCCTTTACCAAATAAAACCCCTTTGGCTATTCTGCAAAGAGAACAAGGAGCTCAGCCACAACTGTATATACAAGACTGCTAAATTAGAATGCACCCAGCTTGCAGCACCAAAAGCATCTAAATATGCCAACACACGAAGTGTCCACTTTTTTAAAAGCTTTATAAGTTATTATCCATGCAATTATACCATCTGTTCCATGTGCAAACTTTTACAGTAACGTCTGCATAGAAGCTGGCTTGGAAACCATTAACAAATTGAGAGACAACTCTCGTGAACAGTAAAGACTCAAAGACAGAGTTTTAATGGGTTGCTGTAAACCTCTCAGAAAGTTTCAGGTGTTGGGTGGTGTAGAAGTTAAATAAATAAATGATCATGATGGTTTAAGTCAATGGTGAGGAACATCAGGTCCACCTTCGTGAAGTCCCAGCCTGGCCTGCAGGCTTCTCCCACTATGGATGGTTCGGATGGTCTCCAGGCCTTCGTGCAGCTTTTGCTCCATTCTAAAAGGTTGATATGGCTCTCCTAATACTTCCTTGCTGAGCATAAGTGCTTTAAGGTATACTAGGTTGGTATTTCTTTTGTACATTTGGTCCCTGCTTCATTGCATTTAGCCCTATACTCCACCAACACGCGAAACTCAAGAACTTTCCCCAAAGTTCTTGCATGCAGTTGTCCCATGGCCCGAGACAGATTCTCCACTCCTGGTTGAACTATTATAAGGAAAGTGGAACCATCCAACTTTGGCATATTGTAGAAGTAAAGCAGAGCCATGCTAATTACATTTCATACGGCATTGCATAATTAAACATCACATATAACCACTGACCAAAATGTTTTTTGAAGGACCCCTCTGCCCACACTATTAAAATGTTATGCCTGCCTTCACTTTAAATCAAGAGAGACCAGTATAACACATAAAAAGCTGCACTACAGAGAAGCCAAGATAAATCTCATTACTTAAGATGATGTTCTCAGTCCATAACCTCTTGCTACTGACATCATCCACATATTCTGCTCAGTTCAAAAGTCAGGTAACAAGATATGAAATGAATTAAGAGAGTGGGGGAAAGCAATTTGATCACTGAAATTTGACAGCAGAATTCCAGAACTGGTGAAGCGTGTGCCAACAGTGATTTAATGGGAGTTCATAAAAAGATGGTGTGATACATTGGCAATGGTGTACAGGGAAGGATTACCGAGCACAGCTTGTTAATTGACTAAATAAACAAGATATAGTTACAGCAGAATGTAGGCATCTACTGTCTATATTTTGGAAGTATCAAAACGATGACTCAAGCCCCGCTGTTCCTGTATTTTGAATCCTATTCATGTTTGCAGAAAAGAAAATCCTACAACTGCCAACAGTTATTCAAGAAGCCATGCTGGGAACTGGAAGACTTTTTTTTCCTGCTTAAACTTTGATAGGACCATGTTCTTAGTCACATTTTAGCTGCATGGAAAATCAGTGGGATTGGTTGGTCATGACTACATCCATTAATTTCAATGGAAATAAAGCTTGGCTAACTTAAGCTGGATCTAATACATAATCTATTTTATTTTATTAATTTCTATACCACCCAACAGCCAAAGTAATATAATGATATAATACACTATAATAACTTTCAAAACATCAAGCTTTTCGGAACATGTCACATCCCAAGTTATCTTTGGAAGAACTTCTGTGTGTCACAGAGGAATCTGAGAAGGGTTGTATGCAGCTCATGCTGAGTCGAGGTTAATTTGCCTTATTTTCCCATGCAAATTGTGTCTGCTCATAAAACCAACACTCTGATGAGGCTGTGCGTGGCAGAGGAAAGATCGGGCAATGACAGGCAAGCTGTCCTTTGGCAAACCTTATCATGTAATGATGGCTTCTCTTTAAAGAAGCCACCAAAAACTTCTGAGGAATCACAGTTTTACAGCCGATAGCATTAAAGCAGCAGCAGCAACATTTCCAGAATGAATGATTCCACAAAGACATAAATTATGCTAGAACAAATGAGTTTCCAAAGAAGCCCAGATGACAATGAAATCAAGATTTTTCACTGAACCGGATTGATAGTTATATGAAAGTGTTGGTGAATTAAAACACAGTCCAACATTTTCACATACATTACTGACTACGGTCCAGCATATGAATTATTGGAGCACATACAGAATCGCAAAGTCTCACACAGAGTTTATCAGTATATAATGAAATTGAATGCATATTCTTTCCCTTTCCCCAGCATTAATTGAAAAGACAAAGCCCACAATGAAACTGAGAAGAGGTCACTTACTTGAAAAACTGGTCCATTCCAAGTTGAATTCCATTTCTGCTGAAATGCACAGTAAAAGGTATAAGACTGGCTACGTTACACAGAATGTGACCTGGCTGCAGGTAATATCCTGGGGTTTTCTTGAGCATGCTTACTTTTGGAGCATCTAAAAGAAAAGCCAATCCATTAGATAGTACAATAATATTTCTCCACAATATGCAAGATTGCATTATATCAAGTCACAGGAGCTGGGGAGAAACTGGAAATTCCCTCTCCAAATGACAGTTACTAAATAAATAGACCTCATGCATATAAGGGGGAAAACACTTTAAAAATTACCAGGAATGATATTAGAAAATGAAACACTTGAAACTCTCTGGAAGAGGTAATCATTTTTGTCATAACCAGTTATTTTAAGAAAGAAGGGATCACTGGGTGGAATAAATTCAGTGATATTCCAGATTCCATAAGGTTTTCTCTCGGGGAAATATTTCACAGGAAGGGTCTTCAGAAGGTCTCCGGCGATACTGAGCAGCTCTAGACGGTCCACCCGAGCAGGAAGATGGATCCCTGTAGTGTTTAGCAGAATGTAGGTAGGAATCCCTGTTCACAAAATACAAAGAATTACAGACATGCAAAGCCGGGCCTTTCCAGTTGGACTAAGCAGCACAAATATATTTGGCTTGCTTAGGAAGCTCAACAGCATCTCATTCCCAGTCAGTATTATGCCATAATTCAGAAGCAACCGTGGACAAATGATTCCATCTAACGAACAGGAAAACTTTGGTGCCCACACAGACCGAACAGGCTCTCCCTGGGGAAAACAAGCTGTCACCTTTGCACAGGTCTGCATGATTTCAGATTCATCCTCCCCCACATGTTAATTTTTCACATTTGGGTATCATTGGAAAAATCATCAGACTTTGTTCAGATGTTTCACTTCCTTAGCTATCCGACCCAGCTCCAGCTGAGTGCAAGGCAAAGCAGAGGCAAATGGAAAAGAGCAAAAGGAAAAGGTAGGCCCCTCGTTTTTCCAGTGGGCAAGTAAGGTTGGCTTAGAAATATCTCCCTGACAGTAAAAATTATTGAAATATGCATGAGAGAATCTACTGACCTTGCACTGGCCTGCTGGAAGTCATTCTGAAGTCTAGTGTGGGCTTTCTAGAAAATCCAGCTCTGAAGTCTATAGTACTAAGACCGGTGATACGAACTGAATGGCGTTCACTACTTGATGTCTGCAAAATATTGCAGGAGAATAAATTGTAGCAATCTACATGTGATGTTTTGCAGTCTATGAAAACCTACTGACCTTCTAGACATTAAAACTGTACAAGCAAGTCTCACAGAAATAATGGCACTTATTTCCACATAAACAAGATGACCATCAAGCTTTAAGAATATTAAATAGTAAAGTATTTGACATATTAAAATGCTGCCCAAAGATTTATCAGGAAATTCAGATAAGGCAGGCATTTTGTGAAGCAATTAGTGTTGTTTAGAAGGCTTCTGAGATCCAGTTCTTGAAAAGCGACTGCCCAGTTCCCATTCTCTTAAGCACAATAGAGAAATCTGGGATGAATGCTGAATGGATAACATGTGTGCCCTGTTTGAAGGGGATGAATGTTTGACATTCTCAACAGAGGGGGATGGAGAGTTCTCCAACAGCCTTAGAAGGAAAATATGGTCCCCTAAGTCTTCCAGTGAGCTCCATGGTCAAATGAGGACCAGAATTCCTATCTCCACCATCCCCATCTGAAACTGTAACCATTACTTCATATTGGCTCTCAATAGATATCCTGAACCAAGATTGTGAGATCGAGCTGAACAGTTTAAACATACCTGTTCAAAGCCTTCTAACGGAAAGGTCAGCGCATGCCCATTAAAAGGAAGGGAAGGCATAAGTTGGGGCTGAGAAGAACTGCTAAGATTAATTTTGAATCCATAAATCCCTATCTAATCCTCATACCAGGAATTAAGATGGATGACTTTGGCATTCAATCACGTCAAGTTAAAAAGAACAGGAGTTGTTTTGCCTAGCAAAACCAATACTCAGCAAATGCACTAACATTACAGTAATGTGTGTCTACTCAGAAGAAAGTCCTGCCTGGTTAAATGGAGCTTGTTCTCGGGTAAGTTTGACTAGGAGGGCACCCTAAAAGAAACAGTTGTTTTCCATAAAAGCAAGACTTAGACAATCCAGTCCCTCTGGGCTACTGTGAGGAATCCCTGTGTGTCTTTTTTGGAGCACTGCTATTTATTTATATGGCTTAGCATTTCACTTCAGTAAAATCACCACCCCCAGGGTTTTCTGGCAAAGTGGAGCTGCTGTCAAGATCAATGGAGTAGAGAAAATACTCTTGTTTTTTTGTTAACAGAGTGCCAAAAAAGACTCCTGTTATCAAGCGATAATTGGCTGTTAAGTGTTACTTAGACAAACACAGTGACAAGAGTTCCTTTTTATACTTTTACACAACATCTATGTAGTGCATCTACGATGGGAGGCAACGTTTAAGAAAATTACCCTTTTCCTTCATTAGTGCTCTTACCATTTTATTGCAAAAGCAACTGAATGGGTAAATTATGCCATGTGTAATTACTGGAATTCCAGCAACTGCCCACTCTTTTCCGCAAAGCCAAGGAGGCTTTGAAACTGCAATTTTGCAATCCCGCACAAGGGAAGGGACCCTCCAAAGCAGTTTGCAAACTGGCATTGTGTATGTGTGTGAGGGAGGGCTACGGGAAGCATGGTTTGCTGTCCAAATTGCAAACAGGCATGCTCTCACTAGACATGGTTGAGTCCTTGGGCACACCTGAAGTGGTTGTTGGTCAATACTAGGAGGGGGCAATACTAGGACGTTGTTGTACCATCTAGTCAAGTGCCAGGTAGGAGCCACAAAGGATGGTGGGACATTGGTAGGAACTCACGTGGGCAAATAGCCTCAACGTGTTCTTTTCCTCACTCCAAGGTGAATTTCCACTCTCGGAAAGGCAGCGGTCATGGTTCTTTTTCATTCTGGCTACGAGGAAGCGAAGCTGGGGCTTGGCCATCATAGGGCAAACACCGCTGAGGTTGAAGGACCACAGTGCTGGCACTTCAGAGAAATTTGTGGTCCTCCAGACAATTTCAGGAAGCTCCTAATGTCCCAGACTTAGGTAACAGAAAGAGGTAGAAATGGCTAGAATGCTGAGGTGGACAAATAGGCCATAAAACTTATGGTGGGACAACATGAGTTATAGAGCTCATATTCTTGGAAAGTGAACATATCCTCACACATAGGAAACTAATGCTTCTTGGAGTAGCCTGATCTTGGATTTTCCTTCTAGGATGCTAGTTTTCTTTAAATTGGAGACAGGGGTTCAGCCTCTAGAGTCCATGACAAACTCTAGGCTTCCTCTCAACCTTGGAGCTGTAGAAGAAATGAATGAGCTCTGTCCATGACCCTAAGTTAGGAGGCAGCCTGGGTGTTCATATTGGCTAGGACTTGTTTTATCTAAGTGAGGTTGACCTTGAGAATTGCAAGCAGAAGGACATTTGTAGAAGGGTTTTTCCTTGCATATATGCAGCCCCCAACTCCCTCCAAGAAGCCTCTCAAAACTTTCTTGAATATGGGAATGAGGAGTGGGGAAGTGTGTTTGGGGAGGAGAGAATTGACCAGAATTCAGCACTCAGCCATGTTTATGCAAATAGCAGCACCTAATTTGGGTGACTCATCCTCATGATGCAGCCCACACAATATAGGAAGGTGCCCTGACCTCTGGAAAGCCCCTGCTTGGAGGACAATAACAAAGGAGAAACCAACAAAGCCCTTTCTGTGAAATTTCTTCTATCCTGTTATCTTTATGTATGTAGTTTGTAAAGCGATGGCTGGCTTCAATTGTCCTGACTTAGAATGCAAACCACCTTGATGTTCCAGACATGCAACAAGCAAATTTGGGTTCAATTTCTGAGAGTGCACTTTTGTTTTCAATCTTTTCAGAACACTTTCATAAGGTTGCTTTCCCCTCCATGCTACAGGATTCTGTGTGATAGAAATTCAGCCCAAAATATGGTTAATCAGTCTCACACCAAACCACAGTGGAACGAGTTTAAGCAGTCAGAGAGAAATACGTCTCTCTCAGAAAAGGACTAGCAATGCCTGAAAGTGCTTGTACACATCATTGCAAACAAGCAACCCACCTCCTCATAATGTAATTGAAAATAGTTAAATCTAAGCAGCTCCATCCAAGTAATTACAGTGACAGGGCTTTGGTTCTTTTTAGAAAATTGAATTAAAGGCCTCAGATACACTGGATTTCATGCATTTTTGTTATATGCAAACCTGCAGTCTGGCTTAGGGTGGTGTTTAGTTTTAAGAAAGTATGTACATTTTGTTTATATGTTACTATAGCTACAGATGGCTTTATGTTACAAGGGTGTAACTCATTAAACTGGACTGATTCTGTCTTTCTTTATTGTTACCCTTCTCCACCCAATCAACTGGAATTGGTTTGGAAACTGGGTGAGCAGCGAATGGTACCTCATCACATCACCTTTTGAATAAATATAACATCCAACAGACAGCTCTTTTATTTGTAGTTGCTACAGTTCTGCACACAATTCCAATTACATCGCTCTCGCTGAACTCCATGGTAAATAGCAGGAGTGCTAAACGTAGAACTGTAGCTGGTAACTGCAAATACATCCTGTTGATTTCTGATTCTTTTCTGCCTTTGCACCCCATTTTCTTTCTCTCCTTAAAGAAATGGTTCATTTAAATCTAACTGGCTGGAAGATTTCTGATCCACCTTCCAGCAGAACAAGAATGTAAGAGCTTTCTGATGCTCTGAATTTGCTCTTTGGAGATTGAGTTCATACGCATTTGCATCTAATCCCAACTTTAGTTTCTTTCCTGAGGTCTGCAGTTCCAGTGTTCCCTATAACAGGGGTGATATTGAGGAGTAATTACATGTAATTCCATTACTAAAGCTGCTGCTCCTGCATGATCCCATGGCAAATTAAAAATGAGTGGCATAATTAATTTGATTGCAAAATGTGACTTTTTCTAGTCAGAGATACTAAAGCTTTAATTAAGTGCAAATGTCTGGAAGCACACCACTGTATCACAGACTTCTTCCATCTGTCCCTGCAGAAGCAAAAATTCTGAACGTATCAGAATTTATTTGTGGTTGCAAAAGAGTTGAGCAGGCCCTGTTCACAATCCTGAACACAAGCATGAGCAGAAGAATGTGTCCTTCAGAAACATTCTCAAATACCTGCTCACACTTCAAAATTGCCGACATTTCAGAGAAAAAGCTGTTTGAATTTGCACAACTAAGGGCAGCAAGAGAAGGGCAACAAATAGGATTGCGGGGCGGAAGCTGCTCCCTGGGAGCAGCACCTACAACAATTGCGAGTGTTCAACTTAGGAAAAAAAGCAAGTGAGGGGAGACATCATGGAGGTGTTAAAAATAATGCATGGTATGGAGAAAGTAGAGAGGGAGACCTTTTCTTCCATCTCCCGTAGCAACTCAAACCTGGGTTCATCCCATGGAGCTGATTGGTAGGTGGTTCAGGAAGTACTGCTGAAGGAAGTACTTATTCATGCAATGCCATTTTGGGATGCATTCACAGAAGAATTACTTCCAAATCACAAGTAGTAGTTCCTCTTTACTCCTCACTAGTCAGACCTTGTCTGGAATACTGTGTCCAGTTCTGGGCACCAAGATTTAAGAAAGATGCAGGGAAATTAGAAAGGGTCCAGCAGAGGGCAACAAAAATGAACCAGGGTTTGGAAACACTGCCCTGTGTTGAGAGATTAGGAGAACTGGGCATGTTCAGCCTTGAGGAGAGAAGACTGAGGGGGGAACATGATAACCCTCTAGAAGTACCTCCAAGGCTGTCCCAAAGAGGGAGGTCAAGATCTCTTCTTGCTGATGCCAGAGTGCAGGACACGGAATAATCAAGTCAAGCTGTGACATCCCAGATTCAGGCTGGGCATCAGGAAAAGCTTCCTCACTGTCGGAGCAATATGGCAGTGGAACCAGCTGCCTGGAGAGGTGGGGGGCTCTCCCACACTGGAGACATTCAAGATGCAACTGGGCAGCCACCTGAGTGGGATGGTGTGACTTGGTGTCCTGCAACAGCAGGGGTTGGACCCGATGGCCTTCATGGCCCCTTCCAACTCTCCTACTCTGACAGTTAAATTATGGGATTCACTGCCAGGGGAAGTGGTGATGCCTGCCAATCTGGATGGCTTTAAAAAGGGACTGGGGAGATTCATGAGGCGACCAGTGCTTACTAGCCTTGCTGGCTGAGCGCTTCCTCCTTCAGCCAAAGAGGCATGCCTATATACATCAGCCTCTGAGGAGACTGGACAGGAGGAGGCCCTGCACCCATCCTGCTGGAGGGATCCTGTGGGCAGCTGGTTTCCCACCATGCATACGGAGTGCTGGGCTAGATTGGCTTCGGGTCCAATCCAGCAGGACTTCCCTCATGTCCTTACTTCACTACACTGTGGTGCTGGCTGTAATCTTTAACCGAGTACTTTCTACAGTTGGAACAAGGGGGAGACACAACTCAGCATCAAGAGCCTTTAAGTAATTAAAGCTTGTATGTTTTGGCTTGGGGAGCTGTGTGTGCTTGGGGAGCAGCAGTGGAGTGTGGAATAATTCCGTCATGCTTGCACTGTGCTCTTGGAATCACACGAGCCACAAATATCACCTAGAGACGACTCCACACTGTTCAGGAGCAATGGCAGGGGTCGGCTCATTTGCGTAATAATGCACATCACAGGCGTTTCTTCTGCTTCACTGGGGTGGTGACAGACTTACGTCTCTGTTTGTCCAGAGAAGCTAAAAAGGCATGGAATCAAAATTCCTGTCCTTGGGCTTCGTTGGCCTATGTTTAATCTCCCGGTCTTCTCACCAGACACATAAATGTTGTAGCAGCTTTGATCGCTTTGTGGCTGAATCCCACTCCAGAAAGAAAGCACTCAACTGAGAATGGCTCTCACTTTTCCAATACAGACCTGGTTGGCTTCAGCCCTGAAAGGACATGAAAGCCAAGGAGAAACCCACCCATATGTCCTGGATTGCCCAGAAGGTCACAACTTTCCTGAAATTCGGGTCCAAGGTTGTTTATGCTGATTCCTCCCTGAGATAGCCTTAGTTTTTTCCAAAGATACATTTTATGCAGTCCACAGTTTAAAGATGTTACTACTACACTGTATTCACTAGACTTTTCTATAGACTTACTCTGTACCCATTGTTTCTGCTCTATAAAACCCATGTTGGAACAATGGAGAAAGGACATTGATCTTTATCAAATGTTTGTAAACCTTGTTCCCCAATATTTCTTGGTTTAAGGTTCCTAAATGCTCCAGATATCTTGCCAATCTGTCCCCAAGAACTGTTGTGGGGTTTTTTGTTCCTCTCAAGGATCAGATTTAATCACGACACATTGCAATTCTGGAAGGATGATGCCAGGGTATTCCATGTGAAAAGCCTTGTCGATACGGTAATCTAGTAGTCAAATCCTTGGAACATTTTTAATGAGGTCTTCTCAGTGAAGAACATAATTATTATCCCTGTTTGGGCCAAATGCCCTGCAAGGTCACTGAGATGGTATCAGGATCATTTCCTGGCTGGCAGAAATCGGCCAACAATGGAGTGATTGGCTCTGTTCCTCTTTTTCTGAAATATGATCTCACAAGATGATTCTTGCACCTCCATTGTAATCATTCATCTTTTTCGGTGGTATTTTTAAGCAAGTGCATGTTTCAAATATTATGTTTTTACTGTACCATTGGTACTGTTTTATGGTTCTGGTGCCACACAATAAATATTGATTGATTGCTACTGCAAAACAGTGAACTAAAACGATAGGATTTAAACATCCCTTCAGCATATGGGACCACCTTTATCCTAACAATCCTAATAAAAGAGAGTTTTAAAGGGCTTCATCTTAAATCAGGGTGGGCAGAAAGTCCAGGTGTTTCGGACTTCAGCTTCCAGAATTCCTGACCACTGGCCATGCTAGCAGGACATTCTGGGTGTTGGTCTGAACCATGTGGACATCTATCTTTTGTCCAGCCTGCAAAACAACGAGAAGGATGTTGTTCTATCAGTGTGTGTAGCCTGCCTTGAACCTTTAATACAGAATTATAGCATACATGTGGGAAACTGACTGCATCATCACCATAGCAACAGTACCTTAATTGTCCACATCCCAGGCTCAGGGTCTTTTATGTTCACTACCTTAGCAGAGTTTTCGATATTGAGCAACTCGTTCAAGCCAGATCCTTTCTTTAAAAGTTTACCTGCAACAAGGGAAATGAGAAATAAGACTATTATATTTACCAGTTACCTCAAAAATGGGCCAATCTCTTATTCTGGACCGTTTGACAACCATACACACTCTCTGAACATCTAGAGCATGTTCCATTACCACAGATCTATCATAGTGTGGGCATCCTGGCACTGACGGGGCAGAGATCTAACAAACCTCCAGCAAATCTGTTGCGGTTCTTTCGGCTCTTTTGCTGTTTGCAGCATGCTAGGAGAAGTGGAATGACACGTCAAGCCAACTCAATCAAATCACACGCGTGCACAAATTCCCTTTGACATTTCATTACTCCTGTGAGTAATCCACTCACAGAGATATTCATTCATTCATTCATTCATTCATTCATTCATTCAAAGCTTTTGTATCCCGCCCTTCAGAGTGTCTCAGGGTGGCGATAAAATAAATAAATGAGATACAGCATTGAGATAATAATATATAAAATCAATCTTAAAAACAGTATTAATGTTTAAAACAATGGGAAAATAAAAAGGCTTCAGCCTGGTGCCAAAATGAAACAGTGTCAAGCAGCTTTTCCTCTCCAGGGAGCCGATTCCATAGACGGGGCGCCACTGCAGAGAAGGCCCTTCTCCAGGTAGCCACTCTTCTGATCTCCTTGAAAGAGGGCTCCCGAAGAAGGACCTCTGGTCCAGATCTCAGAGGCCAGGGAGGTATATATGGAAGGATCCACTCCTTCAAATATCCATGCCCTAGGCCATTTAGGGCTTTATAAGTCTTTACTAACATCATTAGATATTTATATGGATAAGCACCCTGAGGAATGGCCCAAGTCCTACAAAAGAGAATTACCACTGAAAAAGTACAGATTATTCAAGACTGTTTCCCAAACTCCCAATAGTTGAAGGGTGATTATTTCCTGAATTACAATTTACAGAGAAAGGAGACGACGAATCATACAGAGACACAGGGAACAACCTTTTCTGTGGATTAGTCCTTCGGTTTGCAGGTAATCCATTTCCCACTGTGCAATAGTAGTTCCCTACTATTGTGTGTTCCAGCACACAACTGAGGGATTACTAATTTACAGTACAAAAGATGCTCCCAGGTGAATTCCAGTAGCGAACTAGTAATAAGGTGCTAACAGAGACATGGATGCCATTTGTACTGTCCAGGGTTTATCCTGGGATAGCAATACATGGAAAATAATTTTAGAGCAGGCTTCTTGGAAGACTATGTGGATTTACAGTGGGAGACTCTACAAATAGCTATGGATACGGCTTCATCTCTGACTTTTAAACAGTGGGAGGAGCTCTGCCATTCAACATGCTTCTAAGCTAACTTCTGATAGAAGAAATAGTCCTTTGGCCAATGTCCAACTGCTAGTCTGGTCACCTTTTGTGCAGGGAAGGGATGCCGGCTTATCTATCACCTCAAATAGCAAAATACCTTAGATCGGCCCTGTCTATTGTACAAATGTGTGCTGTTTTTATATCACCTACACAGGCATGGCTTCTCCTAAAGGATCACGGGAATTTCCATTTGCTTAGGTGCTGAGAATATAAAGCCCTCACCTAAAGGATCATGGACTTCAATCTCTGGAGAAGGACCACTCAGGGACACTGTGACCTCTTTCAAGCTAGGGTCAAAAGGTATTTGCCAGGTGTTTGCTGCTGATTCCAGTTGGTCCGTGGACAAGAGATGAACTTTGGAAGCCTGTACAGCTTCTTCTACCCATTTCAGAACCTGCAAGAAACAAGGATATCAACAATTGTACTGTAGTTCAGTGAATGTATCTCTTGCTTTGCAGAAAAATACCCAAAGTACACCACGGCTAGATTCTTCAGCAGTCATGAAACAGCTGCCCAACAGACCAAGGCCCCATTTCCTACACCAACGCACTGCACCTCCAGCCAAAGCCAAGCCCACATAGTCTGCAAGCCGTGCTCACCAAGGCCTAGAAGCAGCTTCTATTGAGGACTATCACCGAGACCTCGGGATCACCTGCCTCTGCCCCATTCCTTTCACCCAGCATGATTTATCTTTGGAGTGTTGCCACTTGTACCATGTAATTTCCTCACAAGTCTTTGAATTCCAACTTTCTATAGAAATCAAGCAATAAATTCATGTCAGTAGGTCTAGCCTTGAGGACACCTTTGAAACTATTCAGCTTTTAAAAATAGACACATTAACAGTGTCTCATAAATCCCTTTAAAATGAAAGTGGGGACAGCAATGAAAGCAATTAGGGTAAATGCACTAGGAAGTTTCCGAGGAGGTCCATGGTTCAAGGTTTCTCTTGGTTCTAAGCAAACTCTTTCCGCCTGTCATTGGCAGAGCAGTAGTGCGAGAAGCCCACTTGAACCTCAGCAATCATCTTCTAGTCCAGCCAATTAAATCACATTCTCTCAGACAGCTGCAGTGAGAATGCAATCCACTGCATTGGTATCTGGAGATAAGATGCCCTGTATTCAATGGGGTTTTTCCCAGGTATAAGTTCATATGATTCCAGCCTTGGGAGGCTCTCAAAAGACAGCACATTTCAGAGCTTCACAAGTTCTTCCCGTGATCTACCCCAGGAATAGACATCCCGGTGCCCTCCAGAGTGGTGGACTACAACACCCATAATCCCTGAGAATGGACCATGGGAGTTGTAGCCCAAAACATCAGGAGGGCTCCAGATCACTTCTCCCTGGCAGGGGGATCTCTGTATACTTGTCTGAAGTATGTTAGTTCTGTCCCGACTCCATCCAATCTTCCAGGCTCTTCCAAGTTTCACCCCAACTTCCCAGGCTATGCCCAAGCTTGCCTTGATGCTCCACGCCCTGGTTCTGTTCAGGAGGCCACTGTGCCTACAGTCACAGCTCAAGGATCCAGGTTTTCCCCACAGCTGCCTATGTTCTTGTTGCCTGTGCAACAGTTGACAGAGCACAGAGGTTTCTGCAACGTGCTTTTCCAGTTTGGGTTCACCTCCCCTGGCTTTCCAACGCAAGTGAGGCCGAAGGCTCCAAGGCTAACTACTCCATGAGACACTTGCCAGGAAGCTGAAGCCACACATGTCCCAAACTTTTAAAAAAATAGACTGGAATTTGTGTTCATAAACTTTCATTAGTTACATGTGTCTGGGAATTCCTTTGTTTTTGGACAGGTCTTTGCACATGTAACAGAATGCAATTTCTTACACTCCTTTAAATGCACTTAATAGTACCCCAAATTTTTTGGTGCGGGAGTCAGTAGGGAAGGAAATGAAGCGAACGCAACAAAAGCCAATTTGTGGAAGTACATATTAACACCAATGTGCATTTGTGCATTAGAACAAGTTGAACAAAGCAGTGATTAAAAAGGAAAAAAACCTCTTGAGCAAGCAATGGAATGAAAGCTGGATAACAATCCATAATAACCAGAGAGATTGGACTGAACAAAATTCCTACCTCACTATTTATATTGCACAACAAGAATAACTAAACAGCAGCCTATAACTGGTAGAACATCAAGATATTTAAAGACGTGTGGTCATAATTCATTCCCCTCAATGCAATTTTAATTCATTCAGGAACATTTCAGCAAAAAACAAATAGCTAGAAGAGTGGCTATAATAAAGCAATACAAGATCACCACAATATTCCAACAATGTATTTCATAAACAGAACACAATTCAGCTATCAATCAGATTAGCAATAAAACACTGACAACGGCTTGTAAAATACTCCCACAGCAGGTCTACAATTTAAAATGCACAGGATGAGGCTCATTAGAAAATGCACCGCAAATTCCCACTCATGAGGGAAATTATTTCCACATCTGTTCACTTCGGTATAACGAGCAGTTCATGATCAAATATCTTGTCTTCACCACTTACACTAAGAGCAGGCTAAATGATCAGATATTGCCCACCAGCATTGTTCCAGTTGTTGCTGTTACACGCTGCAAGTCCTGTCTTGCTAACTTTTCAGAGTTTGGTGAGAGTATCAACATGGATGGGGACAGAGGAAACCGGGTAGATACTGCTGAGCTGGACTTCTCAAAGGCTTTTGAGAGAGTTCTTCACCAAAGGTTACTGAGCAAAATGAGCAGTCATGGATTAAAAAGGGGGAGTTCATCCTATGGATCAGTGACTGGTTAAAGAACAGAAATCAGAGAGTGAGAATAAATGGTAATTTATCCCAAAGGAAAGAGACAAGCAGTGGGGTCCAACGGGGTTCTGTATTTTATTATTTATTTATTTAGAAAATTTCTATGCTGCCCCATTCTCTGAAGCCTCAGGGCAGCTCACAAATATATCAATTAAAATATTGTACAATAAAAATATAAAACACCAATTAGGACCAATTGGTGTTAGGATTAGGTATTAGGACCAATGCTTTGTAATCTATTAGGTATAAAAATATAAAACACCAATTAGGACCAATTGGTGTTAGGATTAGGTATTAGGACCAATGCTTTGCAATCTATTAGGTATAAAAATATAAAACACCAATTAGGACCAATTGGCGTTAGGATTAGGAATTAGGACCAATGCTTTGCAATCTATTCATAAATGATCTAGAATAAGGACTAAGCAGTGAGGTGGCCAGGTTGACTGAGGATACCAAACTATTTAGGGTGGTTAAAACCAAAAGGGATTGTGAGGAGCTCCAAAGGGATCTCTCCAAGCTGGGAGGATGGACATCCAAGTGGCATAAGGCACATGAAGCCCAACAAAACCTCTCAACCACAAAACTACGCAAGTCCTTCTGTTCCCTTCCGTCTGTCAAAATCAGAAGAGTCAAGATTGTTAAAGCAGTGGGAAGCTTAGTCCATTACAGCATTCCAACTCCGCATTTGTTACATACGATCTGAAGTTAAAATTTATTCCAGACACAAGAGGGGTTTTTGTAATAACAAACAATCCCATTAATGCTAACTGATCCCAGACCTTTGCATCAAGCATTCTGGGTTGTTTTGGATAAGCACCATACATATATGGACCGTTTTTAATGTCACTAAAATGAGGTGCCATACTTTTTCCTTATCAGCTATTCACAGATGTGAAAGAGAGCACTCACAGCAAGCATGTTTCTGTGGAACTGATGAAATTTCACACCAAGAATACATAAATATTGTATTCAGGGACACGAGAATGCAAAGATGTTATTTGTTAAAATGGAATGCGTTTTCTCTGGGCTTGTCTGTTCGTTTATATTGCTGTCATTCTCCCTTAGTTATTTCCTTTTCTCCTGCGTGATCCCCAATGCATGGAAGAACGGACTTGAACGCTCATTTCAAATACTAATTCGGCCAAGTAACTCCTGGGCACTTGTGGACAACTGGCTGCTGCCCCTTTGTCTCATGTTCACTACACTTGTCCGCTTCGTGTGCTCCTTTAGAAGACACGAGGAAATGAAATAGTGGGAAATTCTAATGGGTGTTTGATTGGGAGATTTAATCTAAAGACGATGTTTCCCAGTTAATAGCCAAACTGTTCACACTTCTTGCCTCTGGCTTTGAAGAGCTCAAGGGCCAGTTCTGAGATGCAATTTCAAGGCCAGTTAAAGCTCAGCAGAGAAAAGATCTAGTAAGTTGTTTTAACTTGAATCTGAGAAAGGCTTCTCTTGGTAGGTTTGGATTGAGTGGGTATGTCTTTGGTTCTTCCCTAAGAAGAATACAGATGCATTGACAGAGGGAAGTCCAGTTTGATGACTGGAAGCAGACCAGGTTGGGCTTTTTCCTGTGGACTTCCAGTGTAAGATGGGCTGCAGTTTGCACATTTGTAACACTTAGGAAATATGCATAAATTGCACTGCTCATTCCATTTGCACAAATTTATGCAATTTGCGCAAATCACAGTATTTTGCAAGTTTTGCCCCAGTCAGCACCTGGGAAGTACATAGTCATAGCATATTTTGCATACGAGTTATGGAAGCAATCTGCCATTTGTACAGATTGTGGTAGAACTACATATTTTTCACTTGCCGATTTGTACAAATCAGCTAAATTTTGTGTAAATTTCCTTAGCATTTTTTCTTGATTTATTTCACAAATCATGGCCCATCTTAGCAGCAGAGGTCTGTGAGCTGGCTCAACCCACACTGCAGCAAGTCAGCATGAGGGCAGGACTAGGAAACTAGAATAATTGGTGGGGGGGGGGGCTGAAAATAATGGAAATTCATCAGATTTTTACCCCTTGTTGGATTTGCTCTGCCAAATGCAGCTCTGGGAAAGAAACTCAAGAACTTTGTGACCCGGATAACTCACTCTTCCATCCTTCCAGTAGAAGAGGAAAGAAAATATTCTAGATCATTGTCTAGCTATGAAGGTGGTACCAATATAAGAGATCTTAATTCCAGGGCTCTGGGCTACACTTCCTGGAAGATGGGCTGGTGGCAAGAAATATGTTGCCCCTCAGCAGGACTGGAAAGGATGTATTTGGCTACAGCATGAAGAAATCCACCAGGAGGGCTTGGAACTGAACCCTACAAGGGAGGGAGAAGTAAACACAGGGGCAGCAATGAACAAAGGCTTATGCACCGCGATGGAGAGAGTGGCTCCAAATGTGCCCAGTGATGCCTTTCCAAATGTGTAGAAAGAAAGCCAGGCTATGAAGTACATGATCTAGTAGGTTCTCAAGGAAATCAAGTCTGAGCATGGCCTGGAAACCAAAATGATGGAAGGGAGGCTATTGTCTAACAATGGCATCTCCATCCACTGTTGCACATCCCAGACACATTTCGACTTGGAGAAGGCCTTCTGTTGGCTTCAGTGAGGTCT